GTGATTTATATTCTCTCATAAGTAGGACTATTTGCTACTTTACTAAACTGAACATCATTGATTTTTCGTTTTTCATGAACTTCTGATGGCTAGTTCAAGTAGCATTGTCTTTTGTGCAGGTTTACTGAATACGTCCCTTTAAAATTTGGTCTTTCGTGGGTTTAAAGGGTCAAAATGTTGGAACTTCGCTAACTGTGGAACGTTTGGGGTGTGTTTCCTTTAATTTGGCAAGAACTGCATCAAATTACTTGATAAGAGAGCAGAAATGTAGCAATTTAGGCTGAAAAGTACTGTTTTCAATGAAAAAAACGAAAATTGCTGACTCAGCAAAATTTAGATCGTCGTCTCCAGAATTTTAGGGGTTAATTTGCAAAACTTTAAATGTTTAAATAGAAAGATATGCGAATTATGGCTAAATTCGACATATTTCTCGAAATTCACTAATAAATGTGGTTGATATTAGGTAGAAAGCAACTTACTTTTTCACCCATTGGAATACATGTAGAATTGGCAAAGTTCAAATCATAATTTCTCAAATCCCAGCCCATCGAATCCTCACATCCATTCAGATCATGTAGTCCTATTCAAAAACTTCCCGTTCGGTTATATGGTGAAAAAAATATCCCACGAACGAAAAAAGATTTTGCTACATTTATAAGCGAGCATTGATTTCTGGGCCTGTAAAAAGCACGTAGGACCTGATTACCCCATTGATTTACTGAGACCGCCAAAAATATAATTCAATTTTTTGGTTCAAAATAATAATCTGTCAGCGGTCCCTGACACTCCTACTAGCTATCACCAAACATTAATTGCCAATACATGTACACATATACGTGCCATACATCTACAAAGTAGCGAACTAGTGTATTAAGTACTACTTTTCCTATACGATGAGCAAAACAAATCTCAAGTAGGTTATATTGACCCTATTAGTGTCATGGTTGACTGAATATGCATTTTATTCAATATGAATTTTAAAGTTCGGGGTTTTATGAAGTGATATGTACATTTTTGCTCAAATCCCCTCAGCACTTTTGATTTTATAGGGTTCTCTTGACCCCTGGGGTCATTATATTTTGTGACAATTTATTCAAGACTAAATGTAGTTATTTTGTCATTAAAATATCTTATTAGAGAAACGTTCAGGAAAAGTTGCGCTATCCACAAGACTTCTTGTCAATGCACTGATAAATGTAGCAAAATAGGCAAAATAATTCAGCCTTGAGCATGAAAATTTTGAATTTTTGGACAAATTTTGGGCTATTTTGGGGGATTTTTGCCCATAACGATACTAATCTACTTAAAACAGCTGTTTAAAGTTGTACAAATTGCTTAAGTGATTTATATTCTCTCATAAGTAGGACTATTTGCTACTTTACTAAACTGAACATCATTGATTTTTCGTTTTTCATGAACTTCTGATGGCTAGTTCAAGTAGCATTGTCTTTTGTGCAGGTTTACTGAATACGTCCCTTTAAAATTTGGTCTTTCGTGGGTTTAAAGGGTCAAAATGTTGGAACTTCGCTAACTGTGGAACGTTTGGGGTGTGTTTCCTTTAATTTGGCAAGAACTGCATCAAATTACTTGATAAGAGAGCAGAAATGTAGCAATTTAGGCTGAAAAGTACTGTTTTCAATGAAAAAAACGAAAATTGCTGACTCAGCAAAATTTAGATCGTCGTCTCCAGAATTTTAGGGGTTAATTTGCAAAACTTTAAATGTTTAAATAGAAAGATATGCGAATTATGGCTAAATTCGACATATTTCTCGAAATTCACTAATAAATGTGGTTGATATTAGGTAGAAAGCAACTTACTTTTTCACCCATTGGAATACATGTAGAATTGGCAAAGTTCAAATCATAATTTCTCAAATCCCAGCCCATCGAATCCTCACATCCATTCAGATCATGTAGTCCTATTCAAAAACTTCCCGTTCGGTTATATGGTGAAAAAAATATCCCACGAACGAAAAAAGATTTTGCTACATTTATAAGCGAGCATTGATTTCTGGGCCTGTAAAAAGCACGTAGGACCTGATTACCCCATTGATTTACTGAGACCGCCAAAAATATAATTCAATTTTTTGGTTCAAAATAATAATCTGTCAGCGGTCCCTGACACTCCTACTAGCTATCACCAAACATTAATTGCCAATACATGTACACATATACGTGCCATACATCTACAAAGTAGCGAACTAGTGTATTAAGTACTACTTTTCCTATACGATGAGCAAAACAAATCTCAAGTAGGTTATATTGACCCTATTAGTGTCATGGTTGACTGAATATGCATTTTATTCAATATGAATTTTAAAGTTCGGGGTTTTATGAAGTGATATGTACATTTTTGCTCAAATCCCCTCAGCACTTTTGATTTTATAGGGTTCTCTTGACCCCTGGGGTCATTATATTTTGTGACAATTTATTCAAGACTAAATGTAGTTATTTTGTCATTAAAATATCTTATTAGAGAAACGTTCAGGAAAAGTTGCGCTATCCACAAGACTTCTTGTCAATGCACTGATAAATGTAGCAAAATAGGCAAAATAATTCAGCCTTGAGCATGAAAATTTTGAATTTTTGGACAAATTTTGGGCTATTTTGGGGGATTTTTGCCCATAACGATACTAATCTACTTAAAACAGCTGTTTAAAGTTGTACAAATTGCTTAAGTGATTTATATTCTCTCATAAGTAGGACTATTTGCTACTTTACTAAACTGAACATCATTGATTTTTCGTTTTTCATGAACTTCTGATGGCTAGTTCAAGTAGCATTGTCTTTTGTGCAGGTTTACTGAATACGTCCCTTTAAAATTTGGTCTTTCGTGGGTTTAAAGGGTCAAAATGTTGGAACTTCGCTAACTGTGGAACGTTTGGGGTGTGTTTCCTTTAATTTGGCAAGAACTGCATCAAATTACTTGATAAGAGAGCAGAAATGTAGCAATTTAGGCTGAAAAGTACTGTTTTCAATGAAAAAACGAAAATTGCTGACTCAGCAAAATTTAGATCGTCGTCTCCAGAATTTTAGGGGTTAATTTGCAAAACTTTAAATGTTTAAATAGAAAGATATGCGAATTATGGCTAAATTCGACATATTTCTCGAAATTCACTAATAAATGTGGTTGATATTAGGTAGAAAGCAACTTACTTTTTCACCCATTGGAATACATGTAGAATTGGCAAAGTTCAAATCATAATTTCTCAAATCCCAGCCCATCGAATCCTCACATCCATTCAGATCATGTAGTCCTATTCAAAAACTTCCCGTTCGGTTATATGGTGAAAAAAATATCCCACGAACGAAAAAAGATTTTGCTACATTTATAAGCGAGCATTGATTTCTGGGCCTGTAAAAAGCACGTAGGACCTGATTACCCCATTGATTTACTGAGACCGCCAAAAATATAATTCAATTTTTTGGTTCAAAATAATAATCTGTCAGCGGTCCCTGACACTCCTACTAGCTATCACCAAACATTAATTGCCAATACATGTACACATATACGTGCCATACATCTACAAAGTAGCGAACTAGTGTATTAAGTACTACTTTTCCTATACGATGAGCAAAACAAATCTCAAGTAGGTTATATTGACCCTATTAGTGTCATGGTTGACTGAATATGCATTTTATTCAATATGAATTTTAAAGTTCGGGGTTTTATGAAGTGATATGTACATTTTTGCTCAAATCCCCTCAGCACTTTTGATTTTATAGGGTTCTCTTGACCCCTGGGGTCATTATATTTTGTGACAATTTATTCAAGACTAAATGTAGTTATTTTGTCATTAAAATATCTTATTAGAGAAACGTTCAGGAAAAGTTGCGCTATCCACAAGACTTCTTGTCAATGCACTGATAAATGTAGCAAAATAGGCAAAATAATTCAGCCTTGAGCATGAAAATTTTGAATTTTTGGACAAATTTTGGGCTATTTTGGGGGATTTTTGCCCATAACGATACTAATCTACTTAAAACAGCTGTTTAAAGTTGTACAAATTGCTTAAGTGATTTATATTCTCTCATAAGTAGGACTATTTGCTACTTTACTAAACTGAACATCATTGATTTTTCGTTTTTCATGAACTTCTGATGGCTAGTTCAAGTAGCATTGTCTTTTGTGCAGGTTTACTGAATACGTCCCTTTAAAATTTGGTCTTTCGTGGGTTTAAAGGGTCAAAATGTTGGAACTTCGCTAACTGTGGAACGTTTGGGGTGTGTTTCCTTTAATTTGGCAAGAACTGCATCAAATTACTTGATAAGAGAGCAGAAATGTAGCAATTTAGGCTGAAAAGTACTGTTTTCAATGAAAAAACGAAAATTGCTGACTCAGCAAAATTTAGATCGTCGTCTCCAGAATTTTAGGGGTTAATTTGCAAAACTTTAAATGTTTAAATAGAAAGATATGCGAATTATGGCTAAATTCGACATATTTCTCGAAATTCACTAATAAATGTGGTTGATATTAGGTAGAAAGCAACTTACTTTTTCACCCATTGGAATACATGTAGAATTGGCAAAGTTCAAATCATAATTTCTCAAATCCCAGCCCATCGAATCCTCACATCCATTCAGATCATGTAGTCCTATTCAAAAACTTCCCGTTCGGTTATATGGTGAAAAAAATATCCCACGAACGAAAAAAGATTTTGCTACATTTATAAGCGAGCATTGATTTCTGGGCCTGTAAAAAGCACGTAGGACCTGATTACCCCATTGATTTACTGAGACCGCCAAAAATATAATTCAATTTTTTGGTTCAAAATAATAATCTGTCAGCGGTCCCTGACACTCCTACTAGCTATCACCAAACATTAATTGCCAATACATGTACACATATACGTGCCATACATCTACAAAGTAGCGAACTAGTGTATTAAGTACTACTTTTCCTATACGATGAGCAAAACAAATCTCAAGTAGGTTATATTGACCCTAAGTGCCGTGACATTTAGCTCGTGACTGCTTACATGAAACCGCAGCCAAAATAAGCCAATCAAGTTGAAGATGCGCCAAAAACATGCGCATCGAGCAGAACTAAAACAACAAACCATTTGCAGACTGGCTTCACAAATGAAAATAAAATAGATCTAAGATCTTAGTCGGCGTAGTCTCAGTTTACTTTTGTCAAAATGCTCTAGATACCAAACAAATACCAATGGACAGTGTAAGTAACAACTTATGCTTACGTACCCGAAGACAGTCTGGTCACTTTTCACAGAAAATTTTGAAAAATTTAAAAATATTTCTGATTCTTGTTCTTCCACGGATATCTGCCAGATTACCTCTTCTTGGTAGTGTCTAGGCTCAATAAATATACTCAAGAACACGACACAAAGTCTTCGGAAAATTTATATTTTCCTTGATTTTGGAGTCAGTTCACATGCTATCTATTGCAAGACTTACACCTGCCACAACTTACTTCGGTCCAAAGCCTTCTCTATATTCCGGCTTTGAGGAGGAAGATTGAGCTGCCTTACTATTATAAATATTGTAAATCATTGTGTCACACGCACAGTAAATATGGCATAATAATATGAAATATACCTTTATGTATAGATTTGAAGAACATCAGCTCACATCCCCGTCTGAATCTATTGTTATATTTGATTTCTTTAAGCGAGAATAATTTCAAATTTTATTCACGTCCAGAACCGGAAGCCATTTTTAGCTACAGCGAGAAAATTTCACCATGTGTCAAACTCCGAAATGAAATTTTGAAATATCTAAATCCAGACAAGCAACGCTTCATCCTAAATATGATTAATATTCTTAAAAATATTTATAAAATTTATTAAAAATGAGTTCTAGGTGCATGTAGGTGCGTGTAGCACCTTTTCTAGAGTACATACGAAATCATTAAAGTTACGTCTAGCTGTAAGCTAGAGACTCGAGTAAGCCACAACCGTCGCCATGTTATCAGTGTTTTTAAGTAGCACAAGGATCCTGCCATGACCGTGGTAGTGTTATCGTGTAAGCCTGGTATAACCGTGACAGGCTGGTTTAACCGTGACAATGATGTATTAGAGTCCATTTCACTGCTTCATTTCGTCAGTAGAACGGCAAAAATAAGAAATTGGGAGACCATTGTGCAATAATATATGGAAAAGTATATTCATAATGTACATGAATGACATTTGTATATTTCAGATTTTTTAGTTTTTTGTGCAATAAGCCTGTGCCGTCTTGTAATTTGAAGAATTTCAGCCATGTTAATCTTATTGAAAATAACATGGCAGAGAAACATCCAAATATAAGAGGCCACACACTTTATAAGCCAAACTAGAAGCAATCCAATATATACAAATGTCATTCATGTACATTATGAATATACTTTTCCATATATTATTGCACGATGGTCTCCCAATTTCTTATTTTTGACGTTCTACTGACGAAATGAACCAGTGAAATGGACTCTATATTGCAAGGCCTGTCATGACCCTGGAAGTGTTATCGTGGAAGCCTGGCGCGACCGTAGCCTTTATTGTGGTTTATAAGCGAATGTGAATATTAATGTATAGTAGTAATTTTGATTTTGACATGATTAAGGTAGTTAAACACCATGATCATAGTATTAAACTGTAATGACGATCACTTAAAATTGTTAAGGATATTCCTGGCATTAATGTCATACATACGGTCATGGCCAGCATTGCAATATAATACAGCATTGTCGCGGTTATACCAGCCTTTCACGATAACATTACCACGGTCATGGCAGCATCCTTGCGCTACTTAAAAATACTGAATAACATGGTGTCGGTTACGCCAGGTGTTAGTCTTGCAACAGATAGGGTCTCAGTCAGTTTATCAATAAATTTCACATGTCATACCTCAAACGATGCATACTTTTGTTAGCTTCATCTCCAATCACTAGAACCACACATTCAAGAAAGCGTCTGTTGAAAAGCATAAAATAAGCGAGCGTATATTTAATGGAGTGCTTCGGCTATTTCCGTTGTTCAAATGTGACGCCACTCTGGATGACGTCACATCAGAGATTACAGAGATTTCTCATGACGTTTCTTTAAACTCCTGTAGAAACAATAACAACAGTTTGTTAGGCTACACGATCCTTTACTTTCATTAGCTGTTTGTTGCGATTTAAAGAATCGAACAACATCGAACACTGCCGAAAATTACCGAAGTACTCCATTATCTTTACGCTCTGAAAATTTGAAATAAATATCTCGGAAAATTTGATTTACAGCGTCAATAATTGATATTATGCAAGCATTCAAACTATTACATAAAGAAGAGATTACAGGGTAAATATTGATCAATGTGTGAAAGATGGCAAAGATAAAGGTCAGTACATGGGCTCTACCACATGGATCTGATAGACCCCATGGTCAGAACGAGCTTCATATTTTTGGGTGGTCATTTTTTGGATGTGCCATTTTTGGTTGGTGTCTTATCTTCTCATTTATTCTTTGAGTCAATTCCAAAAGGGGCTGGATCTGGATCCGGATCTGTAGATTCTTCAACTCGAACAATTTCATGAAAATCAAAAATATAAAGATCATTTGAGTTCCAACAGAGAACTATTGATATATTATTTGTATCACTTTTAGTGTTCTTCCCCATGGTGAATAATCAAATTGAACACACAGTTTTTCTGAAAATTTGAACGAGCATAACCACATGCCATCTATTGCAAGACTTATGCCTGGCACAACTGCCACCATGTTATTAGTGTTTTTGAGTGTCGCAAGGATCCTACCATAACCGTGGCATTGTTATCGTGAAAACCTGGTTTTGGTATAACCATGACAATGTTATATTATATTGCAAGGTCTGTCATGACCGTGGTAATGTTAAAGCCTTATATATATGACTGTAGCAACGGTTGTAAGGCCTGTCATGACTGTGGTAATGTTAAAGCCTGAAATGACCGTGACAATGTTCATTAGTTGAGTGAGAAACGAATTATAGTTTGTGGAAATAATTATGAGTTATAGTACTATATCTAGTAGTAGTCTAGATTTACATATTTAAGGTAGATAAACAATGAAATCTTTCATTACAGTATTCCCATGCTACTAATCATATAATTTACAGTGGCATAGCTAGGATTTGACAGGAGGGGGTTCGATTATTTTCAGCAAAATATTTTTAGGAGCCACCTCATGGTGAATTTAGTGAAATTTGCTTACTTTTTGCCAAATTTGCTGAATTGTGGTCCATTTTATTAATTTTTGCCAGTATGCTGGAATTGAAGTTTTAATCCAAACAATTGCAAGATCATTAGATCTTTGTCATGTTGTGTCTCCTAGCCACATATATATACTAGTATGTATTTATTCACATATACTAGTGGGTCTAGTGACATTATTACGGATGGTGGGAGGTCCTCCATCTATCTAAGTAATATATGGAGGACTTCCCACCATCCGTGGGCATTACACATTTATATTTCATTTTTGTACTTAAGTAGTTTGTAGTTATTTGTATGCTTTGTAAATGACCCCTGATGGGGATTGAAATACAATAAAGCTAATAAATTTGTGTATGATAATTTGTGTAAATTTAGACAAGTGAAGCATCCCAATTTTTGAAAAATTTCGTTCATTTGGAATATTTATGGCCAAAAATCTAGAAGTTTTTTCAACAAAGGCCTTTTAAAATCCCTTTAAATTTTATCATTATCAGACAAAAACTCCCCCCAATTTAATTCAAGCATAGGTTGTGTAATTCAATTGTCTATATTGTACTCTTCAAATAAATAAGAGGCAAAAATAGCAAAAATGTAAGTTCCAATAAAAGAAAACAATTTTAAAAAAGTGACTCCTGACCAAAAATAGAATTTCTAGCGTTCAGAACTTTGGTGGATCACATGCATTGCACATTCACATTCAAGATTCTCTGATTTATATCATAACTTAGGGACAGTTTTGACCTTATATCCCAAATCATACAGTTTATACTCAGTAAATATGTCTTATACAAGGGGCGATCCATATATTCTGATAAAAATGGTCTCATTTAGTGATTTTTCACATATCCCTTTCATTTTTTCAGAACATGTAGATTATGCTAATTTATATAGTCGGATAGTTCTCTCTTCATAAGTTGCATCTTAACTTATCGAAGTGTTATTCTCTGTCCGCAAGCTTTTTATGCAGCCAGATTGTGGATGATATTCGATAATGACCGTACCTTCCCCTTCACAATACTACCTATATTTCTTCTTTAAGCAGATAGAACAAATTGCCCATATATGTAACGAGCCCATGTATGTCTCCGATGGTGTCTTCTTTCTTATTCTTGATAGTACATAGAATCTAATAGAGCTCCTAATGTATCTGTTATGTCATACTCTGCATCAGCCACATTAACCTCATCTGACATTTTAATTTATGGTGTGTCTCATGACATGTAATGGCAATTGTCCCATTCATTCCTACAATGCTATTGTGAGTTGTCGTGATATTATACGAGCACAAATAAACATTTGATGAGCAAAGAACAAAGAGCAACTATACCAAACTTTAGACATAATAATGTATGATTTCTGCATGCTTTCAAATAATTAAAATAATAAGTTATTATGACATTTTATACATTATAATTTAATTGACCTGCCTACCCTAAATACAGGTTACCATCGCAATATATAACAATAATATTTTAGCACGAACCCATCTAACCCCCTTTCCCTACAACATTACAACATTACCATGGTTATGACAGGCCTTGCAACCATTGTCACGGTCATATCAGGTTTTAACATTACCATGGTCATGACAGGCCTTGCAACCATTGTCACGGTCATATCAGGCTTTAACATTACCATGGTTATGACAGGCCTTGCAACCATTGTCACGGTCATATCAGGTTTTAACATTACCATGGTTATGACAGGCCTTGCAACCATTGTCACGGTCATATCAGGCTTTAACATTACCATTGTTATGACAGGCCTTGCAACCATTGTCACGGTCATATCAGGTTTTAACATTACCATGGTCATGGCAGGCCTTGCAATTTTTCAATTTTGTTTCTTTTCACGTTAGATCATGGTTTTGGGATACATGGGGTTTGTTTTTCTTGAGTGGTATGCACTTAGGGTTTGCCTTTTCTTGTTAAGTTCCATTACAACTTTTGGTCATTTCCCTTGGCACTAGTGCTTAGATATTTGTATAGCATTGTCATGGTCATATCAGGCTTTAACATTACCACGGTCACGACAGTCTTCAGATTTGGAATCCTGAGAAAATTTGCCTCTAATATAATGACTGTTATGACTGTGACAATGTGATATTGTGTTGCAAGGCCTGGCATGACCGTGGTAATATAGAAATTTATGCTTAGACTAGCTATGACCGTAACTGTTATATTCTATGACAATGCCTAGGATTTAACAGTGACAATGCTATATTATATTACAGGGCATTACAAGATCTGACATGAGCGTGGTAATGTTGAAATATATTGCAATACCTGCCATGACTGTGACAGTGTAGTATTGCAAGGCCTGGCATGACCGTGGTAATGTAAAACAAAACTAGTACTAGGGCGTTTAGTACTGTAATAATGTATGTCTGAATGTCATGGAATTAGTTTTTATTGGCTCGAGTCAAATGTGTGGTCAAACAATCACTGCGGGATTCACTGTTTTTCTTAATAAATGCAGTCTAATTGGCCTAAGTTTTAGCAGGGTTTTACGAACTCAGTGTGACAACGCACGGTAAATAAAATCGGATAATACATGCATAATTCGCGCATGCGCATGTAAAAAACCGCGAAATTCAAATGACGCAAATTAATGATGTAAACGAAAAACGCGGAAATTGAATGCGCAGATTTAATGTGTTATACAGTATCCTTACAAATTTTAAGTGAATGAAAACGTTTGATATGACATTGACATTAATCATTTAGGGGAGGTGTTAAAAGTTTGATGTTGGATCGAAAACTAAATAAATCTAGTTAGGAGGGAAGGGAGTTCAAAGCCATTTCAGTTTGCTATCTGACAAATTTCAACACTTCACATTTTTGTAATTTTGACCCGGAATGCCTTGGAATGGTTTAAAAATAAAGATTTTACCCGATGCTTTCGTCATCAAGATCATTCCAATGAATTCTATTCTATTAATATCTGTTAAAAAACCGCAAATTACGATCGGATTTAAAGAAAACTAGATCGTTTAATACATATATATTACATTATACCTGCTCTTGTATTATTTAAAACGATGATTTATCCCAAATCTGAACATACCCGCCCTATTAAGTTTGGACTTACTGCTATATTTCACCAATATTGCGTTCTCGCCTCATTTTGAATTACACAATTACAAGTTGCAGTCCGCGTGGCCTTGTCTTCGATTTGATTATCCACCTTGTTCCCTCTTTTTCACAGCATGAGCCTCGAGAGTGAATTTCTGAAAATTTTCAATGTAATGTGATCATCAGAGTTTTATGGCATCACGTGTTTAGCTACTGGATAACCAGTAATAAGAAAATAGATCCAAATATCATTCAAAAGAAATAAAAGGCCATCGATGTTCCTGAATTCCCACATGTACTAGGTTATCTTTATCTATAATGAGGCGTATTCTATAAACCCTCGACCTGGGTAAGAAGATAATCGCAAGATAACTGAATCCCTAATTTTATTTTATATAAAGAGGAAGGCTAGTGACTCTGTACTCAACTGTACATGTATATACATGTAGCAGATTCATAGGGTACATATGTCATTGTCCTCGTAGGATCCATTCAAGAACCAACAAGTTTGGTGTGCTTTTAAGAGCCGATCAATATTTGTAACAAAAATAGCTGAGATTTCATATCTAATTTGTGAGGTTGGTGTTGGTTGTCAAATTTTCATTTGAAAAATGCTTTGAAATCAAGCAGATATCCTCTGGAATGTGCCTTTTCTCCTTGCTTCCTCTGGAATGTGCCTTTTCTCCTTGCATCCTCTGGAATGTGCCTTTTCTCCTTGCATTTATCTTATTGTGCATGCAGAATTCAGCATTTCAACTTGCAGAAAACTAGGAATAATCATTCAAAATGTGTGATACTGTCACTGATTCCAATAAATGTTTTTAGAATAGTTATTCATATTTGTATATTTATTCAACCACCAATTTGGTGAAAATACTTTCTTTTATACTCAAATTAGTTTGACTACTACGTCTCGTTCCAATACAGAATTTACTAGCAGAATATATCCTGTATTGCACTTCAAATCATTCAATAACTTATAATATAGTTCAGTTTTAATCTACTTTCAATATCGTATTCTTTTCTTTTTTTCATCTACATTGTGTACTTTTTTAGGCTTGGAAACCAGGGTCCAGAAATGGAAAAACGAAGAGGAAAAAAGATTCTGGTCTTGATGATATACTGGGAGACTTGCTCTCTAATGATGGTATGTCCAATTGAACTACAATAACAATATTCTCCTGACAAATTGTACAAAGCTACCTCACTCATTATGGTTTATGGTAGTTGTTTACCCAGAAGAAATGGGATTCAAACTCACAATCTCCTGGATATGGGGCTGATTTCAGATGCACCAACTGACTGCTCAATGGACCCTGAAGTTCCACCTCAAGAGACTGCAATGGTTCCAACATGATTTGTGATTTTTGCTCACCAGAAAATCTAATGAGATATTTAAAGCAAAAAAATCATAGCTCACAGACTTCTTTTTGTAACTATTGGTCTCAAAAAAAAGATTTTCAAAAACAATTGCCAGCTAAATATATACCAAAGTGCAACAAGATATGTTGAAAATGCCATAAAGCAACGCATCCTTTTAAATACTTCAAAACAAGTAATGAATTTGAATTAAAAATCAATGTCATGTGAATTTAAAAGAAATTGGTTCAACTTTTTTGTAGATGATCTCCCAAGTTCAAAACCTGTCAAATCAGTTAAAGATACAGTGGGTATAAAGAAAAAAACAAGGTAAGATTCTTTTTATTTATTTTATATAGAAATAAGCCTTTATTATCCCAACGAACGAAGTTCGTTAGGGATATAGTGAAGCCCTCCGTCCGTCCGTCTGTCCGTCAGTCCGTCAGTCAGTCCGTCCGTCTGTCCGGAAGATAACTCAAATACTAGTTGACAGATTTTCTTCATATTTAGTGGAAAGATGTATATTGGTGAATAGTTTTACGCAAAAAAAATGTTTTCAAGATGGCCGCCGCTTTAAAAATGACGGGACTTTTTCGCAAAAATCATAAATTTTTCATTCTAAACCAAAGTAATTAATATTATTGTTTGAAATTTTGGTAGTGTATTCACAACATTTATTTATTTCACATATATTCCGTGTTTTTCATCCTGACCCCCAGGGGCCATGTATGGGGGGACAGGAAAACAGAAATTTTCGCTAATTTTTAGATCTTTCTGAAGTATAGCTTTATTATACTCAAATGAAAGGCAATTAAGAGTAGATTGCAAATATTGTATCTTTTTTCTGATTCGAGCCTCGTAAAATTCAAAATAGCCGTCTAATGTACGATTTCGCAATAATTTTTCGATCCCTTCAAAGTATGGCTATATTATACTCAAATTGAAGGAATTTTGGAGTAGATCACAATTATGGTATTATTTTTCAGATTTGTACCTCAGAAAATTCAAAATGGCTGCTTTGCAGGAATTCGCAATTCTAAAATCTAATTTTTTCATTTTCTACCAAAGTAATGAGTATAATTGATTGGAATTCGGTAATTGATATTTTGTTCGTTGGGATTTGCTACTCCGCGGAGTTGCCGTTATCTTTGTGAATCTTTCATTGTTTTGAAATAAAGAATCTGCTTCTCTTGTAAGTCACTTTTTGTTCCAAATAATAATTGCTTTACGAGTCAATGTAAAGCAATCTAAGAGTCAACTTGGGGATAATATTTTAGCAACCTAGATCCTAGATTGTCATGAAATATATTATCTCAATAAGGGAACGAACATAAGAATTGATTTTAGGGCTTTGGTTGTTGACATTCACCTGCAAAATGGATGTTTTAACCACATGTTCTATGTGTCGTGTTGTTTCTAGAGGTACAGATGAGGAGTTTTATAGCAGTCTTGCTGCCCTGGCTGATGACCCCACAACCAGCTCTGATATATCTGAGGCAGATGCTGTAGAAATGGCCAGAGGTTTAGATGTAAGTATTGTAGTATGAATCAAAAAGGATAAAGACTCTGGTTATGGTTTTCCCTCCCTTTTAAGAACCATGCTTTCGTCACTTAAGACTGTAATAATGGACGGTTCCCAACTTATTCGTGTTACTAAAGAAATCAAATTCTCTCAGAGTTTTATAAAGTTATGGGGATGTTCAACAAGGGTCAATTTATGTCAAAATACTTTGAGGAATACTCTCTTTTATGAATAACTACACAGTTTTGTTTACTACTTAAGTAACAATTGTATGACCATTTTATGATTTGATTTTTTAATAGTCAGCCATTCTATTAGAGTAGAGTTATTGAAAGGGGTAAATATGGGTTTATTCTTTATTTATTATGTGTTACTTCTTTTTGTTTTCTGGAAATCTACAGACTTGATCTTTCAATTTCAGGTCTTTCAAGTTTAGTACTTTTGTATGCAATACTTTTAATCTATGGTATAAAAATCACATGAAATTCTGAAATTCTCATTTTCTCAGAACACTAGTCGATTAAGCCTCAAACAGTAGAAATATGTTACCAAGGATATTTTAAATCAAACCCAAATGGTCAGAATAAGGGTTCTTAAACAGGAGGTTTCACTTGGTTTTCAAATCTTTTTGTAAGAAGTCTAAAACCCAAATTTAGTTGACTTGATAGAGCCTCAATGGTGCAATTTTTATTATGTCACCATCAAAAAGTTGTGACATATTGTTATGGTCTTCATTTTTTGTGACGGTGGTCGAGGTCTTAAACAAATTCTTCCAATAACTCAACAAATACTGTTGAGACTGACTTCAATTCTTTTTTTCAAAATCATCCACAAGTTCTCAGAAGTTCAAATCTAACTTAAGATTGAACTCATAATATTGAGAGCAATTAAGTGTCATGTTAATGCCTTGTTAAATAATATATATTATATGGATAATTTCTGTCTGTCTGCGTAGGACTTAGATGCTATGGATGAAAACCTCTTTCCAACCAAGAAGAATCTGCAGAAGGAGGTCAAGACACCAAAGAAAGAAGTAAAGAAGCCACAGAAGGAGGTTGTACCTAATATGCCCAGTAAAGCCACGGAAAAAAGAACTGCTACTGTAGAAGAAAATGACTGGGATTCCCCAGTTTCATCTGAATCAGTTCCTGCACAACCTAAAACAGGTGATATTTACTTGACTTAATATCCTTGACTTGTATTTTGATTTCCTATTTTTTAGCTCACATGGTGAGCTTTTGCAAATACTCACTTGTCCGTCTGTCTGTCTGTCTGTCTGTGCATCCGTAAAGAGGGTAAACTAAGAAGACAGATCAACACAAGAACATCAGTAAGGGGAAGGGGAGAGTTTTCCGGCCGGATCAAAACGTTTAACCCACCAAATCTGTGGACCCTGAAGAAAGACAACATCACAATCAAATCAAGACAAAGAAAGAAGACAATGAATGAAGAAACTAATGCAGCAACAACAAATGACGTCCGATATTTTGAAAGAAGAAATTAAATTCTATAGCGAATTATATAGATCAAAATCCCAACCAACCAATAAAGTAAAAAATTATTTGAATTCTATTAACTTTCCTAATACATTAGATAAACAAGATAATGACATCCTTGAAGGTGTTATCAATAATAGTGAGTGTTTACCTGTTATTTCCAGTATGAAAAAAGATATTTCCCCAGGATCAGATGGTTTAACCACTGACTTCTATAAATGCTTTTGGAAAGATATACATATTTATGTTATAGAAGCAATTAATGAGTCATATGAAGTTGGAATCTTACCAACATCATTTCGTAAAATTATCATATCTTTGTTATTCAAAAAAGGAGACCGTGAACTATTAAAAAATTATCGTCCAATATCATTATCTAATACAGATTATAAGATTTTAGCTTTTATCTTGGCAAAAAGACTTCAAAAGGTTATAGGTAAATTAATTGGTATGCAACAAACAGCTTATATTAATGGTCGTTTTATAGGAAATAGTAGCCGACTGGTATTAGATGTATTTGAATATTTTGAAAATCAAAATCAGATAGGTGGCGCTATAATCTTTCTTGACTTCCAAAAAGCGTTTGATAGTATAGAGTGGAATTTTATGTATGAAACGTTGAAAAAATTTAAATTCAGTGATAAGATTATAAAATGGCTCAAACTTTTATATGAAAAACCTTTCTTAAACATTAAGCAAAATGGATGGTTATCAAAAAATATTGATGTTGAACGCTCATGTCGGCAGGGCTGCCCCGTTTCCGCAATGGCATTTATTTTATGTTGCGAAGTTATGAACTTAGCAATTCAGCAAAATAATGATATATCAGGTATAACTGTTGATGGTAAATAATATAAGATGTCCCAATATGCGGACGATACTTCACTTTTCATTAAAGATAAAGAGTCATTGAAAAATGCTCTTAATACTATTTCCAATTTCTCAAAATTTTCTGGTCTGAAGTTAAACATAGAAAAAACTGAAGGCATTTGGCTTGGAAAAAATAAGGACTTTGAAAAGAAATGTGAAAATATAACTTTTACTGATGAACCAATCAAATATTTAGGAATCTTTTTAGGACACAACAAACAAAGATGTTATGAATTAAACTGGGAAGAGTAAAAAAGGTAGAAAAAATATTAGACAGCTGGAAGAACCGATACTTAACACTTTTTGGCAAAGTTACAGTGATTAAATCACTGGCAATTCCAAAATTAAGTTATGCAGCATCAGTATTATCTGTGCCACATGAGATTATAAAAAAAGTAAACAATCTTGTATTTAAATTTCTATGGGATGGAAAAAAGGACAAAATAAGAAGATCTATAATCATAAATAATATTAATAAGGGTGGAATAAATATGATTGACTTAGAGTCTCAAATACATGCACTTAAAGCAGCATGGATCCCCCGTTTGCATAATCAAAACATGTACAATAAAATCCCTTACTTCTATTTCAATAAATTTCTTCCAAATATAGATGTATTATTCAAGATAAATGATACTAGATTTAAAGAATTTGAAAATGTTCCACTTTTTTATCAACAAGTGCTGGAAGCACATTGTTTATGTAAATGCATCAAAAATATAAGAGATATGAAGCAACATGAACTCTTGCAAGAGGTTATATGGGGAAACAAATTATTCACCGTCAAAAATAAACCAATTTTCTTTGAATCATGGATCAAAAGTGGAATTATATACATAAAAGACTTGATAATTCAGAACAGGTTCCTTGATGTTAATATGTTATATCAAAAACTTGTAAATAAACAAAATTGGATATCTGAATATTACAGAGTTTTATCAGCCATGGGCACACTGAAAGAAAGATTCAATTTAGAATCTGTCAAGTATACAAATATTCATAATACTTTTAAATTTAATATAAATAATGTGATTATCACTGTGAATAATCAGAAATCCAAATTCTTTTATGAAATATTAAAAAACAAACGATCGGAAAAATGGTTCATGAAAAGGAAATGGGAACAAGAGTTTTGCTATGAAGCCAACGATGAAATAAATTGGCAAAACTTTTTCTCTACAAAAATAAGTTGTAAAGAAAAGAAAATAGGTAATTTCAACTTTAGAATAATCAACAATATTCTTCCTAGCCTTAGTGATTTATATATATTTGGTAAAAGTGAAACCTACAAATGTAGTTTATGTAATGAATTATGTACCTTGAAACATTTGTTATTTTCATGCTCATATTCTCAAAACATTTGGAAACATATTTATAATATCTCAGGGTTAAGAGTAACTTACAGAAAATTGATAATTGGTTACGATGGAAATGACAGTCATACTGAATTTTTAAACTATTTTATAAGTATTGTGTCATTTGTTATATATAAAACATATATTCAAGAACTGAATAATGGTATTAAGCGTAATTTTGAAGGCACTATTAAAACTTTAAATTTTGAAATCTGTACTCGTAAAAATGTATTTTTTAAAAACAAATGGAAAATGATTAAAACATAACTCATTATACATTATTGTAATTAATTGTATCATTGTATTTCTGTATCGTAAAAACCTAAATTGGAATAAACTATATTTGAAAAAGAAAAAAAACAAAAACAAATGACGTCCGTCAACAATAGTGGCACGTTTTAAAACCTCTGTCGATAGGATTCCCGTTTTAAGTTATTTTTGTTCAACATCAATACAGAAAACTCCCCTCTGACTCCTGGTTCAAAAGCTCACTTATTTTCAAAATAGCCGCCATTTTTGTCTCGCGAAATTCAATTTTGACCCATTTCCTAGCTTAACAAATAATTTCAGGTGTCCTGCATTGTAAAAATCCATGTCAATGTAAAGAGTAGTTGTATGAAATAATTTTGTTACAAAAAATCAGTAAAAAATTATATCCATTTTTTTTATTTTCAGCCACTTTAGTCTATAACATTGATTTGACCATCTGTCTCACGAAATCCACTTTTGAACCATTTGCCTTAAAACCTCTGTCGATAGGATTCCCGTTTTAAGTTATTTTCGTTCAACATCAATACTGAAAACTCCCCTCTGACTCCTGGTTCAAAAGCTCGCCTATTTTCAAGATGGCTGCCATTTTTGTCTCGCGAAATTCATTTTTGACCCATTTCCTAGCTTTACAAATAATTTCAGGTGTTGTGCATTGTCAAAATCCATGTCAATGTAAAGAGTAGTTATATGAAATAATTTTGTTACAAAAAATCGAAAAAAAATTAAATCCGTTTTTTTATTTTCAGCCATTTTAGTTAACATTGATTTGTCCATCTGACTCGCGAAATCTACTTTTCCGTCGACATTAGTGGCACTTTTTAAAACCTCTGTAGATAAGATTCCCGTTTTAAGTTATTTCTGTTCAACATCAATACAGAAAACTCCCCTATGACTCCTGGTTCAAAAGCTCGCCTATTTTCAAAATGGCTGCCATTTTTGTTTCGTGAAATTCACTTTTGGCCCATTTCCTAGCTTTACAAATAATTTCAGGTGTCCTGCATTGTAAAAAGCTATTTCACTGTAAATAGTAGTTGTATGAAATAATTTTGTTACAAAAATCGACAAAAAATCATATCCTTTTTTATTTTCAGCCATTTTAGTTAACATTGATTTGTTCATCTGTCTCTCAGTCAGTCCAAAATAGTGGCAAGTTTTAAAACCTCTGTCTGTCAACATTTGGCTCTTTTTAAATTCTCCGGTTTTAAAATATTTTTGTTCAACATCAATAAAGAAAAAAAAACCTGTGACTCCTGCTTCAAAATCTCGCCTATTTTCAAAATGGCCACCATTTTTGTCTCGGGAAATTCACTTTTGGCCCATTTCCTAGCTTTACAAATAAGTTCAGGTGTCCTGCATTGTTAAAAGCCATGTCTTTGTAAAGAGTAGCTGTATGAAATAATTTTGTTACAAAAAATCTGGAAAAAATTATATCCGTTTTTTTATTTTCATTTTTGAGCAACACCATGTGAGCCCAGTACCCACGGTATTAATTTTTGTAATAAAAATGATAACATTTATATCATATTTCACTCAATATTCTTGCAGTTTCAGGCACAATGAAGAGGGAGGAGAAAGATACTAAACGGAATTTGAACAAACCAGCCAAAAAGTTTGACTTTGGAGGTAATGTCTGTCTGTCTTAATAATTATACTAAAAATAAAATAATGCCAAGAACTTTAGTAACAAAATATCTTGTATAAGAAAAAGTAAACATTTGCTGGTCCTATGGACATTTGGATAAAACAGGTTTTACTGTATGAGGTTGCTGATTTCAGATTTTGATGAAGATGATCCACTAGCAGGTTTACTTTCTGATGAAGATGATCCTACTGTAGCCAAGAAAAAATCAAACAAAAAACAAGCAGAGAAAGTTCAAGAAGTAGCTCCAGAACCTGCAAATACTCACTCTGAACCTGTTGCTGAACCTTCAGGTAATACATAATATAGCTATAAGTAATTTACCCTTTCACATATATGTAGTAGTAAGCAGTTGTAGTAAGGGCTTTGAATAGGGATGTCACAATATTATTTCCCATCCACCAGAACTCTGTCCTCGGGATGGGACAACTGTTGTGAGCTGAAGATTAATATTCCATGTTCTGGAAATACTTAATGTCCTATACATGGCCTAAAATGTACCCAAATGCATTAAAATTAAACTAAATGTGGAATGAATAATTGAATAATGAATACCAAGGTTACAAAAAATGGTATTATGTGTTCTCAAATACTGTATAATCACGGTGACCAAGAATTAACATTTCAAATTGGCCCGGTCGTGTTTTTTTTAACTCTTTAGTCGTGTTTTGTAAGAACATGGGATGCGACATTCGTTAGAATGGAGCAAAAAGATAAGAATATTCTATATTTTACAAACTTACATATCTTGACTTCTACCTAAGATGTTCTTCTTCATACCCACGAATCTATTTTGGGGATAAATCCATCATACTTCATATCAATCACAATTATATACCAAAAGTGCCAGAAATATGTACTGAATTTGCATTTAGTGTTATTTAATCAAGTTTAAACAGACAATCCATTCAACAACGTGGAATAATATTCACTACTTTAAAGATCGTGTAAATATTTTAACTGGATTTATCTTAAAATTGCCATAAATGACCGTAAATGTAGAAAGTGGAGTTAACTATGGAGAAGGGACAACGTAACGTCATGGACGTGTCTTATAATAAGCATGTTAACGTTTTGGAATTGTAAAGATAACGTTTTAGACGTGATAAAATTAACGACTTTGAATTGACTTGTAATAGTGTTCACATTTCACATGTTTTGTTGCTTAATAATTTGTCTGTGCTTATGATCGCATTAATTGCATTATTATTTTGAAGATGAATGTTTGAACTACATGACTATTCACATATTTTGTTATTTCAGTTCCTCGGAATAAGTGTCACGTGTGTGCTTTCAAAAGCACCGATAAGAACACATTCCTTGAACTAGTTACAACTGTTTGCTTTTTAAACTAGTACTAAAATAAATTGAAAAACTAAATTCTTACTATCTCGTATTTCTGCTAGAAGTTATAACTCAAAAAGTATCTTCTTAATCAATAATATAATTTATAGTTTATGTTGGTTTTATAATAATTTGCGGGCCTAATACGATACACACTATTGACCAGCAGAAACAAATAGTATGCATTATTACACAAGCAGATCCCCCACCATCTGTTCATGTATTATTATAAAACACGGGGATATATACATTAGGTGTCACCCGTTTATTGTAATTTGTAGTAAAGATATGAATAAATAAGGATAAATAAAAAAGACAGATGTATGATTTAACAAGATCATCGGATGTTGTAATTTAATTCGCTAGCAAACTATGTTACAGTACAGTTCATAGGTCACTCATAGAACCAAAGCAGCATATGTAGCATTTTATACCTATTGCATTGTGAGAGGCAAATTAGGGAATAACATCAAATCAAATTGTTAAAAATCCTGAGGCGAACCTAAAAGATTTTGAGCACTAAATAACGGTATATATGCATTTACATGTAGTGCATCACAAACTAAACATTACCTCTCATCTTAAATAAATTTATTTACGTTCATGAGAGGGGAAAGTGAGTTTAAGGCCAATAAGGCGTTTTAAAACTTATCTGAGGCTTATTCAAAAATAGCAACGAGCCATTAAATGAGCGACGGGGCAATTAAAAAATATGACTAGTCAAATTTTCAAAACGACGAGCGACGAGACAAAGCTCGCTTGCATTTACCTTGCGTGTCTTATTCTAACCATTTTGATTTAAGTATCAAATTCTGTAATGATTCCATCGATCAATCTTGACAAATTATGTCGTACATTATTGTTAATCATTTATAATTAAGATAGTATTACTCAGACAACAACTTCTTCCACATTCTGATCATTTTTTGCGAAATACATAATGTGCTGTTTCCCACTTCCAAATCATTAAACCTCAATGTCTCTACACGTCTAAATGTTTCCAGTAACAAGTCAACGTCATTAACCGCAATCTTTTGAACACGTCTAAAGAGTTTAATCTAAAAAATATTATTCGGTCAACTGCTACTTTTTTAAGCTCTTCTTACTTGTGGTTTTCGCACATATTATGAATGCTTTCCTTACATGAATCGATGTATTTATTGAATACAAGCCAGGCTAGTGATTTTCAGGCAGAAATATGTATAAGACTGACAGAATTGCTCACTTTCCGATATAACAAGACTATAGCATACGATTCGTGCAAATAACACGTTTACGGATACCTGAAGTTAAGATATATAGTATGGAAAGCACTATAAATTACTTACATTTACATAAAGTCAAGTCACAGCAATTTCATGACCAAATATATTAACCTACCTCTCAAATTTTCAAAAAAACACGACTAAAGAGTTTAAAAAAACACGACCGGGCCAATTTGCACTGTTAACTCTTGGTCACCGTGATAATGATCATTATTTTATTTATTTTGCTTTTCCATAGAGCTATTGAATTAAGCATTTTTGCTAGTATTTTAACACAATATCTGTGGTCTCCTTAGGATCTTATTGAATGGGGCTGCCCCCTGTTAAAGTTACATTAATGTACTTGCATATTTATCTGCATTTGGCAATAAGCCCTCTCATGACATCTCAATTCTCAAAATAGAATGATGGACTTATGTACAAATTATATTGAGAGAGAAAGTTATTTTGAGGGGGTGTGACCTTTATAATGATGTCATTGACTGTAATCAATGTCTCTGATTTTATTGGTTGACAGATACAGTGTAAGATGATATTTTGTTAATCAGTTTTTCAGTTAAAATTCATCAGTTCTAATTTAGACAGGTTCCAATTCAAATAATTCAAGTTTTTGAGGCATTTTTTAGAAAAAGCAACAGACCTATTTTTACTAGATCAGTTTTTCATGCTGATAAAGATATTAAAAGATGACAGCTCAACGACACGACACTAAATTTTGGCATTTTTACCCCCCTAGGAAAATATTCTAGGGGGTACTATGAAACTAGTTCATAACTCAAAGGATATATGAGCTATTGTTCTGAGTTGTACACCATACATTGCTAGTACAAATATGAATACTATCCTAAAGTTATGGGTTGATACCCTTATTGGTCTCAGAAAAATACAAAAAACAGGAAAAAGATACGCAATTTTTGTCTTGCCAATTTTATATTTGTAGCTTCAAGCACAATATGACAGCTTTAACAGCTCATAGTAGTATTCTAAAAACATTTCTAAGCTATGTGTGGTATTGTAATACATCTATTTTAGTTATGAAGTACTATTTTATAATTTTAATATGACTTTATAGTGCCCTACCCCTGGAAAATTGAAGAAAGTGGATGTGGTGAATTTTATCATTTTGCAGCATTAAGTTAGAAACATGTATTGATAGACACAAAATCAATAAATTCATACCATCATCAAATGTTAGGTGACATTCTAATTCATTTATTACTAGAATATAGGACTTAAGATATTTTATATGTAAGTTTTCAATTAAGTACATGTATCATAATGAAATCTAGTGAAATCACATACTAGAGAGGTTGGCATACTGAGTCTGGATATTGACATAAAGTCTAAACATTATAATCATCAATTGATCTCATTTGAGCAACTAGACTATGGTGGTCATCATGCACAAGTAATGTACAGTAGAACCTGCTAAGTGGAACACCTCCCAAGTGGAACGCCTTTTCAAAGTCCCGTTTTAAAAACCCATTGACTTAATGTTAATTGAATCTCTGTAAGTGGAACACCTCCAAACTTGAACAGTGAACACCCCATATTGAAAAATTAACCTGCTAAGTGGAATAGTCAATTTCCATAGATTTCAATATTGATATATGTAAACAGAATTAATCTCCTTCAATGATATCTGGGTATGAAAACAGGTAATACTGTGATAATTGGCAAATTAGGATTTTAATGGATTAACCTCCTGTAGAGGTCAACATGTGATGCAACCAATAATTAATTTGATTATCAGCAAATTAAGATTTCATAAGATTTTCATTCAGAAAATTGGATTAACCTCCTGTAGAACTGGACACGTGATGCTACCACTAATTAATATCCCTTGCTGTTTGTTTCAAACTTAATAAGTAAGATTAAAAATGTCATTTAAAAACAATTGAATTATTAACAGTAGGAACAAGTCTTTAAAACTTAATTGCCTAATCCTTGTACCTGAGACTGGCACAATTAGGAGGATTAAGAATATCAGAAAACATTTTTGGCAGAATGAGGAGGATTAAGAATGTCAGATACCTTTTTGAGTTAAATAAATGGATTATTAATGGTATAGACCTGCCCTGTAATGAAGGGAGAATCATATTTCCAATGATACATATAAATCCTATATTTGATTTTGTATGTTCCCTGTGAACCCAAAACCTCTGTAAGTGGAACATCTTCTAAGTGGAACGCAGAACGGAGAGTGTTCCACTTACACAGGTATTTACATAATAATGTTATAAAGGAGCATGTAGGTTATCGCAAACAACTTCAGACAATTCTAACTTGAATTATGAATATTTTCTGACCATGAACATGGGTATATCTTTTAGATCTATTCATTATCTTCAAGAAAAGTAAATATAATGATTAATCAGACTTAAGTGATATTAAAGGGAATGGCCCAATCAACATACTTTTTACTAAAAATGTTGACCTAATTTTTACCAAAGATGCAACCTTTAATTATATTGTTGAATGCATAATTAGAATATGCTTTGAGACATGTTCTATTTCCTAAGAGGAAAAGTGGATTGCTTCAGGGACTTTAAAGACACTGAATTTGGATGACCAAAATGAACTGAAACCAATGGATAGCATGAATTTTTTCAAAGGGGAAATAACATGGGGAACACTAATCTTAGGGGAATTCAGTTTTCTTTTCAAGAGCTATTTGATACATTAAAATAAAGAATAGTAATGCATTAAACATTGTTAAAATGATTGCATTTTTGGTGAAAATGAGGTCAACAACTTTGAAAAAATATATTGATGGGTTGATTGCTAGTGAAATATCTCCGAGTCCAATTGACTTTGTTATCCCTGTATACCTGTCTTCATGGTCAGAAAATAGTCATAATCAAAGATATAACTGTCTGAAATTGTTTGTGATAACTTACCTGAACCTTTCCAGGTCAAATCAGGAGTGACAAAATTATTTCAACCAAATTTTTGACATGTCTTCAAATACGATAATATTTTCTTCATAAGATAGAGTGTCACTTGTGAAATTTATTGATTGACCTGAGATCTTACCATATCTTTATGACAGAGAAGCGAAATAGCCATATTGAACTTTAATGATGTTTGTTTAATTGTTGTTTGCCACTTTTCGACAATTGTCAAAATTTGGGGGTTTGGGGGAGGGGTACAATTAGGTTAAAAAATTCACCTGATTCAGACTATCCTTAAATGAGCACTGATTCACCCGAGAGCATAACTTTTTCAAAACATGTAAGTGTTATTTTTGGACCACTCACATTAATGTTTCGTCTAATTTTCCCTTAGAGTTTCATCGTCATTGTCCAAATCTTTGTTGAGATATTTGAGATATATGAATGTTCATTATTAAAATCTTGCCTTCCTTTGCAGTTGGAAAAGATTCGGCATTAGGTGTTATAAGTCCTAGAGCACGATAAATAAAAAAAATAACAACAAAATGACATAGAACTGATAGACGTTTTCTCCTGTGCGTGTCAGCCTTGGTCTACCAAATTGCTATTCAGTAGGAAGAAACTCATTTTTCAGTTTCCATTTTAATTTCCTGACAAATAGAGCATAGCAACTTCTGTTTTAGAGAACAATAGAAAAGATTACTTTACCATAATTTTAATCATCCCACATTGTAGACATATTTAGAATTAAAAATATGAGGAGAATGACAAAACCTCTTAAAACACATTTCTTAGGAAACAAATAGTGTCGTATTCTTGTTACTATGGCAACAGAGTTTTTTCTTTTTGTCATACAGATTACCTATCATACCAGGACCAAATCCTGAAAATTTGAATTCAGTATCTTCATTACTAGTATCTTAGATATATAGGTTTCTTATAGTGTCCCCTGCAGATTTTATCGGATGATATAAGGAAAATGCTCTGAAGAGGGTTGCCCAAGGATGCCACTTAACAGTTCTGGTATTTTTGAGGTCCCAACCCTCTATTCATGGGAATAGTTAACCATTGTAAAGTTTCTCATGGTTAACTGACAGAATTGATTGTATCTTCAACTAAGAAGACAATAAAATGTTAAAACCAGAAGAAAACCACACCAACTTTCTTCTATTTACCAGGGGTAGGGCACTATAAAGTCATATTAAAATTACAAAACAGTACTTCATCACTATAATAGATGTATTACAATATCACACATAGCTTGGGAATGTTGTTAGAATACTACTTTGAGCTGTTTAAGTTATCATAATTTGCTTGAAGCTACAAATATAAAATAAGCAAGAAAAAAATGACAAAAATTGCATATTTTTTTCTAATTAATTGTATTTTTCCGAAACCAACAAAGATATCAACCTATAACTTTAGGGTAGTATTCATCTTTGTACTAACAATGTATGCTGTAGAACTCAGAACAATAGTTTATATATCCTTTGAGTTATGAACTAATATTATAGTACCCCCTAAAATAATTCCCTAGGGGGGTAAAAACGCTAAAATTCAGTGTCGTGACCACCCCGTTGAGCTGTCATCTTTTAATATCTTTATCAGCATGAAAAACTGATCCAGAAAAATAGCTCTGTTGCTTTTTCTAAAAAATGCCTTAAAAACCCTTTCCCTTGAGATATTCTGAAATTGGAACCTGTCTAATTCTGAAATCTGGTTCCATTATCACATTTATTTATCCTAATGTATTCTTATCCATGGTAAATTGTAATTTCACCTATTTTTGCAATAGATCTTCCTTGAAAAAATGAATGTGAGCCCACTGATGACGGATGCCGTTTCTCATATCTGAGCTCAGTTAATAATATCAATAACACATGTACATGTATATAATAAATTGTAATAAAATATTATGAAATAAAAAAATTCTATGACAGCATTTTTGAATTGACCACCGCAAGTTGCATGATTGACACTTTTGTGTTGTTTGCAGTAACCCCAAGGAAAACTAAGAAGAAAGAAGCTGACATTCTTTTTGATGATGATGATGTTTTGGGAGGGATGGGCTTTGATAGTCCTCGACAACAAAGAGCAAGAGTTGAGGTAATCTAACATTCCTGTTTGAATTGTTAAAGCACTATCACCACGTGGCAATAAAACTTGTGTGGTTTTGCCAATAAACTAATATCTAATAAGCATGATGATATAAGTCTAATATGCACGAAGCATACATGTATTCAGTGGATATGTAAATTGATAGTTTTACACAAAGGAATATCAAGATGCCTGCCAGTAGTTGATATTTTATCTATAAATACTTTAAAAGATGGCTCATTTTCTTTTAATAACTTGCTTCAAAGGCCATTATGGTGACATTTTGAGTCAATATTTGTTGTGGTGTTGCCTGACACTCATTGGATGGGATTTGTTATACCTTGGAGTTACTATTATCTAGTTTGATATCAAAAAGGCCTGCAAATACAGAAACCATGATTTGATGTATGATATTAATCATTTTAATTTATTTCTAGATATCAGAAGAAAGGCCTGCAAGGGCAAAATCTGCCTTAGATACATTGTTGGGGAAGAGTAGTGATGACGCAAATGAATCTCTAAGTCAACCCTCAACAGAGAAAAAGAGATTTGTTTTGGATAAGAAATATGCAAAGATGACTCAAGGTATGATAATGTAACCCAGGGTTCTCCCCAGGATCTAATTGAATGGCGCCCCACCCTGCTTGCTCATTTCACCTGCCCGGTACCTGCCCTGTTGACTACACCCGCCCTCCTCACTGCCATTTTAAAATCCGACTCAAAAGAATAAAAAAAAATTCATGTATTTTAACACAGGTCTTCTGAACAGGGCCCTCTAATAAAAACAAAAAATAAAACAACATGCATTTATTGAAAGAAGTGAAAATCAAGACGATGAAGTTATGGTATATACCAAGATGAGATGTTTCCTTTTATTGTTAGCCAGAAAAATACAATATCAAGCAAAATACACACAAAAATGCTGTCCTGCTATTTTTTTAATTCATGTTGCTTTTAGAAAAGTCAAAAGTGGAACCAAAAGATGAAGATTTTCAGTTTGGAGGTTATATGCCCACTGCAGCCACAGAGCCACAGAATGTCAGAAAATCTGTCAGGTAACCATTGGATTTGCTCATGTAGTAATTCATTTATTCACACGTCATGTAAATCCTCATTAAATGTCAAGCTCACTTTCAAAAGTGAAGTTAATTTTTTGTTATGGCTTGCCCCCTCCCCTCATCTTACAATATTAAACCAAAACAACCCTATAAGGTATGTATTAAAGATTGACCTTCCTTTTCAAAATCTTCAAAATCTGCTTGGAACTGTACCATTGGATTTACATGGGAAATTCCTCAAAGAGAAAATTCGAGGGATTAAAGAAGGTGTCAGCATTAAATAATTTGACAAGTTATTGGCATACATGAAACCTATTTAAAACAGCATTCATCTTATTCAAAAGCATTGATTATCAATGATTCCAAGCCCTCTGAACTTTGAAAAATCCATGGATAATCCTTGAAAATGAGAAATAATTTTTTGGATTATATGGTGTAATCTTATAGTCAATAAAATATTTTAAAGTGTATTCCTGTTTTTAAGATGAAAAACATGAGCGAAATGCATGAAAAAACTCCCCCAATTCATTCTATAACTTGTGGCCCTTTCTGTAAAGCCAATTTATTATGGAATTATTCTCAAAGATCAAGAATCATATTTTGAGTTAAATCAGCAAATTCTCAACCAAACATTGTGTTATTTTAACAAATTGAATATTACATTCAACAATTCTTTTTTGAGATATTAATAGACCAAGAAGTTCCATTTAAGTAAATACATCATGCAGTTGTATTTTTTAGGTTTAATGATGTTGGTGAAGACTCAAAAGCTGGTGGCTCTGGACGACGTAGCAGAGCTGGAATGTCCTCAACTTTAGATCAGTCAGAAAATGGAGATGATTTTTTAGACAGTTTAATTTCAGAAAAATCATCTCGCTCAAAAGCTAATATTTCATCAGGGGATCAGTCTGATTGGCTTGGATTTACCAATGAAAAGCCCAAAAAAGAACCTCAAAAACATAGTGATCAGAGTGATTGGTTAGGGACAGATACGAAAAATAGTGAAAAAGTGAAAGATTCGTCTGATTGGCTCGGACTAACAAAGGAAGTGCCAATTAAAGAAACTCAAAAACACAAACATAATGATCCGAGTGATTGGTTAGGGACAGATACGAAAAGTAGTGAAAAGGTGAAAGATTCGTCTGATTTGCTCGGAATAACAAAGGAAGTGCCAATTAAAGAAACTCAAAAAGACAAACATAATGATCCGAGTGATTGGTTAGGGACAGATACGAAAAGTAGTGATAAAGTGAAAGATTCGTCGGATTGGCTCGGATTAACAAAGGAAGTGCCAATTAAAGAAACTCAAAAACACAAACATAATGATCCGACTGATTGGTTAGGGACAGATACGAAAAGTAGTGAAAAAGTGAAAGATTCGTCTGATTGGCTCGGATTAACAAAGGAAGTGCCAATTAAAGAAACTCAAAAGCACAAACATAATGATCCAAGTGATTGGTTAGGGACAGATATGAAAAGTAGTGAAAAAGTGAAAGATTCCTCTGATTGGCTTGGACTGAATGATTCAGGTGATCCCACAACAACAAACAAGCAAAATGATCCATCTGATTATTTGGCTATTTCTGGTGACTCTGAAATTGAAAGGTCTGGAAAGATTGTAATTAGAGAATCTAAAAGACAACAAAACCAAAGACAATATGAACCTGCTGATGATTATATTGGCTTGGGGCAAACTACAGGTGACAGAATAAGGTGCGTTTAGTAAAACAACTAGAAATATATCCTCTCAAGATTTCAGCATTTGGAATTATAGTTTTTGGTGGAAACCATTTGACTAAAAGTAGATTTTATAATTTTCTGGAAACTCTCATAAAGTTAAATGATTTTATTTTTTACACTAAGTGGATTTTGGTAGATTTTTAGTATGTCATTTCCTATGCATATATGAATTGAAAAAACAACATTTAAATATGATTGCAATTAGTTGCTGGACTACTGTGCCATATTTAGGATCCATTTCTAGTTTTATTAGTACTAGTCCATTTGTCACCCCTATACATCTAATAGTGAACCTAGAAATTGTTAAAAGTACGATGTTTTATGGTCGATTTATGATTATAAGGGTTTTCTGAAGTGATTTAACTTGGTTGCCTAAAAAGTTTGTTTGGGGAAAAAATTATATAGGCTGATTAGGGAGGGGTGCAACCGCTTAACATGGCGTTGACTATTGACTTAGCGTTGGGATACCACCATATACCTAGTATGTTACCATGGGAATAGATACAAAATTTTTCCCCAAAGTGATTTTTTGGCAACCCAGCTAAATCACTCCAATAATCCCTAATGATAGTATTTACACAGAAAAACATCATACTTTTAAATATTCATACGTTCAGAAAATGACAAATGGACTATACATGTAATTTCAAACTATCAGCTGTAACAAGTAAAAAGAGACTTTGATATCTAATTTAGCAAAACAAATTTGTGTGCTATAGGCCTATACAATATGTGTTAAATAATCATCATGCAAAAGTTATGATATGTTTTCTTGCAGTATGCCACCACAGCAACAAAATATAACCTTAGCTCAAAATCTTGTAAATCCAAATCCCAAAGCTCGGCCTGCACAACAAAATGCTCAAGCAGATCAGGGAAAGGCACACTCTGAAACTTCCTCTATTATAACAACTAGTCAAGGCAATGCAACAAACATGCTGACTGAAAATGTTAGATGGCCAGGGAATCAGACAGAATATCTTCAGCTGAAACAACAACAGGAATTGAGAGATTCATTGCTGAGACAAGAACAGATGCTCCTTCAGCAGCAGCAACAGTCTCAGCAAATTGTGAATACCCAACAGGTAATGACAGCTATATAATATTTGAGCATTGATAAGGGTAAATATGGCAAAATTAAGTGTTGCATTTAAAAAGTACAGTTGGTCCAAAGAATAAATGCTAATGTTACAACGGATGGTTTAAGTTAACCCTTCATCTTTGGAGAAAATAAATGGTTGGATCTAGAACCATTATATAATTCTCAAAATGAAGAGTGATTTGATAATATCATCTCATCTCATAGGCTTTTATGGAATAAGAATAAAGAGTGAACTTCTCTTCTTTAAACAATCCTACCTGAACTCTTTCAAATATTATTGTAATTAATTAAATTGGTATGTCTATATGCATAGACAATGCATACAATTGCAGTGACAAATCATTGTAAGATATTACATGTCAGACCTGTAGCCAGGATTTGGTGCTCCACATCAGACTAAAATAAATTTATCTAAAATAGTTGGCCACCACCTAATGGTAAAGAAATGCTGCTAGCATTGAAACTGATAGTTTAACAACCTTTAATAGTACCCCGGACAGGTTGTATGATGCAGTCGTTTTTTTACTCTATATTTGCAATAGAACAACCATTCTTATTGAAATTTTCATATTTTATTCTGGAGACAATTTCCAACGTGGAAAATAAATATTTTATCAAAATTTCCAATTTTATGATTTTGACGGGTTTTTTTCAAAAACACTACACTGTCAATAAAATACAGGTTTTTGCTTGAGCAATTGAACTTTTGACGTCATTTCAAAGATTGTCTAGTTATTGAATTTTTGGCAGCCTAAAGTCTTTCCAGATGTATTTGATGTCATATTAATTATGGCTGATTATTGTTATTCATTTTAGTCATATTCAATAGGCCTAATATTATTACAGTGCATTAGGCCAATGAAAAACTTCTGGGTCATGTTTTCTCTGAAAACACACCATTTTCTCCACTGGATTTTTCTGCCACCGTCACTCAGCATGCGAGCCTGTCGCACGTAAATTGTACCATGCTTTTAAAATGTCAGGTCTCCCTGACAATTTCATGATAAAATATGACACAGCTGTATTAACATCTCTGAAGGATCTAATGCCAAGAATACTTCAAATAGGAGATTCGTAATGTTTTAGTTCATTTTCGACAGTATTGAACAGTGACCAGGTTGAACTCATGTCTGTGGACAAGAAGATTGACCTCATCTATCTGGGCTCAATCTAGGGAACGCTTCACAAAACGATACCCAGAGCAACAAGTTTTTATTGGCCTAATGCACTGTAATAATATTGAATATGACTCAGGTAAATAACAATAATCAGCCATAATTATTAATATGGCAACAGATATATCTGGAAAGACTTTAAGCGGCTGGAAATTCAATAGCCAGACAATATTTGAAATGACGTTAAAAGTTCAATTGTTCAAGCAAAAACCTGTTTTTTTATTGACAGTTTAGTGTTTTTGAAAAAAGCCCGTCAAAATCATAAAATTGGAAATTTTGATAAAATATTTATTTTCCATGTTGGAAATTGTCTTTAGAATAAATCTTGAAAATTTTAATAAGAATGGTTGTTATATTGAAAATATGGAGTAAAAATACGACTGCATCATACAACCTGTCTGGGGTACTATATAGATAAGTCAACTTACTTTTCCTTCAAAAATTGTGTTGTAGACCTTGCCCTTCCAATCTGAGGATACAATGGCATCCCGCTTAATTCCTCCTTCCCCAGTAGCAGTTGGAGTGGGGACATATCTACCTCAGCAACAGCACCCTGCACAACATCCCCCCCACCCAGAAAGCTCAACTAAAATATTGGAACTCCAAAATCAGGTAGTCATTATTATATTGTAACTGCCCATTATTTCTTATATCCAACTGCCCGTTATTTCTTTTATCACACCGCTTGTTGGATATTATTCTTGTGATTGTGGTGTTATATTGACCATAATTGTGTTGTGGTGTCCCACTTTTTGTTCTCAATGTTTCCAGGAAAACCTCATGGCAGACTTCCTTTAACTTTGTATATAGGTTAGAGCTGAGGCTACCAAGTTCTGCATTTCCTTAACTTTTGGTGGCCATCTTGTTATGCCTATCATGTAATGTCCAAAATAAAGTATGTTTTGTTCGATGGTATTTGCTACTCAATGCAGTTGCTGTGTTCTTGTTGATATATAACATATATGCAAGTGGAAATTACAGGTCTCAAGCTGAATGTCTCTCAATGTCTTTATTGTACATATGTATATGATGATTACAGGTGAGGAGACTTGAGATTGAAAAGAGTCACATTGAGTCCATGTTAGATAGTGCCAATAAACACCACCAAGAGGAACTTAATGCACTTGAGACATCTAGCAAGGCAAGAACAAATATGATTGAGGAGTGCTTCCAACGAAGGGAGGCAAGGTTATTAGAAGAAAATAGATTGTTACACACTCAAATCACTAACAAAACTGAGACAATGGAACAGGAAAAATCCGATCTCATTCAGCAGCATTTCAAAAAGTATGAAAACTGGGAAAAGGAAAAAGTTCAAGAAATCGAAAGACTTCGAGAATTACATAGGTAATGATTCTTTTTTGTCTGGAGTGATTAATGTTCAATGAAAATCTGACTACCCTTTCCAGCAATTGAAAAATTTAATAGTATGCTGGGATTTTTGGTTTCTCTGCACAGTAGAATATGTTCTGAACATGAATATTCTGAATAAGATATTCAGTAAACCATGAGTAAAATGATTTCCATAGACATCTATGTGTAACTTCAGATCTTCTGTTCTAAACATGAAACACGAAAGCTGAATGGGTATATCATTATTGTTGCCGTATTTCAGAGAAGCCATAGAGGCACTGCGCAAAGAACACGAGGAACATGTTTCTAGCTTAAAGAGGGTGAAGGAGCAAGAACTAGAAGCAGTCACCAGTGCACATTCACATTCAAGGTACTGTACTTGTAAGTTAGAGAGAGCAAAATTTCAAATGGCTGCCATTTTTGTGTTATTTTACATTTTCTACTAAGTCATGGAGCGATTCTGATGAAATTTTATATGTAAAAAATGAGAAGCATGGTACACTTTCTCATGACAATTTGACTAGTAAGTGGCCATTTTGAAAATTGGACACCAATTTTATGTGTGGGATACGTTTCTGTTGTTGCTTAAACTGTAAAGCGGTTTTGTTGAAATCATATATTTGAATATAAAAGCATATCACACTGTCTAATGACAGTTTGGCTAATAAGGGGCCTTTTTCAATAATGGCAGCCATGGCTGTTCGATGGGGTTTGCTAGGCCTTGGTGGTGCTGTTATATAGTTTATGTCATTCATGAAATGTTTAAAATGTGATCTGTAGGTTATATATTTGCTACAACATGGAGGGAGATATTTTCAAGTTTAGATTAATCAATGACATTAAATTTGTGTCTAGATCTCTTCATGCTGTTATGGAACAGATGCAGAGCAATGCAAAAGATCTTGGTGAATTGCAACATACTGTACATGTCCAACATCAGGCAAGTCAAGATGAGCGCCACCTCACAGCAATGGCTAGAGATGAACAGTTGAAAGGTAGAAAAGGCTTCTCTGTGTCAAACACATTGCTTCTTTATGTTGAAATGCTTTAAAACCTGTCCAATCTTGGACTGACTAAAATAGTTCAGATTAGGAGGTGTTGATGTCAAGGATTTTTGCATTCACTGGATTCAGGACTTTGAAGAAATATGAAAACATTCTCTGTTAATATTTGTAGCGCATTTGATCACAAAACTATGATATACCAATAATTTGAATATTTCATTATTTCATGTATCAATATTACATGATTCAAATAAATTCACATTAAAGACATGTTTTGATTGGTTTATATTTGCATGTAGATTTCTGCTATTTCAGCACTGCAGGAAAGACATGCTAAGCAGCAGAAAGAAAATGAATCCGAACGTGCTGCTCTTCAAGAATTAATTGTTAAAATGGAGGTACAGTTACGTGAACAGCAAAGAATTTCTGAACAGGTACAACTTGCTTCTTCATTTTTGATTCACAATTGATTCAGAATTGCAGTGAAGACAAGTAAGGAAATCCAGGCAGATGACAACTTTGTTTCACTATGTTCTATGTGCTGAGAAAGCAAAAGATACTCCACTGACATTATGATGCAAATAGTGACTGCCATTGAGGGAAATAATACAAATATTTCGCCGAATTGATTCTCCTCTCCACTGATATGTTCATTTATTTGTTTTAAACTTTACTACTTATTTAACTTGAAAAATCAGAGTGGGAAAATAGTAGGGGTTGTCTCTTGTTGGATTGTTGGATCATGCCTCATCTATTTCCAGGAAAAATGGAAAGTAAGACAAGAAACTAACAAAATGGAAGCTCTACAAATGTCTCTGGCAGAGGAGAAAAGGATTTTAGTAGAGCAAGTTCAGAGGGAGAAAGAAGATATTCAGCGTGCCAAGGTATGATGTTTTGTGTATGTATATCTCACCAAACGAAGTTGGAGTAGGGATATGGAAAAGCCATCTGTCTCTCTGTTTGTCCATCATGTTAATTCAAATAAATGTTGAAGGATTTGGTTCCAATATTTAGCCTGATGTCTTCTGCTGATGACTTCTGCTTAAGAAGGAATTTTCAATATGGCTACTTAGTTCAAAATGGCTTCCATTTTTGAAAAAAGGTTATCTTAGATTTCTTCAGTTTTGTTGAAAATTCTTGTGCCTCAGAGGCATAAGAGCTTTGCTAAAGAAGAAATTTCAAGATGCGCACTGGCATTTTGAATAAAAAAATATACATAAGCTATACTTTAGTTTAAAAGCCTTGTTAGTCATATTTAAAATAAAAATGGTTTATAAGTATTGATATCTTTAAAATTCAAAATGTCCTTTTATTAAAAAATCTGTCAGTAAGATCTCATCAGTATCAAACTGTATATGTATTTCTCCTATTCAGTGAGTAATATACTGTATGAGATTTCCTGCCACTTCCCTTTGCTCACTTCTCCACTTACTAGGCATGTCCCCTCTGATCTCAACTGGGCCACTTAGTCTATTGGTGGTGGGCAGAGTCCCGCTCAAGATGGCTATGGCTGAAGTGGAAAGACCAATGGGCCCATCTGAGGGTGAGGCTCTGTGATGAACCTCATCCACCCAAGTGCTAGCTGTCTGGGCAATAATGGGTCAAAATACTGTCTGACACATGCCCTGCTGGCTGACGATGCAAGAGCACCAACCGCCAAGCCCACACATCAGTCCAAATTCATTGTCCCTTCTCAACACCTCTTAGAGACATACCACTTTGAGAATAGCGATGTATCATTATTGATGTTAACACAAATGAACTATACTCACCTTCATATCAGGGTAACAGGAAACCATCAATGTCCTAAAAACATTCAGCTATTTTGTAAGTGTACAGCTGACAAATTTACCATTTTTTGGTTCCTTAAAAACAATATAAATAATATAGATTTAATTATTATACTTTTTTAAAGGAATCCCTATTGAATGAACAAAAGGCTGGAATGAGTCAATTGTACGAGGAAAGACGTGCCTTGGCAGAGGAGAGGTCTCAGTTAACAATATCACAGAGAATGTTGGTGGATAGGGGACAGAGAGAATCAGTCAGAAAGGAACATGTAAGTACTTTTACTTGAATACTATACTATATTACTAAGTTTCATGGTGGAATTGGTTTAATACAATTGTATGATGTTTCAAATTCAATGCTTGTAATGTGCAGAGCAAGACCATTAGGAGTAAATAAAGAATGATGTGACAATTAAAGTAATTGATGTGTTCACATAAACCATTGAAATCAAGCAGTCTAAGGATTACCTTTAATTTGAAGCTGTTAATAAGATGATCTCAATGATGTCACATTGAACATTCTGTCTGATGTTTTTTTAGATTGAGGGTGAGTTAGAAGGCACAGTGAAAATGATCACAGATATGAAAGCAAAGTTTCAAGAGAGGCAACAAAAAATACAACAAGAACAAGAAGATCTTGCAAAAATAAGAGTTGAGCTGGAACATCAGAAGAAGGAGTTGGAACTGGAGAAAATGAAACTTAAAGACATGGCAATGCAGTTGCAGGAACGTTCTCAGAATATTGAAGGGCTAGCAAGAGTAAGTCATTAGTTGTACTTTCTTGTAATACCAAATGGTTATTTGTTTATATGTTCGTAAGTCCTTGATTTATAAACTAATGTTATGTTCCCAGCTTCATCCAAAATGTATGTATAGCCTAATTCCCCCCCCCCCCTTTTTGATGACTCCTTCAGCAGCATGTTTCAGTAATTAATAAATGATATACTGTGATAGTTGTATTAGCCTCAGTATCACACAGCGCCAAATTCAGAAATGTTAAAACACTCCAGTTATGGCATAAAATCATTTTTGAATTATTTCACTTTGTTCAATCATTAGAAAATTCTTAAATCGCGTCATCTTAACTGAAACTGTCATTTTGAACCTAACAAACTGTCTTATGAGGCAACAATATTAAATTCACAGGAAGCTGCAAAGGTAAAAGGTGAAGGTGATAAAGCAATTGCTGAAGCCAAGAACATAGAAATGGACCACAATATTAGACTAGAAAAAATTCAGCTGCAACTTACAACACTCCGGGATAAAGAAAAAGTAATTGCCCAGGTGAGTCTTGAGGGGAAATATAACATCTTCCACGGGGATGCAGTTCAGATATAACATTCATTTGCTCAACTGAATAGTTCTATTGAATGTTTTGTGAGATGTTGTGCACCAATCAAAACTTTGTGTGAGGGAGAAGGGGTGAGGATTTTGACAAAATAAAAATTGGCTTGTTAACAACCTAGTTAGTCAATATCCCCACCCTTGGAGTATTATTAGCTGGTAAATATAGTAAAAAATCCTGATTAACAGGAATGCCTTTTACAATGTCATAATCCCATCCCCTGAGACAACACTGCAGATCAAATTCCCAACCATCCCTGAATTGATGAGTCTCAAATAATCCTTTGATTAGTGGATTATGAGGATATAAAGTTGTTTTTAATTATCCCGCAGAACAAAGTACATTATGCAAATTCTGTTGATTTCTCATGGCACATCACATGTTTAAGGAAACGCTGGTGACACGTTTTTTTATTCAAGAAAAAGTGTACAATTGAATTTATAATCCATTGCATCTTCAAGTTACATTTGGTGGTTAGCATTTTGAAAGAAAAGTGTTGTTTTTTTTGGCCCACCCTGTATATCTCCCACTTCAATATCCCGGGAAAATGTTATGTTCACTGTACGTAGAAACAGTCAAATCCAGAGACAGAATATCTGGCCATAGCGACACTGTCAAAATGGATGCAGTCAAAATGGATGCAGCATATCTCCACCCATTCCAATTCTCATATATTTTTCATTTCAGGAGAGAATATCACTGTGCAGAGAGAAAAGAGATCTGCGAAAGTCATTATGCATCAACTGCCACATGCTTTTGAGAAATCAGTCTCATGATAGACCTAATGTCTACTCTGGAATACCAGTCCCAAAAGTGAACAATAACTCAGGAATATCAAAAATACAATTGAACAGTGGTTCGTTCAACAATAACTCTGCTCAGGAACTAGGCAAAAATCTCATGTACAAAGATCAAATGTACAAATCACAGTTGGAAATGAAACATTGGGAAATAGAATCTAAAAGAGACCAAGAGTTCCTCAAAGATGAGGAAATGTTTAAGCAAATATATTTAGAAACTCCCTAAGAGGCCTAGAACAGATTAAGGATTATTTTAGTAAAACCCTTATTCAACATACATTTCAGTCTTTAATTGTCATATGGCCCACCACAGAAAATAATTGTGTTTTGCTGTTTTTGGATAACTGCTCAATAGAGGGTTAATTCTAGGATGCAGAAAGCCAGAGACACACCGGTGATTGGGAAAATGGGACGAAATTCCAACAAATCTGGAACATTTATTTTTTCAAGAGAAGAAAGGTTGTTGTCAAAGTGAAGAAGCGAAAATAAAATGTTTTATGAATGTTCAAAGGCTAAAATAGGTTCAAATGTTCAAATAATGTAAGTTCATTACGTTCAAATGGGATATAATGAAACCCTCTGTATGAGTACCACTTCAGAAATACTGTAGATACACTTATTTTGAGCTACTAATTTGACAGATTTGCTCAATTTCAAATATTGGCCGCTATTTAATCTGGTGGTTTCAGGACTGAAGTTTAATTTGTCCATGTTTATGTCATTAGGACAGGTATTTACTTTAAAGTTATTTTCTGTATTTCTTTTGGAATAATGTAGAATAGATGACACGTTGACAGGAGAAGGGGCCACAGAAGTTTAAGTGCTTTGGATAAAAATTCCAAACTGAAATTTGATGGATTTTTAATTTAGCGGATTTACTGAATCCGCGAATCAGTCAAATTAAAACTGTAGTCAAATTAAGCATATCTACAGTAGAATGAATTTTTGTGAAAATGAGAATTATTTCATGAACCTTATTTAATAGCATTACATGTAAGATATATCTATTTTTTACCTATATATTAAGTTTTTTGCCTAAACCCAGGGGCAATTATGGGGCCTTGAATTTGAGTATAATCAAGATATGGTTTACTTCCGAATCAAAATATATTGATTGAAATTCTAGTCTTAGGTAGCCATTTCGAACTTCACAGAGTACAAAAAAATTCAATATTTATTACTAATATTACTAGTATGTTTATTACTAGTATTTAAAATACCTTTTTATTTTATTATCAACCTTTACTTTGATGATCTCAAAATGAACAAAAATCCCTGTTTTCTCAATGTCTCATATGCGCCTGTGGGACTTGGCTAAAAATTATAATAAACAAATTGAAAATTCTCGCAGTAATACTCAGTTATATTAATATGAAATAATAATAAAAACCTTAAATGAAATGAAAATCATAATACTTTTGGCAACCTTTTTTAAAAATGTATATATATTTTGTGTGTAGTTGCTTACATTTTTCAACAAATTATGAAAGAAATCAATTCATTAGTATTGAGTGAAGAGGCTTATCAATCCCTTTAAAACTCCATATGTTGGGATGAATATGAAAACCAGAACAACGGCAACGCTGAAGCGTAGCGAATCCCATCGAACAGAGATGGCTGGCATTTTTACAAACGAATAGCAAATATCATAAAACAACACACCAGAAAAGCCACCATTTTCAAAATGGTTGCTCACTAGCCAAGTTGTCATCAGAAGAAATAATATGCTTTTAAGTAGCCACCTCTAAAATTTTTGGAAAATCGCATAAGTACTTGTAAAATAACACACATAAAAATGGTGGCCATTTTTCAAAATGGCCGACTACTCCCCAAAGTTTTATTAGACAATGTGCCATGCTTACATTATTCACATATCAAATATGAACAAAATCGCTCCACTACTTTTCGAGTAATAGTAAAATATTTTAAAATGGCGGCCATTTTTCAAAATGGCCACCTTCTACCAAAAGTATCATTAGAAATAGACAGTGTCCATGCTTATAATATTCACATACCAAATATGAACAAAATCGCTCCACTACTTTTCGAGTTATAGTAAAATACGTTAAAATGGCGGCCATTTTTCAACTTTTTTTTCAATAATGGCCGCCTTCTACCAAAAGTGTCATAGGACAGTGTGCCATGCTTATAGTATTCACATATCAAATATGAACAAAATCGCTCCACTACTTTTCGAGTTATAGTAAAATACATTAAAATGGCCCAAATGGGGGCCATTTTTCAAAAAAAATTTCAAAATGGCCGCCTTCTAACAAAAATGTCATAGGACAGTGTGCCATGCTTATAGTATTCACATACCAAATATGAACAAAATCGCTCCACTACTTTTCGAGTTATAGTAAAATATGTTAAAATGGCGGCCATTTTTCAAAATGGCCGCCTTCTACCAAAAGTGTCTTTAGACAGTGTGCTATGCTTATAGTATTCACATACCAAATATGAACAAAATCGCTCCACTATTTTTTGAGTTACAGCAAAAATCGTAAAATGACGAGTAAAGGCCGCCATTTTTCAAGATGGCTGCCATGCGCTTCTTTAATACCTACATTTGTAGCATTATTAATGTCCTTTATAATTTTTTTACATTTAAAACATTGCTATTACAGTTTTACATATTGCACCCAAATTACTGTAAAATCGGCACTAACATGGCCGCCATTTTGAAATGAGCGGCCATTTTGAAAATCGGCTTTCGAGCAGAACTTCTACTCCCATAGGGTATATGTGTACAAAATATGAACAAAATCGGGCGAACGGTATTTGAGTTATTGCCCGGACGGACGGACGGACGGACGGACGGAGGCGTTCCCTATATCCCTCCGAACTTCGTTCGATGGGATAATAAAGCCAATGTTTGATCCGTGATTCATACCTATGCACAGTCCAACCAAAGCGATAAAAATGGGACACTGTTTTAAAACACATTCATAAATCATTTCTTTAGGCCATGGGTTACAGGGAAAGATAACCAATGTTTTTGCCAATTTTTTATGATTTCCTTTAGGAAACTGGAACTCCTAATTTTTGGATCTTGCAAATGAAAAATTGTGAGCCACATGCCCAAAAACAAGACTTTTTGTACTTGATAGATTGCATTTATTTATTTATTTTATATATCTTTATATAATTCCTGGTTCCATAAAAAATGTTTTTTTTGTCTATAATTTGAATTATAAAATTCAAATATCACCTTCATAAACAATAAAAATAAATTATTATAACATGACAACTAGTTTTTCTCGTGATTACATACATTACTTCCATTACATGGTAACATTAACCCAGGATTCACAAACATCACATATAGGAAAACAAAGTGGTTCTTTGGTGCCAATCCGTGGACAACGACTAGATTTTGAATAGATTTATTGTAATATGTCCAAGCAGCCAAATGCAAATCAGATCGGGGATGTATATGGTGTATATAGTAATGAAGGACCCACGGTCCTATGCTCACACAGTTTGGAACCTTCAGAGGAATTTATATCCTGACTTTCAAACAAAAATATTGATTTGGATTTGTAGTCTCGAACTTTGAGAAACTTAGATAGCATAGTTGTGTGACCTAGTTTGATGACCTAGCTTTGACCTTGAAAATTTTACTTATTCAGAGCTCAGTAAGGTCTTTTGTGATTAAGCTGACCAAAATTTACATCCAAAAATCAATTTGAAAAATCAACTTTTTTGACCTTTCGAAGGTCACTGAAGGTCAAGTAAAGGTCAAATCCTAAAACTAATGTCAGATTTGAACTCCTGGCAACTTGTAGATGATTTTCAAAAAAAAATTTGGTCAAATTGAAGCAAGTTGAAAAATAACTTATTTTTACTGTTTTTTGACGTCAAATATCTCAAAAACGGTAAAAATTTGATGCTGACATATATTGAGAAATATGTAGGGAATGCTTAAATCTATTAATGATGTAATTTATTGCAGGAAATGATCAAGTATAAGGCAAACTTTAAGAATCTTGTCAATCACAAAACTTTATACATGAGAAAGTTTCCTAAAAATGACGAAGTCCTACTTTTTTTCAAATTTTATAGAGTAAACACCAAAAACTGTTCTTCCAAGAGCTTTGAAATCTTCAGAGGACATAAGTTGCATATACACCAACTACTAAAAGTTATTTGAAAGTTCTACTTCAACAAAGTGTCTAGTATTTAGTAAATTTACAGAAAATTTGACTTTTTGACGTCAAAATCCGCAATTTCTCGGAAACCGGGCGAACTTGGGAAATGGCGATGATAGGTCAAATAGGCATTATGGATATGCATAAAATGAATGTGGATATGACTCAATCCGAATAGCAGTTTTAATTTGTGTGGCCAATGTTGACGGACGGACCAACGGACGGACCAACGGACGGACGGACGCCTGGTCGATCCCATAGGCTCACTGTGTGAGCCAAAAATGACCAATTCAGTTGATCGTATGTGAGATGGCACTCGCTCTCCAACAATTCCCTTTTTTTAAGTTTGCTGATGTTACAAACATTTGATCAGTGGCTAAAACCTCAATAAAATTAAAGCTACTTTGAACACTGAATTTAATTGCTTGAGAGATTGGTTTGTAGCCAAAGCTAACAAACCAAATTCACTTTATTGAGTTCAAACCAGAAAAATATGAATTCTAGGAATTTAGAAATATTCATTGGTAATAAAAAAAAAAAGTCACACACACTAATGTTCTTGGTGCGAATATTTTTCTACTACATCTCACTACATTGAGCTTCGCCATATACAGCCCATGAGGGATTGTGGGTGAGCAGTATGTATTTGAAGAAAACCATATCCACGTAGTGCGATGAACTGTCTTGGTCATTAATTGAGAGCTTTGTGTAAATAAATGTATCCTCTTCCCCTAGTAGATACACATCCAAAACCTCAGTTTGTAAACTCTGCTTTCAATCTGAAACATGACACTACTCAACAACTTAGTTGATATTCACATCCTCAGTAGCACTGCTAGATTGTCTAACTGTTCCTGGTTGGCGTATATGAAGCACCTTGTCTCCCACATTGTTCTAACAAGGGTCATGTCATTGGTCTCATCCAGCTTTACATCCTCAGAGAGTTGGGGACTGAAGCGGAAGTAGGGGACATTGATCATGCTACACCAGGCACGAGCCCTTTCCACTGGTCTACCCTCAGAGATGGTTGCCTGAAGCGCATATAAATGTAATTAATCACAATGGCACAATAAAGAACTCATTGAACTTCAACAAAGTCAGTGCAAAGTGCAAAGGCCCGTAGCCAGGTTTACCAAGGGGGCTTCAGTTTTCAAAAATTTCTAGGGGGGTTCACATTTGACAATTTTGGCCCAAATATGGCTAAAATCACTTGAGAAGTGCTCAAAATGGTGAAAACTGCATGATTTTGAAAGAATTTTTGTCCTGGGGGGGGGGGGTTGGGTTTGCGCCCGGACCCTGCGAACCTCCTGGCTACGGGCCTGGAACTACACATGAGTTGATTAAATCATCCACATTTCATTGAGTCACATGCTTAAAATAAACATAGATTCACACATAGCTAGGCAAGGGACATCAAACTCAAGCCAATCAGAACACAGTATCTCAAATAACCCAGATGCGAGTATATGTTTGAATGTCAAATGGTAAGCAATGACTAGCTAGCCCTTGCAAATCAGTTTCCTTGCAAAAAAATCATTCATTTACTAGTAAATGATACAGTACAAAAACTTGCAATGTGTGAAAAGAATTAAGCACATGCTTATGGATCCTCACCTGATCAATGAGAAGTTTAACAAAGGCCTGTCCTGCATAAGCTGCTTTTATACCTTCCATGATTCCAGAAGGGCGGAATAAGTCAACATCTTGTACTGGTGTCACTGGAATTATACCTGTTCCCAAGGAAACGACACAGCTGATTGGCTCAATGTTCTCCATATGACCTACAATTTTGAAGTTACATATCAGGGTGTGAAGAAGGAAACAATAATTTATCTTGAAAATTCCTTCTTAAGCAGAGTCAAATGCCGTTAAGGCAAATAGCACATAAAATCTAAACATAATCTGACATCTGCTATTTATCGAATTATCAAGGAATATATTTTTTACAAAAAAACGGCAGCTATTATGAACTGAGTAACCTTACTGGAAACTCTTTCTTTGGCAGAGGTCTCAATTCCTTTTAGAACAGATAGAACATTATTTGAGTTATGGTGGATGTTTTGAATTGAGCATCTAGTCTCAGTTGCATATACAGGGGACTTAGTTAATGTTATGATGGTAAAAGTTCAGAACATAAAGAATTTCTATTTAGAAGTTACTTGTATCTCTTAACATTGACACTTTAAACTGAATGACTCTTTACTTCAGAATTAAATGAATGGAATGTGCAACATACCATCTGATTTTAATGCCATGTTGTACTCATGTATCTCACTAAGGGTGTCCAGGGTAGGGTTGTTGCTCATCAGGCCTCCATCCAAGTACCTCCCCATGGCTCTAAAGTATGTAGGGGCAGCCCCACTAGACCTAGCAGCCTGCCACAGAAACTGCTCTGCAATAAGCGAGATCAGTGATAAAGTATACATTATAATATATGACCATTTAAAGTGAGCATTACATATATTAACATGGTGGTACCTGTATATCTGAGTGGAGCAGCAAAGCGTGTGTCTCGACTCTTATTCTGTAGAGTGATATAGTTTTCAGGGGGCTCATAGTTGCGGAATAAATGCAGGTCTGCTGGATGCCTGTCTCCCAGTACTCCTGTCACTATGACCCTTGGGTACAAAATATGAAAATCAACTTTCTAAGGAATCAGCTCTATATACATATACCATACTTATATATCTAGGGTTTGTCTAATTTGCAGCCCCAACCGTACCGATGTAGATTTCCACTTACCTACCACCACACTATGCCGGGTTTGATTTTTCATAAATACTTCATATCAGTCAAATATAGCAAAAAAAGTTTAGACTACACCAATCAAATATTAAGGCATATTTTATCATCCTGCCAGGTGTATGAAAATGGAAAGAATATGATCAAATATTCAGCAAATGATCTTCATACACATCTTTAAAACATTATCTTACTAATTCTTTTAAGTACGCAACTAATTAGCTAAGCAACACACACTTGGTGGGGTATTTAAGTGGGTCTTTCAAAGTAAGCAGACTACTCATTCAACATTGTACATACCATGCAGTTCATACTGACTGAGCGATTTCCTGTGCAAAAATATCAACAGCACAACCTGGTCCCACACCCACCTACTAACTTTGCTCTTAGCTGATTCATGTGAAAATATGTCTGAGGTACCAATGTACAACCTTCTCCCATTGAGTAAATTCCTAATTGTTTTTACTTCTACCATTGAAGTAATGAAAAACTCCCAATTGTATTTACTGGATTGAATAGAGTAAAGTAATCCCTGACAATAATTGTTCAAGAGAAATTCAAAAGATCAGACCCTGCATGTACATGTATGGACTGTAAGTGGAAATCCACTTATGTGGGGAAGGCAAATTAGACAAATCCATATATCTAAGTTATTCTCCAAATAAAAAAATTAATTGTTGATAAATCCATTCAAAAAAAATTTAAGTGACCCACCCCAGGAGTGTTTTTTGTTTCCGTTTTTGTGCTCTCAAAAAAAACTTGGGCTCAATTGACTTTGCTACAAGTGATTCTCAAATATGTACACTTTCCAAATCAATTTCCAAATTGTAACCTCTAATTAAGAACATTAATCTTGAGCATTTTGAAAAGCTAGTACATGTTCCAATTATTTTCTTTGACAAATGATTTCAAATTCAACAGTCCCCTCTTCAGTTCTCTTCAGTTCAATATAAACTCACTTTGGTTTTCGTACATCTGACATTCTTGTCTTTTCTCCAAATTCCTGCTTCATGAATTTTTCCAGTGGTTGAGAATCATAAGGCCTATTTCCAATAAACACTGCATCCTTGAATCTCATGTACAAACCCAAAATATACTGCAGCGATTTGCCTGGAGAGATATAATTATATAAAAGCTTACATTAAAGCACATGTTTGCGTCATATGAATGCGATAAATAGTTTCCCTGTTATTTCTTTGGGTCTTTTTCTTTTTCCATAACTGTCAGACTGACATGGCATCCTTACTGCGTTGCTACAGTGATGGGAAATGGTCTCAGAGCACCTCAAGATCATCACAAGCATGGTAAAAGCGTGGTAGAAACACCAGACATTGTGCAATTGCGATTACTACAATTTTCACAGGGTCTTTGCCACATGTGTACTGCGCAGAACCTAGGCATTTGTTTTGAACATGCTAAAAACAAACACTAACTCGGTGATCATTGCCTTGGCAACCACGGAAACCAAAGCACAGTGTCTGGCATATCCACGATGCTTTAAGGCAATTCTGACATGCTCGGAGACCATTGTCCGTTGCTGTACTAGCGTAGTTAGGATGCCATCCAGATATGGGGGGTATATGATAGACAACAAGGCACAGGGTGAACAATATCATACCTAAAACAGCAGCGTGTGCTTGATGACCCATAAAGCAAGATGGCCACTGAAAAGTTAATTAGTTCTAGAACTTCTTACCATGTAACATGTGTAAAAATTTGAAGTAAATCAGTTAAGTGATGCCAAGATTTATCTAAAAACTTCCAAGATGGCCACCAGAATGCAAGATGGCAACCAAAAAGTTAATCAGCTCTAGAAATTCTAACCATGTAACAGGTGTGAAAATTTGAAGTATATCAGTCGAGTGGTTTTCCTGGAATCGTGATGACAAGAAAGTGAGATGCCGTCCGTCCATACCTTTTTTAGGTACGATCAACTAGCAAGCGAGTTATTTCCTAGCTGGATAGTTAGATGGACTGACTGAGAAAAGCTTCTCTGAATCACATTTATTGGGATAAAAAGCTTGAGATGCACTGTTCTGATTTAGCTGTAGAGACAATCATATACTCTGGAACAAAATATTGATTATAAATGCAGAAGTATTTACCATGTGTAATTGCAAGGGCTAGAATTCCACCAGTGCTAGTCCCACTTATCCAATCAAAACACTCCTTTATTGGTCGTCCAGTAGTTTTCTCAATGGCAAGCAGTAACTGAACTAATATAAGGCCTCTTATACCCCCTCCATCTAAACATAGCACCTGTAAGCACACATTCAACTCCTATGCATCACCTTATTAGACTCCAGATTGAAAATCTGGAGTCTATTGCTTTTGCCGGTTTTCTTATTATTATTATTATTATTCTTTCTCTCTTGTCACGTTTTCTCGGTAACTAGAAGGACTTACTTAAATCTGCTAACACAGTCAACTAGGTAATGAGGCCTAGTTTCTGGGAAATTAGGTCAACTTTTTATCTAGGTCAAAGGTCAAGAACTAGGTCAAATCGTGGTTTTTCACTATTTTACAAGTTTTCTCAGTCGTCCTTCGGTATTTTCACTCTGGGTTTTTTTCATCATGTTCCTTAGAAAAAGCTTATTACGAATGGTAAACCGTTTTTTGATTACTCTTACCGATTTTGAGATATGGTGTCCGAAAAGTAGGTCAGAACATAAAAAGTTCTCCAAATTCAACGTGTGAATCATCATATAAGTGTAGAATTATCTCAGGAATCCGAATCTGCAAACAAAATTTCGATCCGACTTCCGGTTCGGAAGTTATTGCGTTTTGAAATCTCAAAAATCGCTAAATTTGGTGCCCATGTTAAGCCAATGGGAAAAAAGACTTTTTCGAAGTGTAAAATACAAGATATAGACTGAGTACAGCTTAACATAATGAATGCCTAGAAAAGAAGGGGACCTCAAAAGCTACATAGCTTCAAAATTTGGACACCAAAATGCCTAGGTCAAAATCTAGGTCAAATTCATAGTTTTTCCTCATTTTTACGATTCTGACACTACACTTTAATAATTTGCTTCAAAATTTTGTAAACAGGTAGCAAAGAGTGTGCTAATAGTGTTAGCCTTTTGCCGTCAGAAAGTATTTTGACCCACTTTTGAGATATAGTGTCCGAAATGTAGGTCAAAATAAAAAGTTCTCCAAATTTAACATATGAGCTATGAAATAAGAGTAGAATTTTCTCAGGAATCTGAATCTGCAAACTAAATTTCGATCCGACTGCCAATTCGGAAGTTAAAGCGTTTTGAAATCTCAAAAATCGCTCAATTTGGTGCACCATGTTAAGTCAATGGGAAAAAAGACTTTTTTGAAGTGTAAAATACAAGATATAGACTGGGTAAAGCTCAACATAATGAACTATTATTAAAGAAGGGGACCTCAAAAGCTACATAGCTTCAAAATTTGGACACCAAAATGCCTAGGTCAAAATCTAGGTCAAATTCATAGTTTTTCCTTATTTTTACGATTCTGACACTACACTTTAATAATTTGCTTCAAAATTTTGTATACAGGTAGCAAAGAGTGTGCTAATAGTGTTAGCCTTTTGCCGTCAGAAAGTATTTTGACCCACTTTTGAGATATTTGTGTCCGAAAAGTAGGTCAAAGTAAAAAGTTCTCCATATTTAACGTATGAGTTATGAATTAAAAGTAGAAATGTCTCAGGAATCCAAATCTTTAAACCAAATTTTGATCCACCTTCTGATTAGATAGTTATAGCAGTTTGAAGTCTCGGAAAGTCGATATGATGATATCCCCATGTTAAGCCAATGGAGTCGAAGATAACATTCTTAAAAGTTGTCTAAATGTCTATATTCTAGCTGACTCAGCTTATTCTGAATGACTCAGCTTACAATTGGATGACTCAGCTTGAAAAAAGGTTTAAATCTGGAGTCTTAAATTGAACTTGTTCAATTTACATGTCTAGTTATTATTGCTAAGCATGAAAGTTTGCACTCTTCCAAAAATAGTTTGTTTTGTTGTTAACCCTTTGGGTTTGGAATAAATGATTAGATTTCTCCAAGAGTGCTACTTTTCCCCAACTCTTTTGGGACTATTAGTAAAGATTCACTAAGCAGTATTATCCTTTGGCCTGTAGATTTGAGACTATCAAACAGACGTGTGGCGTCATTGATATAACAAACCCATGGAAATAAAGGTATGTAATACAACAATTACATATCCATATCATTGAATATATGCCTTCAGTCTGTCGTAATAGTGAGCCCCCCCCCCTATCACACATGTCACACCAAACTAGTTCTCAACCGTTCTTTCCAGTTCTCCGAAAAAGTCATAAAACAGGCTAAATCTGGCTGTGGTTGGGAAATATGTCTAAAATAATTAGCTACTTCGTTCATAAACAATCTTCAATACGTCCATCTCATTCGCAGTTCATTCAAATCGCACCCTGTTGGTGAGCACACGTATTGCAATAGACTAGATGCGAGTAGAAATATTCTTGATTTACGTAATTAAATATTCAAAATTCAGTCAAAGCGATGTCATTTGAAATCTGCATGTAAAAGTACATCTAGTAATATGGTTTCGAAAATAGTCTATCAACTTTGGAAATTTTTTTTTTTTGAAAATGTGACCTCTTGTTCGGGTTGACGCCCCATAGACCCCATGTTACAAAATCACAAAAAGTGAATTATCTTTTCTTGTATTGGACAGATAACATTTTCTTTTACTGGACATATTTTAATTTGCATAACTATTAAATACATAAGGGTTATATGATAAATTGAACCCCTAAAACAAATGTCATTTAAGTAAAAGGGAATTTTCGACTATACCCGCCATGCTATCTGACCAGAACGAGCACCCTGGTGGTGAATCTGGTAACTACCTACTCGCATCTGTGTTATTGATATCTGATTGCACAACGTTGTATAACGCGTCCCTAGTAGGGTTGAAGTACGGCAATTATGTTCCTGGTCTAGTAGGTCATCTCGTTTGAAGTATGTTGTCACACGATCTGATTACAGAATGGTATGGTCGCCATCGAATTTTGAACCATTTCAAAATTCTAAAATCACCTTCCCATCTGAGAACGTTCATGAAGTTTGTAAATAGACCTTAGAAAGTTGCAGCTACGTTCATGAAGTTCGCACTGAGTTTAAAGCACACCCGTTTTGAAGAACGCAGTGGCAGTTTGTTTGGTGTGAATGCTATATTTTTGCTAACTCGTTCATAAGCAGTCTTTAATACGTTCTTAATCAGTTTAAACCTGTTTGCAATTAGTTCCACCTTGTTCTCAATACGTCCTCAGACAGTTCAACTCGTTGTAAAAACATCCCTAGTAGGATTGAAGCCTGACGGTTCCGTTCGTAGTACGTCCAGCTTGTCGTTAGTACATTGTCACTCATTCTAATTGTAGAATGTGACGACCGTGAGAACATTTTGAGCATGTTTTAAGTACTAGAGGACCTACCCTTTCGAGCACGTTCGATGAAGTTTGTAAATAGACCCCAAATGGATCTAAGTACGTCCGGTCCATTCATACACATACACGAGAATGTAGTGAGAACTAGTTTGGTGTGATAGTAGGGTAAGTATTACCTTTTGCGCTGTAGGTTTGGGACTATCAGAAGATTCAATTAAGGGTATTACCTTTTGCCATTTAGGTTTGGGACTATCAGAAGATTCAATTAAGGGTATTACCTTTTGTCCTGTAGGTTTGGGACTATCAGAAGATTCAATTAAGGGTATTACCTTTTGTCCTGTAGGTTTGGGACTATCAGAAGATTCAATTAAGGGTATTACCTTTTGTCCTGTAGGTTTGGGACTATCAGAAGATTCAATTAAGGGTATTACCTTTTGTCCTGTAGGTTTGGGACTATCAGAAGATTCAACCAGAACAACGGCAACGCCAAAGCGTAGCGAATCCCATCGAACAGAAATGGCTGGCATTTTTACAAACTAAATATATAGCAAATATCATAAAATAACACACATAAGAAAGGCCACCATTTTCAAAACTGATGCTCACTGGCCAAGTTGTCATCAGAAGAAGTAATATGCTTTTTCTTTATAGTATTCACATACCAAATATGAACAAAATCGCTCCACCACTTTTCGAGTTATAGTAAAATACGTTAAAATGGCGGCCATTTTTCAAAATCGCCAATTTCTACCAAAAGTGTCATTAGACAGTGTGCCATGCTTATGTCATTCACATAGCAAATATGAACAAAATCTCTCCACTACTTTTCGAGTTATAGTAAAATACGTTAAAATGGCGACCATGTTTCAAAATGGCCGCCTTCTACCAAAAGTGTCATTAGACAGTGTACCATGCTAATAGTATTCACAAACCAAATATGAACAAAATCGCTCTACTACTTTTTGAGTTATAGTAAAATATGTTAAAATGGCGGCCATTTTTCAAAATGGTCGCCTCCTACCAAAAGTGTCATTTGACAGTGAGCCATGCTTATAGTATTCACATACTAAATATGAACAAAATCGCTCCACTACTTCTTGAGTTACAGCAAAAATCGTAAAATAACGAGTAAAGGCTGCCATTTTTCAAGATGGCTGCCATGTGCTTCTTTAATATCTATATTTTTAGCTTATCAATGTCCTATATAATTTTTTTACATTTAAAACATATTGCTATTACAGTTTTACATATTGCACCTAAATTACTGTAAAATCGGCACTAAAATGGCCGCCATTTTTAAATGAGCGGCCATTTTGAAAATCGGCTTTTGAGCAGAACTTCTACCCCCATAGGGTATATGTGTACAAAATATGAACAAAATCGGGCCAACGGTATTTGAGTTATTGCCCGGACGGACGGACGGACAGACAGACGGACGGACGGACGGACGTACGTACAGACGTACGTACGGACGGACGGACGGACGGACGGACGGAGGCGTTCCCTATATCCCTCCGAACTTCGTTCGATGGGATAATTAAGGGTATTACCTTTTGTCCTGTAGGTTTGGGACTATCAGAAGATTCAATTAAGGGTATTACCTTTTGTCCTGTAGGTTTGGGACTATCAGAAGATTCAATTAAGGGTATTACTTTTTGTGCTGTAGGTTTGGGACTATCAGAAGATTCAATTAAGGGTATTACCTTTTGTCCTGTAGGTTTGGGACTTTCAGAAGATTCAATTAAGGGTATTACCTTTTGTCCTGTAGGTTTGGGACTATCAGAAGATTCAATTAAGGGTATTACCTTTTGTCCTGTAGGTTTGGGACTATCAGAAGATTCAATTAAGGGTATTACCTTTTGTCCTGTAGGTTTGGGACTATCAGAAGATTCAATTAAGGGTATTACCTTTTGTCCTGTAGGTTTGGGACTATCAGAAGATTCAATTAAGGGTATTACTTTTTGTGCTGTAGGTTTGGGACTATCAGAAGATTCAATTAAGGGTATTACCTTTTGTCCTGTAGGTTTGGGACTATCAGAAGATTCAATTAAGGGTATTACCTTTTGTCCTGTAGGTTTGGGACTATCAGAAGATTCAATTAAGGGTATTACCTTTTGTCCTGTAGGTTTGGGACTATCAGAAGATTCAATTAAGGGTATTACTTTTTGTGCTGTAGGTTTGGGACTATCAGAAGATTCAATTAAGGGTATTACCTTTTGTCCTGTAGGTTTGGGACTATCAGAAGATTCAATTAAGGGTATTACCTTTTGTCCTGTAGGTTTGGGACTATCAGAAGATTCAATTAAGGGTATTACCTTTTGTCCTGTAGGTTTGGGACTATCAGAAGATTCAATTAAGGGTATTACCTTTTGTCCTGTAGGTTTGGGACTATCAGAAGATTCAATTAAGGGTATTACCTTTTGTCCTGTAGGTTTGGGACTATCAGAAGATTCAATTAAGGGTATTACCTTTTGTCCTGTAGGTTTGGGACTATCAGAAAAGCTTTGGGTCCCTTGAAATGTTGCACTAGAAGATCTTGACATTGCAGATGCTACAGCCGTTGCGCGTATCATCTCATCATATACTGAAACCATGCAATATAAGAATAAGTAGAAGAATAAGTGGAAATTAGCAAGTTAAATTTCATATTCCAGATTTGATTTAGGTTTTTAGGAACTTACACAGCAAAAAATGTGTACGAATACAATGAATCCTGACGTCAGGATACATACAGGATATGCACCAAGTGTGCCAAACCTGTATGAATCCTGACACCTGGATACATACAGGATTGGCACCGAATGTACATATCCTGTACATATCCTGTGTCAGGATTTATACAGGATTGGCGCGTGTAGGAATCCAGTATGAATCCTGCATCTGCATTCATACAGGATACGCTCGCAGTGTGCCAATCCTGTATGAATCCTGATGCCTGGATACATACAGGATTGGCACACAATGTACATATCCTGTGTCAGGATTTATACAGGATTTGCAAATATAGGAATCCGCCTGGAAACATACAGGATTGGCTCACAATGTACATATTCTGTACTTATCCAGGCATCAGGATTTATACTGGATTGGAGGTTGATTAAGGTTTTGCTCTTGAACGATGAGTTTTAACTCCCTTTATTAACTTCTTGAACCCCAGGCTCTAAAATCGGCTTGGACCAGAGAATTATTCAATTTTGCCAGCTTTTAACATTTTTCTACACACTGCCCCCAGGATTCCGTGTTTGCAGAGCGCGGACGGAATTTGCCTCTGCCCGCGGAATTGCAGAATCAACTATTTTGGTCAATTTCCGCGGAATTTTCCGCAGAATCCATATATTTTCCAAAAGTTTAAAAAGTCAGTCTTACCTGTAACAATTTGACACGTTTTCAGTCAAATCCCTTGCAGAAATAACCCAAATTATGCGAAGTGAAAATTCTAAACGCCATCGTTTGATTTCTGCCGTTAGATGGCAGCATGTATGTAGTGACTGACTACCTGACTATCACGATATTTTCCCGTTTACTGGTTCGAAAACCATTAGTTTTTCTTTCGGTTCTCGTCAGAAAGTTAAACAAAGACATAAATTAATAACAGTTATTAATATTATATAAAAAAATGCCGCAAATATCCGCGGAATTTCTGCAGAATTAGCCCTTTCTTCTTGCAGAATTCACTAATTTCACTTGCAGAATTGAGCATTTTAACTTGCAGAAAACTGGGGGGAGTGTCTACATACATACACAGCAGGTGATGCTCAATTTAGTAAAATTAGGGTCCAGAGATCATTTCTAAACATTTAAAACAGTTTTTGTGCAAATTGGATAAATATTTTGTTCAAATAAGAGCAATTCTAGCGAAAAACTTTGTGATGGATTATCTCGTCACTGGGTTTCAAGGTCATTTCGAAGGTGATGAGAAATCTCGTCACTCTGGGTAGTCAAGAGGTTAAACCCTAAATTAAATAACTTAAGTTCAGTAAAATAGGTGTCAGATTTTGAGGTATTGAAAATGGGTGGGGCAGGTGAAAATTCTCCAAATTTAATGATACGTGTCTCATCAGAATTAGGAATCTGAAATCAATCCGACATCCAGTTAACTTTTATGACCCAGCTTTGACAGGTTAAAATGATCAAGTTTTCAAAATTGAGGTCCAAATAGGTTAAAACACTTATACTCGTATATTCAAATATATTGTTTGTCAATGTTCTTTGCCTGACACTTTTGAACTCCGGGTTGTTAACCATTATCTACACCCTTGACAATCCATTTTGTGAAACTTATCCCAAGTAACATTTAAAACGAGTTAAAATAAATATGAGGCCTCTGAATACTGATGTATTTTGGTCCATTTTGTATATACTATAGGTAATAATACTATAAAAAAAAGTCTGCACTTTTCATGATATGAATGAGTCTAGTCTGTAATAAATACATCTCACATACACATTTTGTTGAATACACCTGGTTCATATGGGTTTCCTCTTGGATCCCCATCATAAGTGCCATTTTCGGAACACCCTTGTTGGCAGAGGGGGGTACCTGCGGGACACCTCTTAGCACCAACCATATGTAGGGTGTACAACATATGCTCCCTGGAATATGAGGTGAACATTACTTAATTATCACTCAATATATTGTTATCCAAAATTATTGGCTGATTACTGTCTCTTTGAATTGTCAGTCCTTTATTGGTTTAAGGTCAGTTAAAATTATGCTCACAATTTTCAGTTTTGCTTGTATGTTTTCTCATTCACTGCTCATTTACTAGCCATTCATTCAATCAAATTACAAGAACAACTAAAAATTATATTTACCAGTTTTTGCCAACATTAGTTCCAACGACAGTAATGTGACGAGCTGAACACTTTTGAAGATTTAAAGCATTTACGTCAGCTCCAAACACTATCACTGTACGTAAAATGTCCACATTATCCGTCTAAAACATCAAACAGTAGGATATGGAACAATTATTTAAAATAACCAAATAACAAACAAACATTATATCTAATACTCGACCAAAGAAATAAGCATTTAATTCCATAATATTAATTCAAGCGATGAACATCATTTGAATATTACATGATCTGGAAAAATAATGAACTAGAAACTATTTTTTCATACTATATATACCCTATAAGGAATGAATTGAGAAATAAAAAAAATAAAAAAAAGCGAATACATTGAACAAAAAAAAGTCAGAGATAAATATGGAAAAGACCAGGTGAAAATGATAACAATTAAACCTATTGAATAAATGAATCATTTGAAAAATGAACTTTTTGAGAAAATGGATGTCTTTGAAAATAGAATTTAAAAATAAGAAAAATTGAGAATTTATGAAAAAAGGAAGAAAATACATTATGGACGACCAGGTGAATACAATTTCAATACTGGGACAATCACATGAATATGACTTTTTAAGGAGGGATTTTCTCAATATAAATTACATTTCTTGGCCAGTAAGTCATTAGTATTGTAGTATTAGAACTAAATATGCAACTTCATATTGAGGAGATATTTAATACTCAAAACTAACTTGTAACAGTGTAACAGCTAGATGTAGCAGTGTATTACCCTTTAGTACTCACTTTAACAGCTAAATGTAGCAGTGTATGACCCTTTAGTACTCTCCATAACAGCTAGGTGTAGCAGTGTATTACCCTTTAGTACTCACCATAACAGCTAGATGTAGCAGTGTATTACCCTCTAGTACTCACCATAACAGCTAGATGTAGCAGTATATGACTCTTTAGTACTCACCATAACAGCTAGATGTAGCAGTGTATTACCCTTTAGTACTCACCATAACAGCTAGATGTAGCAGTGTATTACCCTTTAGTACTCAAAACTAACTTGTAACAGTGTATTACCCTCTAGTACTCACCATAGCAGCTAGATGTAGCAGTGTATTACCCTTTAGTACTCACCATAACAGCTAGATGTAGCAGTGTATGACCCTTTAGTACTCACCATAACAGCTAGATGTAGCAGTGTATGACCCTTTAGTACTCACCATAACAGCTAGATGTAGCAGTGTATGACCCTTTAGTACTCACCATAACAGCTAGATGTAGCAGTGTATGACCCTTTAGTACTCACCATAACAGCTAGATGTAGCAGTGTATTACCCTTAAGTACTCACCATAACAGCTAGATGTAGCAGTGTATGACCCTCACTGTTTGCTTTATTGACATCTGCCTCCCTTGAGAGCACACTGACAAGACAGTCAAGATTGGCTTGTTGAACAAGCAGGTGTGCAATGGTCTCCCCCTGGTTGTTTGCCTGGTTTATGTTGCTTCCTAGATCACACAGCAGATTAATCATCTACAACATACCAAAGTAGCATGTAAAGAACTAATTCAGATCATTTGACAACATATTATGCTTCGTGGCCTACAAGACTATCTGAACCTGGATTGAAATTGGGAGAAATAATTATTCTTATTTAGGTTAGTGCACAAAACCTAATCAGATGCTGGCACTAATCCGTTCTCACATTTGTAAAAAATCGTAGTCTAATAAATATGCGGTCTTGCTGGATGCCCATCAGCAGAAGATGACAATTCACCACTTTTTGCAATATAAATAACCAGCCAGTATAGGAGGATTCTCTCTTTTTGGAGAATTCTACACCCAATGATGTGACATGACATAAACAATAAATGACTATATGAAATAAGTTCCTTCTTCAGGATATGGCCTATACCTATAAGGCATTTAAGGTATTTAAGTCATTATAAATTATACTTCTTATGAAAGGCATTTCCAAAGTTCCTTCTATACACTTTATACATGTACATCTTTGTTTTCTTCCATCAATGACTATATTCATGAGTTGTATATTTATATCATTTACATATTTCGGAACTTTGATTGATAAATCAAATTAATAGATCTACAATAAAGTATTTTACCTCTTTAGACTTTGCCCAGTGAAGCGGAGTGCCTCCAGAGCTGACATCTCTTACATGAATCTGATCAGCTGACCACCTACACAATGTCTCAATACACCTAGAATGGATAGGATATTCAGATGACTGATTATTGTACAACCTCAACATTGCATATCAGTGAACATAGAAATGGCACCTTTAAACACATGTGCATGAATCTGAAGAAAACCTGGCAAGCTATATTCTTTGAATCACAATGACAAAAAGTCACAATCATCACAATCATGACGATAATGCCAACATCATGATTCATGATAATAAAATATAACACCAGAAGTATGATAAAAAGACAAGTTACCTACTTTGTACTATTTGCCTCCACAGCAAAGTGCATGGGATATTTATCTCCAGGCTGAAGGCTTGGGTCAGCGCCACATCGCAACATCTGTTCAAGGCAGTCTGGCTTGTCATGGTGACATGCCACATGTAGCGGAGTCTCCCAAGATTGATTTGCAATGTTGATAGTTGGAGTGTATTTGGTAGCTAGCAACTAAAATATAAAGCAACTATAAAATATTAATGCATAAAATGAGTATACATGTACATTTCCACTTCACCACTCTCAAAGACATAATATTTAATTTGTGTATATATTGATGATATGTGAAAGGAGGTTTTGGATACTCAGTTCATCCTGAGGGGAATATGTTACTGAACACAGCTGGCTCAAAAGCCAGCTGACACACCGTTAGAATATACCGGCGTGTGAAGCGTTTTTCCCCAACTTCCAGCTGGTGCGCTGGCATAAGTAACGGTATTTAGGAAGATAATTGAATATTACTTGCCCTTTTTTTGAAGTGGGGTGTCAACAAGTTCTATTTGTTGTGTAATTTGCAGTTAAATTGGAGAAATTTCTGTTCCGGCGCGCACCATTCTTAATTTTTTGCGCATGCGCTCAATTTATTCTCTTCATTGCAATGCCAACAGAAGTTCCCAGAGCTGACTTCTGTCAGCTCGGTAGAGTAAGGAATATATGTAGTTTAAACCTGTATTCAAAACTGACAGGTACATTTTACCCTCTAGGGTTCCAGAATTTAAAAATTATAGTCACAATTTGGATTATATGTGTTATTTTACTGCTATAAGATTTGACACTGATGTTTCAAAATATATAAAAAAGACCCTCATATTAGAAAATAAGTCTGACATTTTGAAAAATGTGTTGAGGTGAATATCAAAATAATATCAAATTACATGTAATCAAAATATAGTTCAAACTGGCACTCATGTAATTTTCAAATGCCCATGTTTGCTCTTGCATCAGTCCTGCAGAGTCACCTGTTTGACAAGTAGATTTGTTGAATTACCTGTTTGACAAGTAGATTTGTTGAATTACCTGTTTCACAAATAGATTTGTTGAATAACCTGTTTGACAAATAGATTTGTTGAATATCCTGTTTGACAAGTAGATTTGTTGAATAACCTGTTTGACAAGTAGATTTGTTGAATAACCTGTTTGACAAATAGATTTGTTGAATATCCTGTTTGACAAGTAGATTTGTTGAATTACCTGCTTGACAAGTAGATTTGTTGAATAACCTGTTTGACAAATAAATTTGTTGAATTACCTGCTTGACAAGTAGATTTCTTGAATTACCTGTTTCACAAATAGATTTGTTGAATTACCTGTTTCACAAATAGATTTGTTGAATTACCTGTTTGACAAGTAGATTTGTTGAATAACCTGTTTGACAAGTAGATTTGTTGGATAACCTGTTTGACAAATAGATTTGTTGAATAACCTGTTTCACAAATAGATTTGTTGAATAACCTGTTTGACAAGTAGATTTCTTGAATTACCTGTTTCACAAATAGATTTGTTGAATAACCTGTTTGACAAGTAGATTTGTTGAATAACCTGTTTGACAAATAAATTTGTTGAATTACCTGCTTGACAAGTAGATTTCTTGAATTACCTATTTGACAAATAGATTTGTTGAATTACCTGTTTCACAAATAGATTTGTTGAATAACCTGTTTGACAAATAGATTTGTTGAATTACCTGCTTGACAAGTAGATTTGTTGAATAACCTGTCTGACAAGTAGATTTGTTGAATAACCTGTTTGACAAGTAGATTTGTTGAATAACCTGTTTGACAAATAAATTTGTTGAATTACCTGCTTGACAAGTAGATTTCTTGAATTACCTGTTTCACAAATAGATTTGTTGAATAACCTGTTTGACAAATAGATTTGTTGAATATCCTGTTTGACAAATAGATTTGTTGAATTACCTGTTTCACAAATAGATTTGTTGAATAACCTGTTTGACAAATAGATTTGTTGAATATCCTGTTTGACAAATAGATTTGTTGAATTACCTGTTTGACAAGTAGATTTGTTGAATAACCTGTTTGACAAGTAGATTTGTTGAATTACCTGTTTGACAAGTAGATTTCTTGAATTACCTGTTTCACAAATAGATTTGTTGAATTACCTGTTTCACAAATAGATTTGTTGAATTACCTGTTTGACAAGAGATTTGTTGAATAACCTGTTTCACAAATAGATTTGTTGAATTACCTGCTTGACAAGTAGATTTGTTGAATTACCTGTTTCACAAATAGATTTGTTAAATTACCTGTTTGACAAGAGATTTCTTGAATAACCTGTTTAACAAATAGATTTGTTGGATTACCTGCTTGACAAGTAGATTTGTTGAATTACCTGTATGAAAAGTAGATTTGGTGAATTACCTGTATGAAAAGTAGATTTGGTGAATTACCTGTTTGACAAGTAGATTGGTGAATTACCTGTTTCACAAATAGATTTGTTGAATTACCTGTATGAAAAGTAGATTTTGTGAATTACCTGTTTGACAAGTAGATTGTTGAATTACCTGTTTCACAAATAGATTTGGTGAATTACCTGTATGAAAAGTAGATTTGGTGAATTACCTGTTTGACAAGTAGATTGTTGAATTACCTGTTTCACAAATAGATTTGTTGAATTACCTGTTTGACAAGTAGATTTGTTGAATTACCTGTTTGACAAGAGATTTGTTGAATAACCTTTTTGACAAATAGATTTGTTGAATTACCTGCCTAACAAGTAGATTTGTTGAATTACCTGTATGAAAAGTAGATTTGGTGAATTACCTGTATGAAAAGTAGATTTGGTGAATAACCTGTTTGACAAGTAGATTGTTGAATTACCTGTTTGACAAGAGATTTGTTGAATTACCTGTTTCACAAATAGATTTGTTGAATTACCTGTTTGACAAGAGATTTGTTGAATAACCTTTTTGACAAATAGATTTGTTGAATTACCTGTATGAAAAGTAGATTTGGTGAATTACCTGTTTGACAAGTAGATTGTTGAATTACCTGTTTCACAAATAGATTTGTTGAATTACCTGTTTGACAAGAGATTTGTTGAATAACCTTTTTGACAAATAGATTTGTTGAATTACCTGTATGAAAAGTAGATTTGGTGAATTACCTGTTTGACAAGTAGATTGTTGAATTACCTGTTTCACAAATAGATTTGTTAAATTACCTGTTTGACAAGTAGATTTGTTGAATAACCTGTTTCACAAATAGATTTGTTGAATTACCTGCTTAACAAGTAGATTTGTTGAATTACCTGTATGAAAAGTAGATTTGGTGAATTACCTGTATGAAAAAGAGATTTGGTGAATTACCTGTATGAAAAGTAGATTTGGTGAATTACCTGTATGAAAAGTAGATTTGGTGAATTACCTGTATGAAAAGTAGATTTGTTAAATTACCTGTTTCACAAATAGATTTGTTGAATTACCTGTTTGACGAGAGATTTGTTGAATTACCTGTTTCACAAATAGATTTGTTGAATTACCTGTTTGACAAGAGATTTGTTGAATAACCTGTTTGACAAATAGATTTGTTGAATTACCTGTTTGACAAGTAGATTTGTTGAATAACCTGTTTGACAAATAGATTTGTTGAATTACCTGTATGAAAAGTAGATTTGTTGAATAACCTGTTTGACAAATAGATTTGTTGAATTACCTGTTTCACAAATAGATTTGTTGAATTACCTGTTTGACAAGTAGATTTGTTGAATTACCTGTTTGACAAGTAGATTTGTTGAATTACCTGTTTCACAAATAGATTTGTTGAATTACCTGTTTGACAAATAGATTTGTTGAATTACCTGTTTCACAAATAGATTTGTTGAATTACCTGTTTGACAAGTAGATTTGTTGAATTACCTGTTTGACAAGTAGATTTGTTGAATTACCTGTATGACAAGAGGATTTGTTTTGGCAGCAAAGTGGAATACTGTATTTCCAAGACCATCTGTGGCATCAATGTTTGCTCCGTGTATGAGAAGTTCTTGTATTGTGTCGGAATTGGCTGTCTGAACTGCCAGATGTAGGGGAGTCACCTTTGAGTTGTCTATCACAGAGTTGATTTCACTAGAAACAGAACACTTATTATGATTGATAGAAGAACTTTACTATGATAAATAAGTATTAGTTTCTATTGGTACTACCTTTCTGAGAGTGTTTCAAATACTAACCATGCTATGAGAGAGTGTCTGAAACAGACATTGAGTCCCAGCTGTGCAGCTATGTGAGCAGTGGTCCACTCAGGGTGCTCTTTAACACACTCACCAATGGCCTACAAATATTACCAAAAATGAATTGTGATGGATTAGCTTTAGCAATGCTAGAACACGCTAGGATGCTTTATTTTCTCAATAAATTTTTACATTTTTCATGTTTTTTCCTAAAATTTTCAAATATTATACTCAAAATGTCCTTAACAAGGTCATGGTTCTACATCTATATCGCAATAAAAAGATATATGAAATCCTATTAGTTGGGAAAAATTAATTATTCAGCAAGCCAATATACATATTTCAATGAAATATACCTGAAGACTGGATTTATTGAGAAGACTGTTGTCGCTAGTGTAGAGGGGAGTAAATCGGGCAGGAAAAATACCAAACCAATGACGGGACTCTTTTTCTGTAGGCAACCTGAATAAGCTAAAAATCCACAAATAAATAAGAGGGTAAAAAAGCAGAACAGTTTTGTTTATTAAAAGAGATAGCTTAAAGGACCACACTGTCTGATCCTTCCTGATCTAAAATACATGTATTTCTTCTAAAATGCACCAGCAATAGAATTTGACATAAATACAAATACAGTGTATGAGAATTGTTTTTAGCTAACATGAGCTTTATTATTATATTTCATTCAAAACTCATAAGATATGGCAAAAAAGTCTGCAAAGGGCACCATATAAGCAATAAAAGTTAATTAGCTAGATTATATTAATTAAATTGATCTACTTCTGCATTAGCTTTAGGTGGGGGTTAAAAAAGACTGAAAACCATAACAACAGATCTTGACCTTTACCACAACAACCATTTTTACCTAGTATTCTTGTATTCTTCCTAGATCAGGAATGAAGAATGGAAGATAAAACAGTGATCTAAATAACAATCAAAAAATATAAATATGATGTGAAATAAAGACAAAATGATAATTCAGGCTGCTCTCATTCAAAGTCTGGAAATAAGACATATGTTGTCGAATCATCCTATAATTGAATCCTGGGCTTTTAGGCTGGCACAAAACAGACTCTCTCTGTAAGGAATGCCTGTCTACAAGGAACAGTTATGGGTTACAATGGAGAGTGTTTCCTGTGCACAGGTTTTACTTGGATCAGGAAGAATCAGAATCAGCAATGGTGCAAGTTCAACTTTACAGATAATTAGGATCCATGTTATTGACACTTTTTTTTATTAAAGGAAAAATATCCGTAATATTTACCTGATTAAACAACTATCTACATATACATTTGTGTGGCTTGGTTAAATGGATATGAACCATAGGTTCCGATATGATGATATAGTGATGAAGAACATGTCAAGCCGAGTTTAAGATTTTTGTGCAAATTTTCTTCCTTCATTCGAAAATACACCTCCCACTATATATTTATTTCTATTATTAAATAAGCATACATATAATATTTCACTTCAAGTTAATATATTACCATGCACATACCTAAATGCTTTATGGGATAGTTCAGGACAGTAAAGCACAGCTTCGTAAGTGACAGTCGTCTTGTACAATGTAAAATTGCCATCTTGTAACATGACTGTAGACCTAGTAATGTACATAAACCATCATTTATTTCAGGGGACCTTTGACCAAGAAAGGGGTTGTGTTAGCCAAACAGGAGACATCACTTAAAGTTATATGTTCAAATAAAGAAATAGTGAAATAAAGATGCAGCCACTAAAAATAAAAAAAAACTCCAAGAAGAATCAAATCAAACTAGAGAAACAGCAGCTCCATGGAGTAGCAAATCCCACCGAACAAAACATGTTTTGAGAAATACCTGCCATATAAAATTTGAACCAAATACATCCAAATACAAATGTACAAATACATATGAAACATGTAGGCCATTTTGAAATTCAGCTGGCACCTTTAAAATTTCTTCTTGAGCAGAGCTTCAATGTCCCTAGGCATCAGCATATCAAATTTGATCCAAATCCGTCAACTGATACTTGAATTATCAAAGATTACATTTTTAATGAAAAATGGAGAAGATTTTGACAAATAGCGGCCATCTTGAAATTTATTCTAAAGTAGTTTTCCTTTGTCTCTAGGAATCAGCATATAGAATTTGAACAAAATCTGTCAACTGGTATTTGAGTTATCAAAGATTAAATTTTTTATGAAAAATGGCTGCCATTTTGAAATTAAGCAGCCATTTTGAAAATGTCTTCTTGAGCAAGGCTCCTTTGTCCCAAGGCAACAGCATATAAATTTGAACCAAATCGGTCGACTAGTATTTGGGTTATCAAAGATTATGTTCTTTTACAAAATATGGTGGCCATTTTGAAATTAGACTGCCATCTTGAAAATCCCTTCTCGAGCAGAGCTCCTATGTCCCTAGGCATCAGCATGTCAAATTTGAACCAAATCCATTCGCTGGTATTTGAATTATCAAAGATTACGTTTTTTACAAAAAAAGGCAGCCATTTTGAAATTCAGTGGCCATCTTGAAAATTAAAAAAAAAATTTACTAAAAATGGCAGCCATTTTGAAATTCAGCAACCATTTTGAAAATGTCTTCTTGAGCAATGCTCCTTTGTCCCTAGGCAATAGCATATAAAATTGGAACCAAATCAGTGGACTAGTATTTGAGTTATTAAAGAATAATTAAATAATATCAGTCCAACAATTGGACAGAGGTGCTCTCATCGTCCCTCTAATAAATTGAATAATAAAACAGATACAGGGTGGCCCAAAAAAGCAAAACCCATAAACATTTTATTAAACCCTTGTGCATTCTGTTTTTGGGGGTCACCCTGCATTTTGGATGTGCTAAATCAAACTACCTTTATGTAAATCAAGTCCAATACAATTAGATAAATGATTCCTTTTAACTTACTTTTCATATGAGGCTGGGTTGACATCCTGCACCGTAAATGTGATGCTAGATGCCACTGAACCAATGAAATTAGTCATGGTTTGGTTAATCTTTGTTGTCATCTTTCCTGCCAAATCCCCCGCAAAGCTCTTTAGAAAAGACATTGTGGAGGAATATCTGAAATAAATGAACAGAAAATTAATAAGATTTCCAATACAAGGCTCACATGACAGTTATACATTTTCAACAAGGAAAACATTCAACTATCCAGAGTCGCAAATCCTACCAAACAAGACATAATTATCAAATTATTTGTATCCAATAACATAGCTTTAAAGGAAAATAATCAAAATAATACAGTGAGTGGAGTGGGAGTATAATTTCAGATGGCTTACGCAAAAGTGAGCAATGTCATTAGTATTGTGATAATAACGTACCTTATACCTAAGCATCACAGGTCGCATAGACCATTGTTGCCCGATTTATAGCAAAAACATTTAATTTTGAACGTTGGTGATGATGCGCCTTTTTTAATAGATCTCATATCTTAGAAGGGTATCAGTTCAAAAAAATACCAGATGGCCTAACATATTTTGCCATGCACTGCGCCTATTCATTTGGCAAATCAGTTGTAAATTTTTCTCTTGAAAAAATAAATCTTCTAAATTTGTTGAGTTTTCTTGCAGAAATCGCCTAATCCCCTCCATCCATTTTGTACGATCACCGGGCATCAGTTAGATGATTCATAAAAAAATCGAAATGGCCAATTTATCAAAAATTCATAATGCCCGCCATGTTATTTAGAAGAGTGGATTATGTCAACACTGATGTCTAATTAACAGAACTAATTAACAGAACTTTCATTGATTTGTGGAAATATGCAATAGAAAAATGGGGAAGTTCTTTATATTCCTGAGAAAAAAATTAATAACATTCTTACTCTAAAGATATTTTACGTTTCAATACATGGGATCCCAACTCCAACACATACACTTTCATGTTTCCTATTCCTTGTCATGGCAATACGCTTACGTTAAACAATCTCTTGAGTCCATGTTAAAACTGAACCAATCGCAGAAAAGCAAGTTGAATCATGGGAATGAAGTACTTTCATGTTAGGACATCTTCTTCTTCTATTACAGTACAGACTTCTCTTGAGGATATTTCGAACTATGTGTGCTTGCGTTCGGTGTATATACAATTGTTGTATGAATGTGCATCAAAATTTCTAAAATCGTTTTGGTTTATCAACTGGTTTTTCTGTAATCTTGTGTTATAAATCTGGCTGCTCATCGCTGTACTCCCTCCACCTGCCCGATTGCCTTCTTCGTGTAAGGGGACCATACAGAAGAGGCATATTCCAGCTGTGGTCTAACAAAGGAGGTATACGCTTGTTTCCTCACATTGCTGGGGCAGGAGCAGATGTTACAATGGAGGAACCCCAGGGTGGAGTTGGCTTTCTTGGTGATGGCAGACACGTGAGGATTCCAAGATAAGGTGTTACTGATGTTTACACCTAAGTACTTATTCAGTTCTCTCGCAAGGTCGTGGATGGTTACGATCAGCTGCGTTTCACAGGATCTCTCAGCTCGAAACCCATGTGGGAAGTTGGTGAGAATTTCGTTTGTTTCCAGGTCTTTCATTGTCTCGCTGAAGATGATGTGTTCGAGAACCTTACAGCATATTGATCTAAGTGAGACTGGCCTGTAATTAGATGCCAACGATCGATCACCCTTTTTAAAGAGGGCTTCAATGTTAGCATCTTTCCAGACTTTTGGGATCTTGCCCTGATTAAGGGAAGCCTGGAAGATCAGGCTACAATCTCACTTGCTGTCATCTTCAGGAATTGTGCTGATATGTTGTCCGGTCCAGTAGCTTTGTGTGGTTTTAAGTTCTTAAGTTGTTTGAACACTCCATCAACATGAATACTGATATTCGGCATTCTAGGATGGAGAAAAGGGCCTTTGTTGGGAATGGCACCTTCTGGCTCATGAGTAAAAACTGACACAAACTCCGGTCATTAAGCACCTCTGCCTTGGCTTTACTTGAGCTGAATGTTGTGCCATCACGCTTCAGAGGGGCCACACCTGAGTTGTCACATTTCTTGGACTTAATAAAGTTAAAGAAGCGTTTGTTACAACCGTCACCTACCAAGCCATCCAAATAGGTGTTATATGCTATTTTGCATTCTCGCTGGGATTTGTTCTTCACTGAACGATTATAGTTCCAGTCCTACGAGCGTTTGGATTTCCAGGCACGGTTGTATGCATGCTTCTTCCAATGTGATAGCTGTTTCACAGTTGTTATCCAGGGCTGGTCAAAGCGTGACAACGTCATCTTAGATGGTACGCTCTTTGCCATAAAGCGGTTACAAGCTTTTGAGAGTTCATCCCAAATGTCTTGTATGGGAGTAGAGATGTCACACTTCTCACAAAAGCTTGGCAAAAGTTGCTACTTCAGTTTTAAGGGTGTTCATGTCTGCTCTCTTCCAGAGATATATCAGGCGCTTTACTGGATGTTGACGTGTTGCTTGTGTGTTGGTGTCAATCTGGATAATGTCATGGTCACTTATGGCTGGAATGGTATGAAAAACCGAACCAACTAAAAACTGAACCTTGCCCAGATTGCGTCAACTCAAATGTTGGGTATGTTCCTCCTGGAAAATGTTGATCTTTCTGTGTATATACCTATTTTCTTCCCCGTGGCCTTAAAATATCTAAAATATATTGAGTATATATATCCCAGCAAAACTCTAGTATACCTACCGGCTCTATTTTAGTCTAGGGTTAGCCGCTTATAGTGACTCTTCCTGGTCAAGGCTAATTCTAGCCTACTGTAAGCAGTCCTAAGTTGATTTTTTACAGCCCAGACTCTAGCTCTCTGTGCAAGTGGTGCCCACTAAATCTCAGTCTTGAAGCGATCAAACAGAGTGCAAACTTATAATTCCAAAGTAACAATATACATACAATTGAGAGATGACTTACTAACGCATAGAAAGAAAGAAAATCCCCCCCAAAAAGTTCACTTACACTTTCACCTTTCTTTCCTCCTTGTTTGAAGAGTGGATCACGTGACAGTCAACATCTAAACAGAACTTTCATCGATTTGTGGAAATATGTTTCTTCAGTGATTTATGCGAGAAATGAGTGCTACAAACGTGCAATGAAGTTATCAGCATGATGTCCAACTAATCCATCATTGGTAAGCTCTTATTCAAACTTTATCACTATGTTTGGTTTTGTCTATATAGATCTAATATCCACAGATTGGCACAGACTCAGAGCAAACATGTTTATAAAGTGGGGAACATAAAGAATTACTATAGGCCCTATCTGTTGCAAGACTAACGCCTGGCGTAACCGTCATCATGTTATTCAGTGTTTTAAGTAGCGCAAGGATCCTGCCATGACCGTGGTAATGTTATCGTGAAAGCCTGGTATAAGCGCAACAATGCTGTATTATATTGCAATGCCTGCCGGGACAATGTAATATAGTTCTGCAAGGCTTGGCATGACCGTGACGATGTAATATAGTACTGCAAGGCCTGGCATGACCGTGACAATGTTGTATAGTTCTGCAAGGCCTGGCATGACAAGTTCAGGTATGAGAGTGGTACTGTAGTGTAGAAATTTACGATTTGGACTGCTATAACCGTGACAATGTGTATTGCAAAGCCTGGCATGACCGTGGCAATGTAATATAGTACTGCAAGGCCTGGCAGGGCCGTGGCAATGTAATATAATATAGTAATTGCAAGGCTTGGTATGACCGCCGTGGCAGTGTGATATAGTATTGCCCCAGTATTCCAAGTTCGGGTATGAGAGTGGTAATGTAGAAATTTATGATTGCTATAAGTGACTGGACAATGTGTATTTGAAAACCTGACATGACCATGACAATGTATTATGGGATCGCAAAGCCTGGTATGACCGTGACAATGTAATATAGTATTGCAAGGCCAGGTATGAGGGTGGCAATGTAGACATTTAGGCTTAGTCCTACTATGACCATTATAATGTATTGCAATGACTAGTAAATATGTACAGAGACATAAAAAACATATTGTATGACATTAATGCCAGGAATATCCTTAACAATTTTAAGTGATCGTCATTAGTAATTTACAATTTAACAGTTTAATACTATGATCATGGTGTTTAGGCTTAACTGCCTTAATCATGTCAAAATCAAAATTACTACCATACATTAATAATCACATTCGCTTATAAACCACAATAAAGGCTACGGTCGCGCCAGGCTTCCACGATAACCCTTCCAGGGTCATGACAGGCCTTGCAATATGATACAGCATTGTCACGGTTATACCAGCCTGTCACGATTATACCAGGCTTACACGATAACACTACCACGGTCATTGCAGGATCCTTGCGCTACTTAAAAACACTGATTAACATGGCGACGGTTGTGGCAGGCGTAAGTCTTGCAATAGATAGCATGTGTATAAAAGTTACATGCTGTCGCACATCTAATAAATTCTTACCTCGGTGTATTCAGTGCTCTATTTTCTCCGTCCAAGTAGGTCCAAATGTAGTGGAATTTGTGTCCATAATGACAAATAAGAACTTAAAAAGTTGAAGTGGATATTCACATGTTAATGTCGACTCTTTAAATGTTGAGGTGATTTTGTAGCCCGATTATGCTGCAACGGAGGATTGGCTCCCAGAGTGCAACATGACACATGCCAGCTTTCAAAATTCCATTCCGCCATTTTGAAACCTGTCATGAGTATAAGGTTAACTGATGTTGCATTCTGGGAGTCAATCCTCCTTCGATCACAAACATGGCAATTCGTGAAAACATTCTTTCGATTTGGTTGGGATTCATCCTTCATTTGCAGGTATGAAACTTTTGATTCATTTATTGTGCTACTAAAGTGAACGGGAATTATTTTTCTACTGCTTGGGAGAGTTTGAGACAGGAAACTTGGAATTTAGCTCATTATAAGTTGATTGTCCTGTATAATCCAGATATTTACTATTATTTTCATGTCATGTTAATGGGGGGGGGGGGCGTCGTTTAATTGCTCACTGGACATGGGTTAGTTGTGGTGAAGAAATTTCTGTCTCATCAGGTGCTTTTCCATTCTTGAATTGATTTATACAGTGGGGGACATAAAGAATTGCTATAGCTATGAAAATTACATGCTGTTGCACATGTAATAAATTCTTACCTCAGTGTATTCAGTGCTCTATTTTCTCCGTCCTAGTAAGTCCAAATATAGTGGAATTTGTGTCCATAATGACAAATAGGAACTTAAAAAGTTGAAGTGGATATTCGCATGTTAAGGTACAGCTAGAAAATAACATTTTGGTAAAAAATAAAATGCTATCTATTGCAAGACTTATGCCGTCATTGTGTTATCGTGAAAGCCTGGTATAACCGTGACAATGCTTTATTATGTTGCAAGGCCTGTAAAAGCCTTATATGACTGTGGCGATGGTTGTAAGGCCTGTCATGACCGTGGTAATGTTAAAGCTTGATATGACCGTGACAATGTTAGCATTCTTGAATAAGGTTAGAATTATAGTTTGTGAAAATGAAATATGAGTTAAAGTAGTAGAAGTCTATGAAATTTTTCATTACGGCATTCTCATGCTACCAAATGTCATTTGATATAACCATTGTCACGTTAACATTACCACGGTCATGACAGGCTTTCCTTGCAACCACTGTCACGGTCATATCAGGCTTTAACATAACCACGGTTATGACAGGCCTTGCGATATAGTATAGCATTGAAAATGTTTTAATGCCTTGGTTTGTATTTATTTCAAACGTTAAATGCTGCAAAATGGTGAAATTGACCACTCCCTCTTTTCAACATTTTTATGGGAAAGGATTCTAAAATGTTTCAAATAAAATACTTCCCATTGTTTAATGATTAAAATCTTCATATTGTTATATCAGACAAAGTCAGTAGATATTCCTTGAATTCTAATAAGTGTTGCATCCCAATGCATTTTTAATTTGAAACTAGAAAATGAAAGGTTTTTTGCCAGTTTTCACCAATCGTCAAACTTTGGGGGCTGTGGGGAGGGGTTCTACAACTACAAGTTATACATTTTTTTACAAATTCATGTGACTATTTACCTCTAAAGGAGCTCTTCTTTACTTAGAGAGCATAACACATAAGTGTTATTTTGGACCCAACCTTTATACTCATTAAAGAAAGTGAAATGTAAGAACCTAATTATCAAGTGATGTTGCCATAGCAACTGAAATGTTAGACATATTACATACGTGATATGATGAATTATATTATCTTCACTTCTAATCATGCTATATGCTGCCCTGTCAACCCTCACACATTAGGCGTGATTGTCACGCATTTGCTGGAAAAATAGAAATCACACATCAATTTAGCGTGTATGATCAAATATCACGCAAATCATGCATTTTGTTGATATTTTTAAAAATCGTTTTTTGTGACACGGTAAAAAAACGAACGGCGAAAAAAAGCGAACGCATTCCATTCGGTCTTTGCACGCGATTGCCGTTTATGTCACGCATGTGGTACAAAATATGTGTATATATCACGCATTTGTTTCGAAAATATTTACACCTACCTAGAGTTTAAGAATCAAGAATATGAAGAAAATGATGATGATGATTTTATTAGGGGGGTATAAGAAATGCTCTGTAGAGAGTTGCCCAAGGGTGCCACTCCGGCATTGCGTGGTTTTGAGATCCCAACTCTATATTCATGCTGAAAAGTTCAAAAAACATTGTAATTCGAAGAAAACGATTGATAATGCAGGCTAATGCAGTGTGGGAAATAAGCATTTTTTGTGCCTGGATCAATTTGTCCAGCCACTTTGAAACACTCCAGACAAATTCTTTTTTGACTGGTCAAAATTTTGACCAGACAGTTTGAAAACACACTGGACATTTTTTGTACTTGGTCAATGTAAAACAAAAAAATATATATACATGGAAACAGAAGGGGGGGGGGGGGTTAAAATGATTGAAATTCTTAACCATTGAATTTCATATTTTGCATTGTTTCATTTGATGACAACTTCTTCGTCAGAAGAAGACCAATTTATATTTTTTCATTTGATGTGTAAAACAAAATTCATTGTCTCATGTCTCAGCAAAATCTATCTGGACTATTTTGACCACACAGTTTGAAACAGTCTGGACAAATTTCTTTTCAGACTCGACATTTGTCCGTTGTCCGGTGATTATTTCCCACACTGGCTAATGCCCAGGAGACCAGTTTATTCTCCTGTAGTGTTAATGCATCTTGCTTGCTTTCGACTGTCATGAATAGAAGGAAGAAACATGAAGAAGCACATGGCAAGTAATCGTGTTTAGTTGATTGAATAATGGGAGTGAAGTCAATGAATTAATGTAGAGCAAAATGTTTTTAATTTCAACAGGTCATTGCAAATGACACTGATGCACTGATAAATTGTCTATATATTTTTATGAGAGGCATGTTATAATAGTGAACTAATGATTATGATAATTTCACCTGTTCACATCCAGTTTCCCTCTATGATAGATTCCTGGATTGATTACTGAACGGGAGTAATTCTCTTCAAATTATTTACTCATTATAAACAAAAATTTAATATTTAAGTCGCTAAGAAGGCTTTGCTCATTATCCCAAGGAACGAAGTTCTGTAGGAATAGGGATATAGTGAAGCTGTCCGTCATTCAGTCAGTGTCTGTTCGTCTGATGCACCAGCAACAAATGATGTCCGTCTATAACTTGAATACTAGTCGACAGATTTTCTTCATATTTGGTAGAAAGATGTATATTGGTGATAAGTTCTACGCAAAAAAATTATTCCATTGAAGGTGTTGTTTCCAAATCTTTGCATGACCCTGCAGAATGAATGCATTAGGAATCAACGCCTGAGTCGAATGAAGCAGCCACAATGCATTGAGTCTTGGGCTTAAATTCTTTTCACACATTGCAAAATATTTTCTAGTCCAGGACTTAAATCCTTAATCCACCAATGTAAAACACTCTCATGGTACAACTCTTGAAAGCCCATGGTACAATTCTACAAGCTGTTCATGTATAATATGCAAAATATTTTCTACGAAATCACATAAAAGAACATATTTTCAAGGAAACTTTTTGCAAGGGTCAAGTTTGCAAAGTATCAATTTCAATTTGGAGAGTCAATTTGTCACCTTGACAACTATTTTACCAGCAACCTTGGATGCAGTGATTGATGATATAATGCACTTCAATTATAGGAAATATCATGTTCGAATCGCCTGGAATCGGACACACCTTGCCTAGCTATGTGTGAATTCTCTTTCCTCTGCCTGCGAGGAGAGAAAATTCCAACTGCAGTCTCTGTCAATAGAGAATAGGAGAATACATTTGTAATTGATAAAATTAAACAAAGTTTCTCTAAAGGCTGCATTTATCACTTTTTTTTGTCAAGTCAATCAGACCTAAAAAATAAGCCCTCAAAACAATGAGAAGTAACATTAATGCATGGGATATACATCCAGCACATATTGCTTAATTGGGAAACCATGAGAAATTTACCAGATATTGAAAACATCTTAACTATTCCATCAACTTATCATTTGCTTATTTCAGTTAAATAATGCATATGAGTAACAATTTCATTTGTTTATTTGAAGTGTCATTTGTATATTAACTTTATTTTTGTGATATTTATACATGAGTAATTGCTTTTGTTGACTTTCAGTGACATTTGCGCACATATGATAAATTATTTATTTGTTTGTTTCGACATTTTATTTCCAGATATATTTACACAGGATTAACAGTTTCATTTGTTTATTTTCAGTTAGAATTAGTATGTTGTGAGTTACAATTTTTTTTGTTTATTTTCAGTTACAATTACACATAAGTAACAATTTGGTGGTGCTATCACTCAGCCCCTCCCTCTATTCTATGGAGCCAGCCTGCATCTGTACTCTCATAGGGGATATGATATTGATATAGAAATATCCAACAATGAGTAAAGCTTATATGAAACGAAGCTCGTCTCCCAACAAACATTGGCCTACCAACTATGGATTTGAAATAGTTGGTGATGGGCCAAGCTATGTGATTTCTGTTGATCATCTGTCTATGGCACAACAAGCAGGAATCCTCCCAGGAGATCAACTCCTAGAGATAGATAAACATGATGTCACCAATATGTCTGCAAATGCAATTAAAACACTTGCCAAACATAGTCGCACCATCCCACCTGCCTTAGGGGTTGTGTCTAGGATGCAGTATATTGAGTTGCTCCCTAGTAGGAAATATGGATATGGAATCAATGTTTATGGTGATAAGCCAGTTTATGTTGAGATTCTGACTACATCTGGACCTGCATATCGTGGAGGACTTAGGACAGGTAAGACACTTATACTGCCTCCATAACATTCAAAATGATAATTGGGTTTTAAAGAGAAAGCCCATGGTTTCAGTTTCCCAGTTTTTACATTTTCTCTAGATATGGGTGCCTCTGTGTATTTTTCAAAAAATTGAACTTCTCTGTTGTTGAATTTTTTAAGGTGATATTTTAAGTTGTTGAATTTTTTAAGGTGATATTTTACTGGAAGCGAATTGTCGTAAGGTGAGGAGGTCTGACTCAGTGAAACCTATATTGAATGCCTGCACTGGTAAGCTAACTGTAGGTCTGATTGCCATTGAAATAAATAAGAAGAACATGGTTCCTGAGGGAAAATATGATGTCATTAGGACAGCTGGGAGCAGAGTGAAGAAAGCCAGGGAATTATTCAAAAAGGTAAGTCAATATGCTTTTAAGTATTAAGAATTTAATTTCATGATTAAAAAAGCTTCAGTTTTATTCCTATGGTTGTTTTATGGGTTGTTTGGTTGGTTTGCTGGTTTTGGGCTGTTCATGTGATGCCACAGTTAAGAAGCCACATCATCATCTAAATCAGGATGGGATTAGGAATTACTGTTTTTATAGTTACATATTCAAGTTGACTTTTTATCATTCTATGAACCTTTGTTAAAGATTATAGATTGCCTTAGAGGTATTAATTTCATTATTTAAGTCAGAAAACATACCTACAATCATAAATACAAATATTGGCTCCCTTATTCTAGTGTTGCCAAACCTCCAAATTACATTCTGACCATCTTAAGCAAAATCAATAGCTTCTTATATGATTAGCTCTTGTACATTGTTTCTTCCATACCTTTTAATAATTTATACATCTTCTTCAATTATTCATCAAATTGATTCAGAATATCCGTTGAGATTAGTTCGCATGTCTTGTTGAGTTTGCATTCAGTAATCTAGACAGTAATTAATTTTAAGCCTATAATCTACTAATACTCTAGAACTCTGTTGATATAGTTATATACTGTATACTAGAAGTTGTGCCAGTTTTGTCATGTTCTCTCTTCCTGTAGCCACACTAGCAAAAGGTTTTGCAATTTTGAATTATTTGAATCCAAAAATCCATTTCAAGAAATCGAAAGAGGACTGATGCTGTATTTTCAGCAAACAGTCAAGAGACAATCATATCATTTTAGCTGGAAATTACTACATTAACATTCATTTCCATTTTTCTATTTTGAACCATTTTCTAAAGGCTTGGTAGCAATTTGGTGAACTAAATTAAACACATGTCTCTCTTAAACCAGTCATCAAAAATTCTGAAAAAATTACAGATCATCAATTTGATTGTCATTTTGAATGGAAACAGTTTAATTTGAAAAAATCTAACTACATGTACTTTAAAATTAAAGTTTTTGAAAACAAATCCGACGCTTCTTTTGTTCTTGGTATCATATGTTTGGCATGAAACATCTATCCGAACCTCGTTGGAACAAAGTGACAATACACTATGTTTTTATGTCTCTCCATATTGTAATTGCTTCAAATTGACCTTTTTTCAAAATCGTTTACAAGATCTCAATAATATTGCGAACAACTTGTTGGTGACATTTTGTCACGTTAATGCCTTGTTTTTAGAAATTCATTGAAATGGTACATTTTCTCTTAACAGGAAGTGCAAATTGAGTGCAAATATGTGATGCATTTTTGTGCAAAAATGGTAACAAATCTGGATAGAGAGTATTCCAGAAATACAATGCCTCCCACTAGAAAACATATATAATAGCATTTAAGCTCATTTACTTTTGCTGCTTTCCAGATGAATAATGTTCTAGGGGCGGATTATGAGAAAAAGATGGCCATAGTTGGAGTGCTCAAGCAGTATGCAGAAGATAGAAAAGTCAAACTATTCAGCAATTCCATCATGATGCTATTGAAGACTCAGAACCAACGGAAACTCTTGCCAGAAATAAGGTATGATGTTTAACTGGTTTCTGATATACAATACAACATTATTATAGTCTCATGAAGTTGCTGAGAAGTTATAAATGTTGTGTTGTGTTTAGTGCCATATGTTTATATTAAATTATAAGAATATGTTTCAGGCCATTTGTACCTGTGAAGCACCGTGCTGTTTTTGATGATATCTTGCAACATGATCCTCTGCAGCCATATTTAGAAATGACTGGCACTTTCAGTAAATCATCAGGCATGGCAGTTCAGTATGATGACAAAAGGTATGTATACATTGTAGTCTCAATGTCTGATATTGATTCGTACATGGCATGTAATAATAGAATATATGTACATAAGTATAGAAATAGTGATGCCGTCATTGTGGAAAATGGTGAAAAAATCAATCAAATCAGTTCACATGATATTCTGAAAAGGTAAATTTTTGCATTATTTTGTGCAAATTTAGCTATTTATTTTTCCTTGTAATGCATTTTGAGGAGAAAAACAATATAAGAGGATTTTTTATCCAGACAGCCTTTTAAACCACCTAAAGGCATCACTTATATACTTTCTGTTAATAAGAAAGAAAAAAGTAGTATTGACTGGTCTCATGACATACATTTACAGCTAAGATTGTAGTTTCCTCTTTGGGTCAGTCACACTATTGCACTTACCAAGTTGTTTATGCAACTGGCTGATTTTATAACATTAATTTTTTATATGTATTTTAGGACAGTAAATATAGATCACAGTGAAGGGAACTTTGGTTTTATCTTGCGAGGACACAGCCCTGTGTATATTGAGTCCATAGAGCCAGGGGGACCTGCAGATAGAGCAGGGCTCCTACCTGGCGACTGTATACTCAAATTAAATGGGTTAGATGTCAGGTAGGCTACTCCTTCAGAAGTAATACAGTAACACCTGAAGTGGCTTCCTCTTTCTGAGTTTAAAATTGTGACATACCCATGATCAAAATAAACAAATATTAGTATTTGTTTTAAATTGAGAATGAATAAAGATGTTTCGTCATAACAATTGTTGAAATGATATATGGTATAAACACTCAGTTCAAATTTCCATGTATCTGACTGTCATATCTTGCAGGAGAAGTGCCCACACACATGTTGTGAAGTTGTTGCAATGCAGTGGCTCATCTCCAAGCTTAGATGTTGTACAGCTACCCGATGATGGGGAAGGTAAGATTTTACATTGTAGTGAATCAGTTCCAAGCTTGATGTTGTAAACTGCTTCAGATTTTGCTTCCTGATAATGATATAATTATAGTCAGACAATATTCCTCATGTAAAGCCATTTTATGATCATTATTCAAAATATACTCAAAATTGCTGTTTTGAGCCACCATTTCTGTTATTCTCTATTTACAGCATTGACTGGGAGTGAGAGTGTCTTGTCCTCAGACACTAGTAGTTCTAGCGGGGACTCCTCTGGCTGGCTCTCAGATATAACTCAGATCATTGATACAGATGGCAAGTCCTTCAGGGAAAAGGTATCTTAGCTTTATGGCATACTCTTTATGATACGTATATCTCTCATTTTTTATCAAGCTTTAAATCTTATTCCTGCTGTTTTGTATGACTACATGTCAAAAGGTGGATAAAGTGGTGTCTAATAGAGGGAGTAGTTGTCTGTCATTGGGAGGATTTCCAGGAATGTAATTCAAACAAGTTAATGTAGGACCATGCGACTATGCGTGACCAAGCTTAAATATGTATTTTGTGTATGTACATGTATATCTTTGAATGCACCTCAAAGTAGTGATCTTATATATGAGACATGTGAATTTTTCAGGTTGAAGATTTGCTGACATCTAAGGAAAAGGGACACCTTAAGAAATCACTTCTAAAATATAACATAGAAAAGAACATTGGTGACTTTGTAATTGAGGTGTCAGCCATCTTGGATACACCATCTAAAAAAACCATGTGGGGGTTTATTATTCCAAGGTTATCCACTGAACACCAGAAATTCATCATACAACACATAAATGTGCCCAGTGGCATGCTTAAAGGTAATATTTTTATTAGTTTCTGTTGATAATGATTGTACAATTCTAAATAAATGCTTAGCAAACAATAGCTTCAAAGTCCATTCTTTAATGTAAAATAAATAATGCAATTTGTCCCAAGATTCCAATAAAGCATTTAAAAGGTGAGAATGTCAGTTTAAAGTATTTAAATAAGTGACACTTTCCTCTTTCTAATGGTGTATTCAAATGTATGATTCTTTTGACTCTTTTTGCTTAAATGAAAACTTAAATGAACAAGTTCCTCATGGAGAGAATTTAATCAACTTGAGTTTTTCAGGCGATTGTATTATTTCTAAAAGAAATCATCAGAATTCAATTCAATTTGTAATTGAATTATGTTGAATTGTAGATCTCCTACCAGGTAACATACTCAACATCATTGAAAACACAGAGAGAAAAGTTCCCTACAATTCTGGTAAAGTATTTGTATTTAGTATCCTTTGCAACAGTTAATCATTAATGACCAACAACCAGTCTTATATTAGTACATGTAGTTGGTAACTTGTGCCATTAAAGAAATGCTACTGTTAAATAAGAAGATTACAAAAGAAGTAAATCTACTTTTTAATAAGACTAATAGTTTCAACTGATGGTTGATAGTCATCATGTTACCATCATTTTTGATGTTGTGTGAACTAAGTTCTCATTTCAGAGACAAAAACAATTTTCATATTAATACTTAATCTACAGTGTTGAATCCTGCTCCACTTTCCTATCTTGTATAATTGTACCCTCCTGTGTAATTTATAGCTCTTTAAAGTAATCACTTCCAAATTTTAAATGTATAATTCAGGATGTGAATGCAGGAAATTCAAATTAAATATGCCGTATATAATTTCATTTAAACATATGATAATTGTGTGAGTTCATGCAATATAACTTTTTCAAGAAATGTATTTATTTACAGATTGTCCCACTTGGAAGTAAATCCATGGCACTGAAATTGTAATAACAGAAAATCTTTAAAATATTGCAGAATCCACAGAGGTGGAGTTCAGTTTGGGGAACAGTGGGAATAGCAGTTGGTTGTTGAACCTGAGCAAGATCAGTCACCTGGGCTCCTTCAAGCAGCAGCTGGAGTACCTGCTCACCTCCAGGGAACGCTCTCAGCTCAAGAAGGCTTTGCAGTTCTACTCTGAGCGCAGGTAACACTCCTACATGAAGTTCATTTTAATTATAAACCAGCACTTGAGAGTACTGCAGTGGGTTTTCGGAAAAGACCGACCCCACCGACCACCGACCGGTCGGTGTTTTCCATAGGTAGCCTCAAAACAGGGTTTGAAAAAATATGTAAAAGACCGACCACTATGTAAAAGACCGACCAAAAGAAAAAAAGCCTGCCTTGACACTGACCAATTTTACAGGAAAACAATATTCCTGTTTCTGTCCGTACGTAGGCCTATGTCTGTTCGCCGTATCTGGGCATTTACTCCAATACCGTTGTCCCAATATTGGCTACAGCCCAGAAGAGAAAAATTCTAAATTGTTAATCACATTCCCGGTCCGGGCAAGTCCATGAAGTTCGTAAAGTTGTAGCTACGTTCATCCAGTTCGGACACAGTTTAAAACCAGTTCGGCAACGTTTTAAAGAATGCAGTGACAACTTGTTTGGTGTGATAGCTATATTTGTTAATTAAGCTGCAAACGGAACCGGTTGGTGTACTCACGACCTGAACCTACACATCCTCGTGTAATAGCCTACGTCATTGATAGTTATATAGCTGGTTTTCTATGATACATACATTAACAAGCTCGTGTCGTAAGATATTTAAACCTAAAACATGTATGACATTCATTTTCTTCAGAAAGCATTTAAGCAAAGCTATTTTGGCCTAAACGCATGTTCGAAGTTATCTTGCGCCAGAAGCAATTAAAAAGATTAATAAAAAGGTATCAACTTTTAGCTGGCTAGTATTCTCTAACACAGTGGCGTGACCTTACATGACCTTTTAATGTTAATGCTGACAGCTTAATGTTCAATTAGATAGATAAGTTTGATAAGGGAGCTATATGATACTGTGCATCGAAATCAAAATTGCCAGCATAGTACCCAATAAACATGAGTATAATGATTCCCGTTGACACCAACGTAAAATTGAAAATCTCCCGTTGTAAACAGGAAAATAAAGCTGATCTGATATCTGAAGTAGACTAAGTAGCGCTTGCTTTTTATGCGTGCTATATACATAACTGTATTAATTCATTGACTTTGCGTTCACGGTTACGTTGCGAAAAACATTGCTAGCTTAACTTCTCCAAAGTTTAAACGGACCCTAAACGGTTCTTAGTACGTCAAATCCGTTCGTGCACAGTTAAAGTCCGTTTTCGAGAACGTAGTGAGAACTAGTTTGGCGTGATAGTAGGGTAAGAGGAGTCCCACTTATTTGTTTTTAAGATTTTAAGATTTTAACTGCAGGAATTTCAGGTGAAATAACGTCCATTCAGAGTTTATTTTTGCTAAACAGCTAAATGTAGGTCCGTGATCTTTGGAAACGTCTCTGCAATAAACGATCAACCTAAAGAATACACTTATCTGCTTATAAGAAAGATTAATTACGTGTAGTTGATGTTGCTCAGGATCAAATTGTACGCTTTGATTTCGTATTTTCATGGACCAGATATATTGAAATAGTTTTCCGATTTATGTGTAATCACAAACCATTTTTATATTCATATTGGTTTCTAAATGAGGGGATAAGATTCAGGAACATGTGGAATCTATTTCCAGACACTTTTATGCTTTCTACACTTTCTACGCCGACCAAGCACCGACCTCTCACCTCATGGACCCAACTGTGGAGAGTGACTGGTCGGTGGTCGGTCTTTTCCGAAAATCCTACTGCAGTCACATGATCTCTGAGATATAAGCTCTTGTATTCATGTCTCTTGTTATTATTTTGTTCCAGAAATGTGCATAATTTACTAGAGGATTTGGTAGTTATCCTGGACACACCCTCTAAACGTACATTATGGTACTACATTATCCCCCTCCTCTCAGAAAAACACCAACACTACAGCAAGAAAAAACTCAAACTGAACAAAGAGAAGGTCAAAGCAGGTATGAGGAATTTAGCTGCTGATTGCCCTGCTATACATTAGTATGTGATTGATGGTTTTGTAATGTACGTCAAGTTTTGTGTACAGTTATTTTTATGACCAACATAACATCTTGGTCCACTTTTTGAAAACCTTGACTCATTTTTCCAAAAAGCCCAATTTTCTTAAGTTAATATAAAAAATGCTTCCCCAAATCCCTTCTCAATTTTCCAGTGCATCTGATACACTTCATACTTTGTGTGCAAATGGAATGTTCCCCCGGGGGGTTCACTATATATAAACCTTGACGGGGATCCTCGGCGCATGTGGGGTACCTTTTTCAACGTTTGGTATGGCAATGGACCCATTTTTTAGGATTTGGTATGGGAATGCCTGGAAATTTCTGACTTCTGAGGTATGGCAATGGTCGGACTTTTGCTCTTCTGGTATGAGAATGGTCGTTGTAGATACGTTACCTAACATTCGTGGTATGGCATTGGTCCAGTAGTTGCAAATTTGTATGTCATTGATCCTATATTTCATTTACTTTGAATTAAGGTATGGCATTGGTCCCATATTTGGACATTTGGTATGGCATTGGTCCTACATTTTGACATTTGGTATGGCATTGGTCCCATAATTGGGCATTTGGTATGGCATTGGTCCTATATATGGACATTTGGTATGGCATTGGTCCTATATTTGGACATTTGGTATGGCCTTTGGGCGTTATTTTGGTTGGTATGGGAACATATTGAAATTTGACAGATTGGTATGGGAACATATTGATATTTGAGGCTTCAGCCCAGAACCCCCGTCGAGTTTTATATACAGTGAACCCCCCGGGAATGTTCCAAAGGTGACAGATGAACAGCCCTAATTCATGAAGATACATCAATTCTTTCTTCCATAGGTTCTGCTCATGCACCAGTGGGGTACTCAACATCAGAAAGTTACCAGAGTGCCCTCCTGAGTGTCTCAAGCTTCCCAAGCCAGCTGAACTCAGTGAGAGCTGGTGACAAAACACCTCTGATTGCTGCTCAGGAAGGTGATGTCATGTACTCTCATGGTTTCACTAGTGATGATCTCGAGAAGCTGGTCTCTGAGAACAGTCTAGGATCTGATCAAGTTTCGGACATAGAAACATTTGTAAGTTACAGTGAAACCTGTATAACCAAAAAACATGTTAGACTGAGCACTTCCCAATTTCCCTGTTTTTTCCTCCCTTGACTACCACATTAAAAAAACTCGAAATGTGAACAACTCCTAATTTCAACAATGAACCAAATTATCCAGGGTCTTTTTCCTTACAGAAATAAAATGGTTGGATGTTTCAGTAATACTTAATAAAAGTCTTTCTTAAGGATTAGAAGATATTATGAGTTTCAAAAACTTGTCATAATTTTTTCTCGCATCATCCAACTGTACTGACTTTATATTAGGATAGTGCATCTAATTCTATTGTGTTTTAAGTTATTTTTGTTAAATTCTCAATACAAAAAGCCTTTAACAGTATGAATATCTTTGAATATTCATATTTGCTTTAACTATTCTTGAGTTTGATTCTATTTCCTATTTCAGCTCACTGATGATACTGATATTACTGACAACAAGGCACCAAAGAAAACACATAAAAGTCATAGATTGAAAAAGAAATTATTGTCTAAAGGAGATTATGATGGAAGTTCAGGAAAAGAATCCGCAGCAAAGTTACAGAAACTCATGGATTATGATAGAATGCACAAGAGCAATAGCAATATAACATACAACCCATTATTTGGTATGAATAGCATACTTTTTCCAGATTTTGTACTATTTACAAATCCATTCTCATAAAGTATAATAAGTACAATTATACTTTCCCTGCTTCCAGATTTTCTTAGTATATATTTTTGGAGACCCCATTATATAGAATGAATAACAAGTTGTCATGTTCCCATTTATGAAAATTAAAATGCTCAGACTCATTGTAAGTAACAGATTCAAAGGCAAAAATACATAGATTCATTCAATAATTTTATTTGTATCATTTTACAGAGAGTGAGAGTATGCGCAGTCATATTACAAGGGTGAAAGAGGTGTGTCAGCAGACCTCCCCTGCAGGGACCATTAGCCATATTAACAATATTGCCATCCAAAATAACTCCCTAAGCAGCAATGCTTCCAATCAGAGTCTTCAGATGGAGCTGTCCAATGCAAGCGCCACAACTCGAGATTCATCCAACACTGAGACTCAACAAAATGGCCGCCCCAGCGCCAAGATGCATAATGCGAAGAGGAACTCTGTGAGCACTGGGATGCAGGCAGGTGTTGTCTCTGCAGCTTCTGCAGCTATTGATGCACAGGTTGCCATAGAAACACATCCTAAACGTAATGATCGTCTCTCAAGTCAAGTTCAGAAGATGACAATTGTTGAACATCCAACTGAAGTGTCAAGTAATTCTGAGAATGACAGCGACACTTTATTTGGATCAGTGAAATCCGTTGACTCATTTAATGCTAAAGCAATGCAGGCACTGCGTACATTAGATGAGTGTGTTGCAGGGGAGGGAGAGTCAGATATGGAAGGCCAGTCCAGTTCTGAAATGAGCAATATAACTACTGCTCATCCCCCTCCACCTCCTCCCCCTCCTCCCCCAGGTAAGTTGATTGACGTTCCATGATAGAAAACTATTTAGTACTATAAAGTCTATCCCATAGTTTCACTCAGTCTAGTGCAGTTTATACTTCCAAACTGATTTGTTTACTTCCTTGAGTCCACTTTATCAGAGATTTGGGATTAGATAAGCACCTTGAAATTGAAGGCCAATAGGTATCAGGGTTTGCAACAATACGTACAATACTGGTGGCTCAAAAATTTACGTTGTAATATTAATTTGAGATTGGAGTCATCTCCCCATTTGTTGTGTCACAGAAATGAACCAATTTTTCCTTTTATTGATCAAAGGTGGCCTTATGTTCATTATATAAAAGGTCATTTGAGATCAATGAAATGTCAAAACTTGAATATATGAACTAGTAGCCAGTAGGTGCTTGATGTAGATGAAATGTGCAGAAGAATGATAAATAATGATTTTTGGTAGTTTTGAAAAAACAAAGGTCATTAAAAGGTCAAATCTCAAAGTAAAGGTCAGAATTCCTGGAAGTTTGTTGATGATTAAAAAATAGCCAGGTTGATTTGAAGCCAATTAATATTGTAAGTATATGACAGTTTGTGTACATTTGTTTATGTTCCAGCCCCAGCCCCTCCTACTGCCCAAGAAATCAGTGTTCCCGCAATGAATGTGAAGAGGATAAACTGGGAGAAGTTGGACATTGCAAATGTACAGAACACAGTTTGGGGACAGGTATGTTCACATAGAACACACTTTATAGAATTTGAATGTAGATGGTGTTTAACTAAAACATAACCAGAATATAAGTCTTTCAGCTTTTAGTCTTAGAGTTTTGGTGTTAGTTCAAGTTCCACACAAATAGATACTGCATGCAATGTTACACTCCACAATGGTGGCTTTCCAGATGCTCCTGGTGTATCAGTATTCATATAAATCAATAACTTTGATCCTGAAATTATATGGTACAGACAGACATTGATTACATGATTATGCCAATTTTTATTTTGATTACCCAAGTCAGGTAATTGCACAAAGCATGGTTATGTGAAAGGTCAAGAAAACACCCTATTATAGTTATATGAAATACTTTTGACCATACATTGTTCTGGTTAAAGTTTTTTTGTTTATTTATAGTTAAATGACAGTGAATACTTAGATGATGTTCTGAAGTATCTAGAACTGGAGCAACAGTTCAGTACAAAGAAAACTAAAGTCTGTAAGTGCATGTATAAGAAAAAGTCTACTATTCAGACCTTTCAAATTATTTAAGATAAGCATTGATGTTTTTCATGGAAACAAGTAAGGCAATGAAATGCATAATAGGCTTAGTTAGATTCTCAGATATCTTATAATATTAAGAGAGATTATTTATTTCATAGTTATATTCATTTCATCTTTCTGGAGTGATAAATAAGATATCTTATCATTTAATTAATGTACATGAGTAACATTTTAGCCTATAACAACTGCCCAATGATGAAATATGGTTTGTTTAATGGAATTTACTATTCTTTAGGTTAGTGTTGTAGTTTTTCTGCTCTGATTTTTGTTTTCATAATCTGTTTCAGCCCAGTCATTCAGAGAGATGCAAAGCAAGAAACAGAAGGTCATACTCAACCCAAAGAAAGCCTATAATATATGTAAGTGGTATGTGTACAAGAACTCTTGAAGTTATTCAGTGGGATTAAGCTGATTCCCATACAATATCATGTTTGAAATATTATACTTTAAGCCCACGTGTACTTGACAACCTTTTCAAAATCACCTCAAATCAAAAGTACCACAATTTATTTTTGTCTACATGGCACTGTTGTTACTTATTTAATTTTCAAAGGAAATGTTCAAAATTAGTGTTTTGATGAAATATGTTTTGACGTGCTACTCAGTGGAGTTGCTGCATAACCTCCATTATAGTCTTCTCACTTGCGTTGTAGCTATAGTGCTGGGTCACTTGAAGACACCAGTGCCAGACATCAAACAATCCTTGTATAAGATGGACGAGGATCTGCTCACCCCAGAATTACTACGCCAACTGCTAGCCTATGCTCCCAGCTCTGATGAGGTAACACCGACACACTCTCCTATTGCTCTAATTTGCATGTATGGCCATGAATTCTTTTTCTATTTGTCCATCTCTATCTAGGTATATACCAAATTATATATTTCTCTTTATTAATTAATTGTACATTTCTATTTACAAAGCTATAGAGATTATTTTGATACAATTTTTTCGAAGGTCATTCATTAGCCTGTTAGTCCATCCATTTATGTGTATGGGCAATAACTTAGTACGAATTGATGGATTTGGTTAAATTCCCTCTAGGGATGGATACATGGGAGATATCTCATGAAAGAGTTGACATATAGGCTATTATCTTGAATATTAATTGCCCAGTTTGGGTTGAATGTCATTTCATGGGTGTAAATTAATAATTCATCAATGAATTAATAAATATTCAAAATGGCTGTTTGTTTCAAAATTGTCCCTTTTTTAGTGTAGATTTTACAGTATTTCTTTGAACTTTAAAGACTATAATATTATTATAGTACTACTGCCAATCATGTTGACTATACAACTCATATTTATAGTGTTAATTTTCTAGATGGACAAGTATGATGGTTACACTGGCAAGTTTGATGACTTAAGTAAGGCTGACCAGTTTGTGTACCAATTGAGCAGAGTACCAGGCTACATGGACAGACTGAAGGCAATGTACTTCAAGGCAAGCTTTGCAGAGAAATCTGAGGAGATAAGACAGGTAACAACATCATTAATTGTATATAGGGTGACCCAAGACATCCAAAAAGATCATCCAAAGGTGACATCAAATATTTCCCCCAATGCACAATCAGGGGTACATTGAAGTCCTCTGTCTGTCAGTTCTCAGGGAAATAACATAAGTGCTAGTTGACTAATTTCTCCATAGTACTTGTAAATGTTTCATTTTTTTATTTTTATAAATTAAGCACATGTTCTTCCAGCACCATAATCAATTTGGTGTCTGTTTTGGGTTCAGTCACATATTTCCAATTCTACATTTTGTTTTAAAAGACGTTTGATTTTATGTTTTACAGTGCTTGTCATGTCTGAAGAAGGCGTCAATTGAGCTGCGTCAAAGTAAGAAGATGGCCAAAGTGTTGGAGGTGAGTGAACAGCCATGGATATTTATATGTTGAAAATGACCTTTTTGACCTCCATAATCTCAAAATCTGGGCTTTATATAATACTAACTATAGCTTCAGGATGGTAAAAATCCTTCTCTCAGTCCCTCAGAATGATATCATCCCTCGTGATAAGCCCAATATTCAATCCCTCTGTAGATATAACCTCTATATATTTGGACATTTGAAGCTGCATTTATTTAATATCAGTTCCTTTGAAAGGAAGTAATGTAACCAAATATCTTCTCTTTGCTTGCAATTGTTAAACATGAAACAAAGAATCCTATTGGGCATTGGATTTTTTAATTCATGACGGAATGGTTATCATAGCAGTTTTTGATATTCCCATTATTGGAGGACATAAAATCTGTGATAAGTTCTGTTGTTTCAATTTTTCTGAAATATGTTGTGGAATAATAACACATTATAATACATGTAACAGCATCATATTAACTCTTTTTGAATTCACTTTTAATAAAACATTGATATTGTTTTAGTTGGTGTTGGCAATGGGTAATTATATGAACAAGGGCAACCAGAGAGTAGGAGAGGCCTCAGCATTTAGGATCAGCTTCCTCACACAAGTAAGACAATATAACCAGCAATAAGAGGCATGATGAATTTATATGCCCCACTCAAAATCCAGTTGTAGTCATTCCATCAGGTTTGTATTGATTTGGTTCACAGTAAATACACTCTACTACAATTCATGATTCACATTTTCTTTGTCCATGTTGGTAATTTATAACATTAATCCTGGCTTCTACTTTTGTCTCATTGGATGACACTATATAAGTCTGTATCATTATTAGCATTATTCCCTATCAGAAAGTATTGAATTTGATGTTAAAAAGTAATTGTGTCGTTTTCAGGTTTTAAAGGTTTCTCCTAGTACTCTACTTGCAATGCTAGTCACACAATTGAATTATCGAAATCGTTGTTCCCTCTTCAAAAGAGAAGACGCGAAAATCTTTCCTTATAAGGGCAAAATATTTCCCATGATGCAGTTCGCGGAGGAACAAATTTATACTTCCTTATTTTCCCTCATAGGTTTAACATGGGGATTTTCACACCTATTTTTCAAACGATATATTCGTTCATATTCCCGTACGAGAGTACAGAAAAAATTATTAGAAACGATTGATCTCTCATTAATCTAAATATAACAGCTATTTTTTCATTGTATTAATTCATAGCGTGGTGAAAACGATGATTGAAAAGTGAGAAAATATTCCGAAAGAGAAGGTCACGTGATCAGTAGACTAGTCGCCATATTGGAAAAAACAATTCCATTCGACGTTTAATACTTTCATGCCAATCTTACCGCACTACAAACTGCGACATCGATGCAACAACTGAATAAAAGTATTCATCTTCAAATTACATTATAGAGTTACGTTGAAAACCCACAAACAACTGAGCAGTAGACCAAAGAAGACGCGTCGCTATTATCTAGGTCAATCTGTTCAGTGGTCCGAAAGCAAATGTATAGTACTCGTTTCCGAATTTTGTTGTTCATTGTACAATCTTTTATTGATTAAACTCGGTATACTGACCATTAAAGCAATGACAAAGAAGAATACTTACGATGGTGTCATTGTTTTATTTAGCGTGCGGGTGTAAAAACAAAATTGAGTAATTAGTTTGATTTAGAACTTTCGTGTCACGCAAATAGCTACGCGAAATGCATAGTGGGAAAATATTGACCAATCAAATTTTGTCCTTTTTGAGTGCTTTTTCAGTGCATATTTGCGAACGTTCTGATTCAAAGAGCGAACTGCGAAAAGGAGAATTATCCTATTGTACGATATGGGCTATACTTATCCATATTTTATTTATTTTGCTATTTATTATTTGGATATACACTATTATGTCAATTCAGGTATTTTAACATTCTGACAATTATGTGGATGTAATATGTAAGTCTTATGTTATTCCACATTCACATATTTCAGCTTGAATTGACCAAGACATCAGACAACAAAGCCACATTCCTACACGTTCTCGCCAATGCCATCTATACAAAGTTCCCAGACATGCTACCACTCATAGAGGACCTACCAACCGTAGCAGAGGCTGCTAAAGGTATTTTTCATTGATAACATCATATCATACATAACAAAAGACATAATAGTATACAATAATACATAATAATATATTTGTACTTTGTTTCAACAAGAAAAAAAAAGCATAATTAATTTATTTACTGTACTCCCAGTTAATTTTGCAAGTTTTGATCTCGCGAATTTCACATTATTCTCTGAATCCTCAAGCTTTGTAAACTAAGTACTAAGTTACCTTATGTATCTATTATGTTCAGATGTTATGTACCTAATGTCATCTTTGGATAAGAGTTACAATAACTAGATGTTGGTCAAGGGCATGCTGCACCTTAACCTCTATTACATCGTCATTTTTAGTTTATTTGATCTAATAAGCCAGTGTAAGGGACATTGTTTCTAATTTATCACCAAATAATGTTTTGCATTAAACAAAATGCATCAACGTCCCAGCTCGTAATAACAAATTAATGTATCCTGGGGATTTAATTAGCAAATTTCGCGACGATTATTTCTCGCAATTTTACCACAATCACTAAAAATCGTGGAACTTAATTGTATGCGTAAAAAATACTGGGAGTACAGTATATTTATTCATTTGTCATCTGACCTTCAATGATAAGATTTAGGACAGAACATTTCGTTTCCTGTTTTTATATTTTGTTAATTTTTAACTTTACCTACTCATTAGTATCTAAGTGTTATTCAGTTCCTTTTGATTTTATGGTAAATTTGAATAAAGGAAGCTTCAGATTCTAAATATGCTTTTGGTTTTGGGATTCTACTTCCAGATGACCTTGAAAAATAAAGAGTCAGTGTTTTGACCTTGACTCGGTTTTCATTTTGTAAAATTAGGATATTAAATATTTTTGACCTGACTAAAATGATGTTCAATTTATTTTTAGAGACATTAAATGTTGTTTTAATGTAGATTATTGACACAATTGAAGTAAACATAAATCAAATTTGTTTACTATAGTTTAACATTGTATAATTAAAACCATTCTATAAAACAAATTATTCTTATAAAATGACTTTTTGCTATAATTCCTTATTTTCAGTGAGTGGTACAGGTAAGGTGGATATGTTTTAGCATGGGTTTGGTTGTATTGCATGTTGAACTACAAAACTGACTCTTAAAAGTCTTTGTCACCCTCATATTTACACTCTAAAGGCCTCATATTTACACTATAAAGGCCTCATATTTACACTCTAAAGGCTTCATGTTTACACTCTAAATGCTTCATATTTACACTCTAAAGGTCTTATATTTACACTCTAAAGGCCTCATATTTACACTATAAAGGCCTCATATTTACACTCTAAAGGCTTCATGTTTACACTCTAAATGCTTCATATTTACACTCTAAAGGTCTTATATTTACACTGTAAGGGCCGCATCTTTACACTGTAAGGGCCGCATATTTTCACTCTAAAGGCCTCAAATTTTCACTTATATTTATAATATAAGAGCCTCATATTTACACTCTAAAGGCCTTTTATTTACACTGTAAGGGCCTCATATTTACACTCTAAACCCCTTATATTGACACCCTCAAGGCCTCATATTTACTCTGTAAAAGCCTCATATTTACTTTCTTAAGGCTTCATATTTACACTCCAAAGGCTTCATATTTACACTGTAGGGTCCTTATAGACCCTTATAGACTTCTAAAGCAACATTGAGTCATTTCCACAATGTCTTCAAGAAGAATGAGTTGATATCAATATCTGGACAAGTGAGCATAGCAAATGAGTGCAGATATTGATATGAATGAGTGGATTAAAATTATATCAAAAAATTCTATTTATCGCATAGTTCACATGTGAAACTAAACCAAGCATTTTAAAACAACGTTTAGTCTTATTTTGTCATTTCAACTGAAGGATTATTCATTCATCCTTTCATCATGACCACATGACATCATGAAATCACTTCATAACAAAACAATTCACTTAGGCGGGAGTTTTCAAATCTTTGGAAAAAGTGATAGATGTGGAATATTCTCTGAATTGCACTGATATTGCTTTTCTCCATATGATAAGTATATTCCCATGTTATCATACAGATTTGACCTCAACTGTAGGATACATGTTCTATTCTTCAGTGTTATTGAAGGAGAGTTAAACATGTTGCCACATAAAATAGAATGGAATATTTGATGTGTTAATTGGAATGTTTTGCATTTTACTATGAACCAACAATTAATAGGTATGAATGAAAATTTTAAAGAAATATTTGATATTTTTGTCATGGTAGAAAACTACTTTTGATATATTTGATATGAACTTTCTATCCCATTGCAGTCTCCAGCAGTCAGATAAACCAAGAACTGCTTGATTTGAGGAAGGTGCTACAGGTAGGTGACCCATTCACATATTCATCAAGGAAGGTTAATCACTTGCATATTTAGCTGGCTGAGACACTCATATATTCAGTACACTACATATTTACAATCATATATTGTTCAAGGGCTTTAATATGGAATTATCCATGCTTGTAAGTTGTAAGATTTGCTTTTGTAGAGAGTGTATTTATTTATCTATTTTTCGAGTTTTGATATTTTCAGAAAAAAAGGATTGTTGATGGTTCATTAGTACTATGAATGTTATAAAAATACAGGATCAGAAATAAGACACTTTCAATATCATCATTGATCTAAAAGTATTACTACATCTATATCAAGAGGTCTCATGCATACTGTTCCTTATGCTGTGATCACATTTGCTCCGATTTTTACGACGGCGCCTGGCCGATTGAGTATTTTGTTCAAAATTGAATACAATATTGAACAAAACACTCAATCGGTCAGGCGCCGGCCGATGGATTAGAGCAAATGTGACCCAGGCATTACTTTTTGGTAAAATACATACTGGTAGCTCTGTAAATATAATTGAAGACCACTAAAAACCACATATTTATTATTCATATTAAAAACGTCACTGTCTGTTGACTCCACGTTGAGTTCTGATCTATCTACACCAAGTGTTTTCAGCAGGCTCAGTCTGAATGTTTAGCTGTACTGATGACTTCATTGACATTTCCTGTATGTTATATTGTAGGAGATTTCCACAACACTGACCAGCCTAGGTAGCCACAACTACAAGTGTGGTGTGAATGACAGGTTCCAGGAGATTATGGGAGTATCCTTTATACTGTGCGATCCTACTGTACCATACAGGCTATAATATACAGGGTGGTCAAAAAACGGCAACCCTGCTGCTATATAAAAACTCATTTTCCTCATATCTTTGTCATTTTAGAGAATTACTCGCTGATATTTAGTACATTTGTACATCATTCAATTTCCTACCAGCCCCTTATATTTCATGACCATCAGACTGATAGTCACAATGTTATAGCACTTGAAACAACATGCTCAAGAGGGCAATATTACGTTGGAGGCAAACCTGCACCATTGTCCAAAATGTCCATACCTGACTTTTACCTTTGGGGATACGCCAAAAATAGAGTGTTCAAAAATGACCTCAGGACAATTGCAGAAGTCAATAGGGAGATCATTCAGGCCATATCTGCTGAGGAATGCAGTCGGATCATTGACAACTTCTGCAGGTTTGCCTACAGCGCAGTGATATCTGTATATCAGGTTGGCATCTTTAAAATAATAAATTATGAAGATATACTTTCATAAGATGTTCCCATGGCATATGGCATCTTCTTCACTTTAAAAGAAACAAACTTGATGGATCCCCACAACCTTTATTTTTCAACTAATTTTTTATGATTTCATTCTGGTTTGATTCTTTGACAACTTTATGTTACACTACATGATATCAACTCCACACTGTCCTTATTCCTTAACTACAAACTTAGCGTTTTATCAATGAATCTTCTGATGAGATCCAGAAGTTGTTCACTCTGCAAGTGTCTGCTCATGAGGAGTTCACAGCAATGGTACAATTCTATGGAGAAAACCCAAAGACAACTAGTACAAATGAAATTTTTGGTATATTTGCTGATTTTATCACCAAGTTTGAGGTAAGAGACTTCATTATAACACTATTCCTGATTGACTTCTTCATTATAACTATATTCCTGATTGACTTCTTCATTATAACTATATCCTAACATAAACCATTATGTGCTTACTGTTTTTTGCTGCTAGGCTAGACCAATACAAAGTACATGTAATAATTATATACCTGCATTGACCTCTGATAACTACATCCCTGTGTTGGCCATTATATGATAACTCCTAGTCCTCTATATCGTAACTATATTCCTGTTAGACCACTAAATGATAACTATGTTCCTACTAGATATATATTATTCAGTAATTTACAAAGTGGTTGTTTATCTTCCAGAAAGCTCACACACATAACCTGCTGTACAAGAAACACTGATATGAGGAAATAGAATCTCAAACACATCCTTATTTGATAACAGGATTATCCTCAATATATTATGGATTAATGCTGTTAAAGACACTAGGATATTCTACAATAAGGATTTGTGCTTCTAAAGACAAAAGGATTATCAACAATAATGATTTGTGCTTCTAAAGACAAAAGGATTATTGACAATAAGGATTTGTGCTTCTAAAGACAAAAGGATTATCAACAATAGTGATTTGTGCTTCTAAAGACAAAAGGATTATCAACAATAATGATTTGTGCTTCTAAAGACAAAAGAATTATCAACAATAAGGATTTGTGCTTCTAAAGACAAAAGGAATATCCTCAATGAGGATTAATAGTGTTCAAGACATCAAGATATTCCAGAATGGGGATTAGTACTGTTATAGGCATCAGGATTATCCATGGTGAGGATTAGTGCTATTAAAGACAAAGGGATTATCAACAATGAGGATTAGTGCTATTAAAGACAAAGGGATTATCAACAATGAGGATTAGTGCTATTAAAGACAAAGGGATTATCAACAATGAGGATTAGTGCTTTAATCGTACAATAATGATAATAACAAACTACTCAGTCATCATAATATTGCAAAATTTGGTATTAATCTTTCTTAATATTCTATTCAAAGGTGCAGTATTGTTCACTTAAATTGTCTTCTTGCTTTTAAGGACAAGTTTACCAAACAACTTTAGTGAAGCTCTGTTGAAACTTTATTGTTGCTTGAAATGCAGCTTTTCCCAGAATTTTCATCATTTATTATATTCTCTAGAGGTGGGGTATGCTACTGAAATGTTTCAACATTCACTCTTCATATATTGCAGACTATATACTATATAGAACATATTAAAGGTCATGGGGGTGGCCAAATTGCAAGCAACCTGTACAATTGACCTACCAATATATTCTTTACTATCACATAAGATAAGACATAATGTGGTTGTACTATTGTACTGTACTTCATTTGTGTCGACAGTGTTGTACTGTAATACACTTGGGAAGCCATGGGTGGTACTGTAATTCACTTTCAGCATTAATAATAGTATGTTACAAGGATTTACAAGTGTTCGTATTATACGCAGATTTAGGAATGTACGCACACATTTATGCAAACCATTTACATGTACAGTGTACACGTACACTCACAATTAAAGCTGGTAGTCATTAACATGTATTTTATGATCTCATTTGTTTTTTTCAGGTGTGAAAATATTGGATTTGTTTTACATTTTATGCATTTGTGTATTATATTATATTAGACTATTTATTTTTGTATTATTTAAATTATTTGATTTATAACTTATTTCATTTTGTTAATTATGTTACAATGTGATATATCAATGTAATTTTTGAAATAAATGACACAATTCTACACAAAACAGTTTTCTGTAAAAAATTATAATCTTACATAGAAAGAGACAATGGCCAATGTTTCCTTCCCACAATTCAGGAACAGTCATTACAATATATTTTTCCAGTATTTATTGAAGAAATTAATAAGTACACTTAAATAAAATGTCATGATGTCCATCACCCTTGAGGCATTACAGACATACCCACATATTAAACAAATAGCTTTTGACTGGAAGATGCATGAAAATCTGAGCTTTGACTAAGAGTGTCACACCTTTTCTAATCAGCCTCTTTGCCACATCCAGTAAATGCAAGTTTTTGATGTATAAAAGTGAATAAGTGTATAAAACTTATTCATTTAACAGCTTGTAAGTTGTATGGAAATATTGTACCATTTAGTAATTTCTACTTTTTTAACATCCATCCATCCATCATTTTCCATCTTTTATCAAAATGATGAGCATAGAAGTTTAGAAATTTTACATATTTTCACATATTTTAGGTGACAGTATACAATTGTTGACCTCTCCAGAGGTCAACCGGCAAAGTTGTATACCGAGACTGTAAACCGAGAAACTACTGTTGACAGAGACCGAAGGTCGAGGTCAACAGTGTTTCAAGGTTTACAGTCGAGGTATATGATTTTGACGGTTGACCGAATGGAGAGGTCTACAATTGTTTTGTTAGTCAGAAGAAACTAATAATACTCATATATACGACAGTCATCAATCATGGCTTCATTTCACAATCTTTTCTACGAACCACGCCAGCAATAATTTAAGAAAATCTGAAGACAGTGGAAGCTAAACTCTCTGTTTTCGGCACATAACTGCGTACTCACTAGTAAATTAATGTTAATTTTGCGTTTCTATTTGTATTGTTGCTATACTCGTCGTGTAGAAAAGTCAAAATATCACTTTCATCAACGTGTACAAAATGTCCGACTACCATGTTTTTTCTGTAAACATTGTGACGTCATATTTCCCATAATTCACAAGTGTAGTACAGTAACATACGCGGTCAATAATATGATATCCCATGATGCACAAGTGAGGTACAGGCAAAAATGTTGACCGCTAATTGACCAATCAGATGCGAGTATTTACACTGAGGTACTAACAATTTGAAATGATTACTTCCTTTGTCCATAAAGGCATCTTTGTATCGGTAAAATTTGTTATTGTTCAAAGAATATAACCAAAATGTAATTCATCAAATCAACCGGACACTCTCTCATTTCAAATGGTATATTATAGACAAATTGTATCACTAATATACTTTTTTCATATGGAATTATCTAAATGAAGGAGAAAAGTGTAGCCTAAATGCTGTGTAATACTAGAGCTGTAAGAGTTGTAAGAGAAACTTGGCTTTGTATTTTCACATTAACGCTTCCTCTTACCAAATGATGGCACACTGTAGCAGTACTCAAACCTCAAGGTTACTCTTGAATTATCTTATTCTACTGATAAACTTGAACATTGGACTATTGTCCATGTGTGTTCAGCTATCTTATCCAGTATTACATATCACATTGTTTTCAAACGATCTAAGTCAACTTGGGCCATGATCATATATTGGTATAGGTGTCCAAGACGATCTAGTTTTAGCTCTACATATATATGTTCCACCTACATGTTGACATTTAGATTCATAGGCAGAACATTTCATATAAAGATAAACAGTTTACATTACAGGGGAATAATTCTACCAGCTCGACATATCATTCAAAAGGCACTGGTGACATTTGCAAGACTCCAGTATCTGACATTTCAGAATGTTTAGGCCTATTCTAGTAATTCTGCACATTGGATTATCAGGGCCCTTCCTGACAACAGCTTCAGATGCAAGATGCTGCATGCCTGACATCTGGGATGGAGTTCTTGTGGAAACTGGTGGTACTTATAACCATAACAAGGACCTTGCAAAAGTATATGAATCAAATATTATGATGTCATCAGATGCAACCAATAAGAGGCAAGCTTGGACAGAAACGGTGAATGTGCAACCAAGTGGAGCTACTACCAAGCTAAAAATCATTAAAGATTTCAAAGAGGTTAAGAATTTTGATACTATTGTTTTCACAATTTGACAATAAGGAAAAATTCCAGTTTCCTATGATTTACATTTACTTTCCTACAACTTTCGTTTTTGGTGTAATTTTAAGGAGTCTCAGTTGTCTTGAAATTTACCTTAAAATAGTATCACGTTGTGGAGCATGATTATTTACCCACCATATGTGGGGTCTGATTTTTTAATTATGTAAAATATATAAAGAAAGATGTAAGAATTATATTTACATCAATAAAACATCACATTGACGTGGAATAGTCAAAACTAGATGGCGGAAATTTTGTGACAAACAAAGGTGAACAGGAATGGTCATGACTATGTATGAGTTACTCCTCTGTTTCAACCATTGGCTTTGTTAAAAGGTTAGGTGTACCTTGATATAACCTTGATATGAAAAAGCATGAACATATGTTCATCTTTGAATCCCCTTCTTATAGAAACTACCAATTAAATGTATAGATATATCAATAAATTAGAAATTAAACAATGAGTCATCCAAATGTTAAACTTGATCAGAGACATACTTTGATGATAGTTCCTGGTGATACTAGAGAAATAAAAGAATTATTAAAACATGATTGTAAATCAGACCTTCCATGGCGAGTAAAAAATTAGGTGGGTTCCAGTATTTGAAGATGAAGCCATAAATATGGGTATTCATTACAGATGTTGCAGTACACAATCACTGATGGGAAGTGTACAATAGCAAAACTTGCAACACCTTTTCCTGGCATGTGCATTCCAGGTATGCATATTATACAAGTGTTTACTGTTTAATTCTGTTGACAGAATGCTAGCCTGTGCATCTTTCACAAGTAATATTTCCCAAAGCCCCAAATGAATATTGAATTTGTTAAAATCACCCAGATATTCACTGAAAAAGAAGATATTTTTAACCTTGTGTAATTGTTAATAAGGTTGGAGATCAACAGTCTCTTCATGCTGTACTCTTAATTGCAGGTAAATCAAGTCACCTTGGAAACTCAGTGGTTGGGGGCAGGATAGCTACTGACATCTGGTGGTGGTCTGATGTAGCAGGGCAGAAGAACACATCTGTGAGAGTATCTGCTACCACAACTGCTATAGATGTCTGTGTGCCTTTAACTGAGGTCATCACTACAGTAGCTCTGCCAGGTGACAAAGTTAGAGAAATTATAACATAGGTGTCTCTCAACTATAGAACTTCTGTATTGCTTAACTACTACATTTTAATTTTTTTGTGAAATTAAATTTTTATTTTTGAACATCATGATGCAAATTAACTTGTCATTTATTACTGATGTCATCATTATTATGCTTTATAATGAGAATGCCAATGCTTTGCTATACATGTACACTGCAATTTTAATGTCACAAATCCTGCACTACCGTTTTAGAAATAAAAAAATTCTTCAAAGGCCCTTTGCATGCCAAACCATAAAAAAATATACTCAGTATAGTCCTAAACCATGCCTTACTTTGATTCCAGTGACCACCCTAACATTTCTATCCTACTACAATGTGACCCTGGGAAATAGAGACCCAAGTGTGTATTTACCACCTAAATACTGCCCCCCTCCTTCACAGTATCAATACTCCAGTAAGGTGTGTATGTTGTGAAAAGTCCATGATAACGAAAACAATAGGATGAGAGCTATATGCAAAATTAGCAATATTAATGTAAATTATGAGAAAACTGCTGTTAAATATATTCCTATTCAAGAATATTCAACCTGGTCTTTGATTTCAGGCTGAATCCAGATTAGTTTCTGCAATGACATCATTCTTTAGAGACAACTAGTGACATAAACTAAAACACAAAAACCAAAATAAGATGACCATATGGCAAAAGACTCCAGTTGTATAGAAAATACCAACCTCTCCGACCACAGGTGGTCTCAGAGCAGGGGTTGATAAGAAACTGTCACTGCTCGGGGAGGGGGGGTGGAAGAAGAGGAAAATAATACTAAAAACTAAGAATCCAATGACAATAGTACCTTTGTTAGGTCGTGATTCAAATGTGTTTAATCATTTTAAATCACTATGAAAAACGCAAAAGAAAAACGTGAGGGGATTAGCTTTTGCATTAATGTACAACACAATGGCCTGCTCACTTCATGAAAGGAATAATCATAGGCCTACCCAATGAAGATCCAGTGACCTCAGACATACAGCCTATTAAAGTGTTGCAAATCAAAAACAATAAAGACATGATTGGCATAGATTTTATTCAGAGAGGTCAGTCACAAACCAAGAATTGAAACTATTTTGGATGTTCCTTCGTTATGGATAAAATACTTTCAACTCATATTGAAATCTGTAGGTTAATTGAATGCTCTCCACACATGTCAGTTGTCCATGTAAAAATCAAATTGTGAGCAAAATGGAACAAACTTATGTAGTTCAACTATAGTTTTTTGGAATGTTAGTTTCCAAGAAGTGTTCACATTAAGAAGAGATCATAGGTTAAAGAGGTGTTGAATTTACAGGTTTTACTGTATTGCTGATTATGTTTCAAGTACAAGTTCTAGTGCAGTTGACATTGTTGACATATTTTCATTTAAGAAGGTCTCTATTTACAATACAAACCTCGGATTGGACAATTTCAATAATAATCATAAATCAAAAAGGAATTTTTGAAGTCATTTTGCGAGCTTCTATCCCATCAATATTGTCAGGACAGTAATGGCCAAAAACTTTGCAGCCATTTGTTAGAAAAGGTTGTCTTCCTACACTTAATATGGCATATATTTTATAAAATAAGTTGACTTCAAGCAAAACTGTGTGATAAAAATGTATACAAACAGACACATGCATAGTTTCTCATTAACCTATACCCATATCTGAATGAATTTTGATAGGATAATAAATAAATCAAAGAAATAAGATTTTCAATATGTCTACCTATAAAGGTAATATCAGTAATAATACAGTAAAAGCTCTCAATCTAGAAGACTATAATTTATATTTTTATACTATCTCGAGTTGTTTCCATTCATGAGTTATTTCATTCTCGACTTGTATAAGTGACCAGTATCTTCATATCACAGTCACACTTTTAGCTCAGGAAACCTGATTTTCATACAATATACAAGATAAATATTACTATAGTAATAAAAAATAAAGGCTACTAATAAAAATTCAAAATCATGATAAAATATGATTCAAATATACAGAAAACTGTCCAGGCTAAACTACTGTGTCAAGCAAAATTAATGAAAATATGCATTGACGTTTATTGTACATACATTTATGTTAATTAGTTAATGAAAACACAGAATGAAATCCTGTGCTAAGGGCTGATGTGAAAAAGTCAGTCCACCCCAGTGGGGATCGAACCCAACACCCCTCGCTTTCCGGGCAAGTGCTCTACCACTGAGCTACAGGACCGACTGGCTTTTCCACATCAACATTGCATATACAGCATTGCAGCCATGTCTTACATGCCCAGTTTCCTGGACCCCATATAAGTTACCCGTCTTTCCAGGTTGTCAATCACTCTATCTAAATGGATTATATGCTAGTGTCCAATTTTGTGGCCTATAGTAAAATGTATTCTTTCATTCTAATAGGCCTACATATAAAATGGCCATCATATTAACCAGATTGTCATAAGGCCGGTAAAGTATCATACTTCCATGACCTAAGTACAATTACATATAAAGGATCAACAAAATCACTCCTCTAGCTTTTGAGTTAGAGCAAAAATGTAATGTTCAAAAATGCTCACAACTTTCTAGAGTGTTCACTTTATTTTAAAGAAAATTGATTCAACACTTTTAGAAAAAAAACTAGACAACAGCAACGCCAAAGCGTAGCAAATCCCATCAAACAGCCGTGGCTGGCATTTTTATAAAGAAAGTACAAATATATAGCAAAAATCAAAATAACGCACAAAAAGGCCACCATAATAGCCAAATAGTCATCAGAAAGTGTAATATGTAATAACAGAAAGTGTATATGTAATATTTCAACAAAATCGCACACACATACATGTCAATGGCGGCCATTTTTTAAATGGCCACTTACTTACCGAAATGTCATAAGACAGTGTCCCATGCTTATGAGTATTCACATATCAAATATGAACAAAATCGCTCTATTACTTTTTGGGTTATCGTAAAAAAAACTTAAAATAACACACATAAAAATGGTGGCCATTTTTCAAAATGGCCGCCTACTGCCCAAAGTGTCAGTAGACAGTGTGACATGCTTATAGTATTCACATACCTAATATCAACAAAATTGCTCCACTACTTTTTGAGTTAAGTATAAAATGTTAAGATTGCTGGCAATTTTTCAAAATGGCCACCTTCGACCAAAAGTGTCATTAGGCAGTGTGCCATGCTTATAGTATTCGCATACCAAATATGAGCACAATTGCTCCACTACTTATAGCCAAAATTGTGTAAAAGCGTGTAAAGGCCGCCATTTTTCAAGATGGCTGCCATATGCTTCTTCAATATTTACATTTCTATATTTATTAATGTCCTATAGAATTTTTTCACATTTAAAACAAATTGCTATTAGTTTTACATATTGTACCTAAATAACTGTAAAATCTGCACTAGAATGGCCACCATTTTTAAATGAACGGCCATTTTGAAAATTGGCTCTCGAGCAGAACTTCTACCCCCATAGGGTATATGTGCACAAAATATGAACAAAATCGGGCCAACGGTATTTGAGTTATTGCCCGGACGGATGGACTGACGCGTTCCCTATATCCCTCCAAACTTCGTTCGATGGGATAATAAGTAGTACACCACAATAACAATACAAATGTACATTCAAATAAATCAAGTGGCCACAATTGGCTTTCAAACAGAACTATTAATTATTCCCATAGAGAATATAAAATATTAGCAAAATTGGACAAACGGCATTTGTGTTATTGCAGACTCACAAACAGACATGCACTCTTTATATCCCCAGAAGATTGATGGGACAAAACAGAAGTAATACCAACATCAAGAAGGAAGTGATTTGTTTTGTCAGCTGTCATGGCAACAGTCTGTTTTTATGGTGGTACCAGATGTATTTTTGAGGGAATCACTTTTTATAGGAAGATGTTGAGAACCAGTAATTTCTCCAATTTCAACAGGACATTCAGATGCTGGAATATCAACATTCACAATGTCATTGTCCTGACGCGTGTTGCTATGGCAAATAATATCGGCAGTTTTTGTATCCTGATGTAGATTTGGCAGCATTGTCAATTCTGGTTCCAAATCAGAGAGATCATCAGGAGATTCTGCTTGATTGTTACCATGGTAACTGGGGTCATCATCATCATTGTCAGATTCATAGACCTCGGCACCTTTGAAGATGTAGCGATTTGGAGGCAGGAATAGATACTGACCATCTGAAAGTTGAACAGAAATTAAGTTCTCCATTGTATATTAATATTTCATCTTAGGATTTTGCCTGACATATGGCTCCACTTATTTATATTATCATCATCTTCTTGTGAATTTCCCTTTCTCTCATACTGCATTTCATTCATGTTTATGAGGAAATTGCGGCATGAATGTATTTATCAAGTATGAATGATATGTGTGTATGGATATAAAAGAATGAGAACGTGGAGCATGAATGTAAGATCGAGTGTAATAGCTACAACAACATTAAATAGGCTATGTTAAACATGGAAATGAGATTTTAAAGTGCAGAAATTACTCAGTAGACCTATTCCGAGTTGTGTTCTATAGAAAAAAGTAAATGCAAACAAGTACTGTAAATCTGACTGCTTCATGTACCTTGAATTATTTTTTAGAAACACTGTACATTAATGAAGACTTGGCTATTTAACTCACCTGCTAACATATTAGCTAGATTCCAGCGTTTAGGTTGCCAGAAAGTTTTCAATAGTTCCAACTCTTCTTTGGAATGTCCAGGTGTATCCTGAGACAATGCTGGGGTGTCTTTTGACATCATTTGAGTGTTTTCAACAATCACTGAGGTGCCCGTGTCTCCTGCTATCTCTGGTTTATCTATTGGTAACATTGATGCATCTCCTGCTACCTCTGGTTTGTCTGTTGGTAACATTGATGCATCTCCTGCTACCTCTGGTTTATCTATTGGTAACACTGATGCATCTCCTGCTACCTCTAGTTTATCTACTGGTAACATTGATGCATCTCCTGCTACCTCTGGTTTGTCTGTTGGTAACATTGATGCATCTCCTGCTACCTCTGGTTTGTCTGTTGGCAACATTGATGCATCTCCTGCTACCTCTGGTTTGTCTGTTGGTAACATTGATGCATCTCCTGCTACCTCTGGTTTGTCTGTTGGTAACATTGATGCATCTCCTGCTACCTCTGGTTTGTCTGTTGGTAACATTGATGCATCTCCTGCTACCTCTGGTTTATCTGTTGGTAACATTGATGCATCTCCTGCTACCTCTGGTTTATCTGTTGGTAACATTGATGCATCTTCTGCTACCTCTGGTTTATCTATTGGTAACACTGATGCATCTTCTACCGCTGGTTTATCTGTTGGTAACATTAATGCATCCTTTACCTCTGGTTTATTGCTGTTATCTTGTTCTGTACTTTCTGAAGAATCTGCCACATTAGATGACGACTGGTCACACTCAATTATAACTTCAGATGATCTGGGACCTTTTGAAACAAAAGTGTCTCCTGCCAATATTGATGAATACCCTGGCTCAGATGGCCCCAAGCCTGATGGACCACAGCCAGTAATGAGTTGCTTATCTAATGAGCCAGTTTTAACTATGCCCTCCAAACTAGAGCAACTTTCAGATTTAAGTTCACTATTTTCAGTTACTGAGTGATCCTTTTCAGTAATTTGATCAGTTTGTGAAGTATTTTCTTCGGGAAGATTGCTTTCAGTTTTTGAGTCTTTCAAAAATGTTTCTATTTGTTCAGTAGAGGCTTTTGTGAGGTGAGACTTGGTATTGTCCACATGATTAGCTTCAGTTGACTCTATCGCTGGTGTAATTATAGAAACACAATGAGATGAAGTAATTGCTGAGGTAGGGCTCTGCTGATTCAAGTTAACAGTATTTTCATTGAGATCTGCACTTTCAGTTCTGTTTGTTATTGCATCATTTGAGGTAGAGGGAAATATACTGCAGCTATTGTCATTGCTGTTCCCTGGGTAGGAGTTTGAGTCACATGACAAAGGTGGAGTTAACAAATTGCCTTTTGTAATCTCTGTGAGCGGTGGACATGAGGGGTCAACTACCCAGGAGTTCCCCAGATGTTGTGCTAGTTCATTTATGATGACGTCACCATCTCCAAGCAGCTCAATGTCAAAGTGCAAGTGTGTGAGAGGCTCCCTGTTGATGAGGATCTGAGGTACAGAGGCTGGGATGGAATCTGAAATCAAAGGTTATTTTTTTATTATATATTAAAGTCTTTGGTGTCACCTTACAAGCTAGTCTGCAAGTTAAGCATTTAAGCTCAATACTGTATTTGTCTTTAAATTGGCGCTACTTAATTTGGCAATAGATTTTCATACTAAGAACCATCCCTGAAAATTTGAAATTGATCTACCAAATGGTTCACCTGAAAACGCGTAGACAAGACTTTACAGGCAAGATTTTAAGACGGAAAATCCAAATTTAGATTTTCATACTTAGAATCATCTCTGAAAATTTGAAATTGATCTACCAAATGGTTCACCTGAAAACGCGTAGACAAGACTTTACAGGCAAGATTTTAAGACGGAAAATCCAAATTTAGATTTCCATACTTAGAATCATCTCTGAAAATTTGAAATTGATCTACCAAACGGTTCACCCAAAAACGCGTAGACACGACTTTACAGGCAAGATTTTAAGATGGAAAATCCAAAATGGCTGCCTTGAGATTTATCCAGAATGCCAAAAACCTAATCAGATCTAGATTTTTATACAAAGAATCATCCCTGAAATTTTGAAATCGATCTACCAAACGGTTCACCTGGAAATGCGTAGACAAGACTTTACAGACAAGATTTTAAGACAGAAAATCCAAAATGGCTGCCTTGACACTTACCCAGAATGCCAAAAAACTAATCAAATCTAGATTTGCATACTAAGAATCATCCCTGAAAATTTGAAATTGATCTACCAAACAGTTCACCTGAAAACGCGTAGACAAGACTTTACAGACAAGATTTTATGACAGAAAAAAACAAAATGGCCGACAATAAAAAAGTGATTATGAGTTTTGCTGATTTCCTTTTACAAAATTATCACAAATAACTAACAATAACATAGGCTTTTACAACAAAGTACACCTGAAATTATTTATAAACCTATTAAATAGTTAAAGTATGAAAACTCAAAAACACCATTCAATATGATACAAAGTATTATCACGCACTAACTTTTCTTAAGACATTCAAAATGGCTGACATGACTGAGCTAACAGGTCCAAAACCTGATCAGATGTAGAATGAGGTGAGCTGAACAAGATGTTAAAGTTTTAAAAGCAACTGTGAAGCCGTTTTTCTTAAAGTTTGCAGACAAGGATTTTTACATCCACATCTGTATGCACTCACAAGTTATTCCTGAAAATTTGAAGGTGATATCTGTAGCGGTTTTGGAGAAAACTGCCAGACGTACGGACGGACGGACAGACAGACAGACAAACAGACGGACGCGCCTAGGACGACAATATGGCCCCACACTATGTGGTGGGGACATAAAAAAGGTGGTTTGAAGTGAGTACATTGGGAGGAGAATATTATGAAGAAAAAAGTATCATTAGTGAAATGAGCGGCATAAATATTTAAGTTTTAAACCTCGCAGGCAGCGAAAATTTTCAAGATTTTACTACTGCGAGCAAAAAATATTTGCACAAAAATATTTTGCACCCACCTGAGAAAAATTCCTAGGGAGATTACTGGATTCATTCTTGAATTTACGATTCTAATGATCGTAGCAATTGTGATCTACAGTTTGCATAGTTGTTTATTTGTCAATTATATCGATTTTCAATGTACAGGCAACTGACACCCATGCGGGTGTATATACATGTAGTTACATATGATTATATTACATAATTGTATTAATCAAGATGACAAGATATAAAACTGTTTTTTAAGATAGAAAGTTAGAAGAAAAGTGATAGAAGAGAAAGAAATATACATAAATAAAAGCACATATAGCTAAATGTTATACAGATTAATTTAATACTTGTCCAGATAATACTTTTTCAAATCTGACTTAAATTTATTTCTAGAATTCAGATGTTTAAAAGTTTCATTCCATGTTGTTTGTCCTAGGTATTTAATGCTCCTTTGTCCAAATGTAGATTTAAATTGATTAGCTCTAAGATTGAATCTATAACGTGTCTCTTGACCATGAGTTTGAGCATTTGATATGAAGTAGTCAGAAAATAAAGTTTGAGGAAATTCTTTGGGTCGTTTGAGACAATTATATACAAAAATACCGACATTTAGCTTATGAATATCTTCTAATTTAAGTATTTTTATTTTCTTAAATTGTGGAGAGGAATCGTCTGTTCTAACACTGTTTGTAATTAGTCTTAAGAATCTTTTTTGTACTTTCAGAATTTGAAACAATATAGCTTTAGTTGCTGTTCCCCAGATAAGAATACAATAATTTATATGGCTATATATAAGAGAGTAATAAATAGACATCATTGCAGTGTGATTTATCTTATTTTTGACCTTGAAAAGAATTCCTACTACTTGTGAAATTTTGGTAGATACATGAGCAAAATGCTCATTCCATTTAAGTTTATCATCAATAATAACTCCAAGGAAAGCAGTCTTTGAAATTCTTTCAATAGGTTTATTTCTTATTTTAATATTTAGCATTTTTATTTCAGATTCTTTTAATTTGTGTGGATGAAAGATCATGAATTTTGATTTTTCTATATTAAGCGATAGTTTATTTGCACATAGCCATTCGTCAAGATTTTCTAATTCAGAGTTGACATGATTCATGAGAGTACTTAGGTTTTTATGTGAGCAGAGAAGGTTTGTATCATCAGCAAAGATAATAACAAATTTAAATATACAAGATGTCGTAACAATGTCATTGATGTAAATAAGAAACAGAATAGGTCCAAGGATCGAGCCCTGTCTGAATCGTACATTTTGATTCAGTGATTTTTATTTCTTTTATATCGTGAGCTGAATCGTTCATTTTGATGATTCAGTGATTCTCACAAATAATGATGTTTAAATTGATAGTCATGATCATCACAATTGTGAGCTGAATTGTTCATACATTTTCAATCATTCATTTTAGTTGAATCAGCACAATAGTGACGATTGTTCAATAGTGATGTGCACATAATTCAGTTGCAGAATCACTTAATCACACAATCGCTCTGATTCATGTATTCAAGCTGAATCAGCACAACAATTCAGCTCACGATCGTTACGATTGTGACGATCAGGACTATCAATCTAAACATCAATATTTGCGAGAATCACTGAATCATCAATATGAACAAATCAGCTCACGAGCTGTTTTTGTAAAGATGTATGAGTGTCATCTTCACTAGATAAAACATGATGACATAATATGATAACTTACTTGGTATAAGAGCCACAGGGCGAACCTTGAGTGAGGAGCCAACAACAATTAGGAGATCACACTCTTCCTTGTCCAGCTCCATCTGCCTGTGGAACTCCTCAGGTAGACTTTCCCCAAAGAAGACAATGTCAGGTTTCATAATATTAAGTTCAGTATCAGCTGGACATTCAGGACATCTGGGAATCACCTGCAATGAATCAATTGTTTTTCTTACTATAGTGTACAGTGTTGATGAACTGAATGCCTACTGAAGTGTGGCCTATGGAAATTACAACATACCAGTAGTACGTGGGACAACAGAGCATCGGAGTGATCTCAGTACAACTCATTGGATGCAAATGTCCTGTTTTTCAAATGATTAGCAAGACACATGGTGAACAATATTCAATAGAATAGAATTTCAAGAAGGGCTGAACATACATTATACATAGACACACTACATTACATAGACACACATGATTTACATACAAAGTTTTAGGACAGAAAATACAAAATGGCCACCTTAAAATTTATTGAGCATGGGATGGTTTATACTCCAAAAAGTATCCCTAAAAATTCATAATCAATCTTATCAAACAGTATGACTGTAATGTGTAGACAAGACGTTACACACAAAATACAAAAAAGTGATCTTAAAAAAGTGATATTTTGTTGCCAAAAAGCTGATCGATCCAAAATAAAGTAAACCAGAATGAACCATAAAATGGATATGAACATTAGTTCATAATAAATATATTCAAAATCGTTGATCTTAGAAACTGAAAAGTGACTCCTATGCCATAAAGGTTCACATGACCATAGTTCAAATGAAACAATCTTGGAGAATAGTATGTCATATATCTTTTTACTATGGTATAAACAACTTGCTTTTACTATAAGGGCTAAGTATTATTCAAATAATCAATGGAGGCATTTTTGCCCCCCCCCTGTACTAGCACTTTTCAATCTTAATCATATCTCCTCAAACAAGTTCAATATGTAAATATAAAAGCAATTTCATTGAGAGCCTTACTTGATTCATAATATCTTCTTTGATTGCTTCAGCATTCACTTTGTACTTGCAGTTCATACAGGTTGCCATGGCAAATGAACCTAATCAAAGAAAGTATAAGAAAAACATTGTAAAGATATGCACATATTTGATTTATTACTAACTCGAAAATCAACTCTACCGAGTACCATATCCCAAAAACAAGAATATGATTCAATGAATGAAATATTTCATTCAAATAAAAAGACAATGAAATATTTTTGAATCTGGAGTCATTGGGAACTTTATCTTATCAATGATTAATTAAATACAAAAACTTGAATCGTATCAAGAGATGAAAAATGCCACTGTTATTGAAAAACAGACACTAAGTGTGTCACTGCAATGACTCAACAAGTGAGCTAAAAACATTGAGCCCATATTCTGGTGCAACTGAAATTTTGAGGCACAAGAATATGATTTTAGTTTAATTTGAACTTTGCCCAGGCACACTTTGCAGCAAATCACATACCATGACACTGTACAACATTAGAAATGCCAGCAACCTGCTCCAGAGTGTCAATATTCTGAGTGTAGTTACGCAACAGCTTGCCATGATTCTCTATCTGCTTAATGAACTTGTGGCTCAACGATGGCTCAAACTGCCCAGGGTAAATTTCCTGTACAAAAGGAACACATAAATTAACACAAAGTATCGATTCATTAGAACACAGAACAATGTCCCAGACGCGAGTAGAAGTAATCTTGATTTATGTCATTAAAAATTCACAATTCAGTCAATCTGATGTCATATTTGGAATCTACATGTAAATATACATCTAAAAATGTGGTTTTGAAAAGAGTTTATCAACTTTGAAAATTTAATTTTCTTTGAAAATGTGACTTCTAGGTCGGGTAGATTCCCCATAGACCCCATGTTGTAAACCATAAAAAGTGAAATATCTTTTCTTGTGTTTGGCAGATAATATTTTGTTTTACTGGACATATTTTAATTTATATAACTATCACATACATATGGGTAATATGAAAATTGAACCACTAAAACTGATGAATATTCAAGTTTAAGGGAACTTTGTAATACCCTACCATGTTATTTCCCCCGAATCAGCCACCTGGTGGCGTAACTGGTAAATACCTACTCGCATCTGAGTAATTGAAAGCAGATCAAATCATGAGAACCAGGAGTCCATTTTTGTACCATTCGTAGTAATGAATGTTCACAATTTGTAAATATCTAAAAAGTTATGAATTCATAAAGTTGCAAATGGATCTTTTTTTTACACTTTCGTAAGTCATTTGTAATTGAATTATGCTCATTAAAATTTTGATGTAATTTAGGAGAAATAAAAGTTCTGCGTAAAATCAAAAAGTTCACATTTTTTGGACCACTCTGTATTCAAGATTCACTTATACACACTACCACATGGAATCAACAGATGTTCCGCTGTCCTAGAGGGACATTCAGAAGAGTATTACCTTGGCAAACTTGAAGAATGGTTTCTGATTATGCAGGAAGTATTTTATGTCAAACATGGCCTGTGGGTCTGGCAAATCTGGGTATTCTATTGCTAGCCGTGCATATATGCCATCTCTTGAACGGAAGTCAGGGATTCCACATGAAACTGATACCTAAGTTGATAAAATCAAAAGATGTTACAAGCATATTAATAAGTGGAATATTCTAAATAAAAATGTTCATGTACAAAAATGTACCAAGGCTACAACTCTCCCATCCTCGTTCAGCGGCCCACACAGCCACATATCACAGAGGGTGATTCAGAAATTAAATCTACTAAATAAAACTTGCAGACATCCCAACTGGTAAATCATCTTAATATCCTATACATTTTAATGTAATTCAAAGCAAGATTTCTTAAGTTTGGTCAGAAAAAGTAATATGCTATAGATCATTACCCCAGCTCCAGTGAGGACAACAATCTTCTTAGAATTCCTGATGAGATTCACAGCATCATCAAATGTATTGTAGTCCTTCAACTTGGGTCTCATGGGTGGCTCTGATACAATGTTTATGATAATCTTCCAAAGTGTGATGTCATCAATGTCACTGGGGATCTGTGAAGACTGACCATCTGGTAGAATACTCTCTAGAACACCTCTTGGATCTTCACCTTTCATCATCTGACGCTCTACCCATGCCATAGGGCCTACACACAAACATAGTGTTTATAGATCATAAAGATAATAAGTCAAACATACATGCCATATTGAGAATACTCATCTCTGAGTAAACAACTGAATTTGCCATGAGCTGGTCTTATAATAAATAGTATTTAGTTTACCAGCAATAGGCCGCCATCCTGCCTCACTGCCACCTGATAGACTATTGCTATCACTGTCTGAGCTACTATCATCATCCGAATCTTCTCCCTGGTGGCTAAATAACAGCAATTCTGCATCTAGAGAAATTATAAGATTATGAAAATATTAAAACTAGAAAAGTTTCATAAGCTAGAAAATCTCACCAAACAAAACATATTTTTTATTTAAACAAATCTTAAAGTCTTAATTTGGACATTTTATGATGAAAATTAGTAGGATATTAGTAGTATTTAGTGTAAAAATTCAGAACACAGAGGAATTAAAAAAGTCACCACTGGGAAGTTTCTTGAGCATTTCTTCAAAGCAATCAATAAAATGTTAAATGTTCATATCCTTTTGAAAGGCACAGAACTGGAAAACCATAAGAAATAAAACTTGATATCTGGTAAACTGAGCTCACCTTTGTCTTTTTCAATATTTGCCTGTTGTTCAGTTGAGCTTAGTATAGTGTTATTTGCCTCTGTGCTATGACCAGCCTTTGGAACAAGTGTATGTTCTTGTTCTGCAACAGAACTGCCATATTGTTGATCAACTTCTAAGTCTGATTCGTCAACCTCGGTATTATTACCTAAAAAGCAATTTTTCAAAAATGTTTCCATAAACATTCACCTTGAAACCTTTTGTAATTAGTTTTCATAATTACCATTCAAGAAAAGAAGAATAAGTTGGGACACTAGTAAATAACTCCACATGGTAGCAAATCCCCAAAAAACAAAATAAATCATGAATCTGTATAAGTCACAACCATCTACTCATTGTTGAAATTATACTTGATTTGCAGATAATTTGACAGACATTTGAGATCAGAATTTCCATCAATTTAGGCATTTGGGTGACCATTAAGGACAAGTAAAGGGCACAAATTATAACCTCAATGGTTGAGTTATATCTTAACCAAGTTTTATAATTGTGATTTTATCTCCATGAGAAAATAGATAGCAACACTGCTAGCCAGTCAATGGTCTCTTGTTTCCAGTCACCCTGTATTATATGACTATAAAACGTATATTCTCTGACTTTGAAGACCAATCACAACAGATAGGCACATGCTATCTATTGCAAAACTTATGCCTGGCACAACCGTCGCCTGGCACAACCGTCACCCTTTAATAATATTTCTATGCGTATTGTGTGGAATTGTGTTGACGTTTACTTAAGTTAAGTTCATTATATTTGATAAATCAGTATCTGAAAGTTTGATTTGAGTACTTTTACATTAAGCCCCAATCAGGCAAATCCCTTGAATGTCCTGCGACATCCCGCAAATTTAGGTGGATGTTTCGCCAATCCTGCAAATTTAGGACACTTTGTCTAAAAAGATTGCCCCTCTATGAAGTCTTTGGTGGTTACCCTGTTAACTGTCCCGCAATTAGCGTGTTTGTCCCTCAAATGGTCCCGCGAAATCCTGCGAATTTGATCGAAATTCGACCTATTAGCGCAATCACGCAAATTCCTTAAATGTCCCGCAAAATCCCGCGAATTTAGGCGGATGTCCCGCAAAATCCCGCGAAGTTTTGGCACTGGGTCTAAAAAATCTGTCCCGCGAGAAAATCTTTGGGGGTTGACAGTACTGGGCCATGCAATATAGCATTGTCACGGTTATATCAGGCTATCACGAAAACACTACCAAAGTCATGGCAGGATCCTTGCGAAACATAAAAACACTTAATAACATGGTGACAGTTGTGCCAGGCATAAGTCTTGCAACAGATAGGGTCTCCATTTGGGGAAGGTGAATGGTATGTTTGACCAATCACAAAATATTTCTCTGACAAGGGCTGAACCAAATGCTGAAATCTGATTGGTCAAACATCAATAATATACCATATGCCGTAGAGGATTTACTCGTGTCCATTTCACATGCTATCTATTGCAAGACTACTACTGCCACAACCGTCGCCATGTTAATCAGTGTTTTTAAGTAGCGCAAGGATCCTGCCATGACCGTGGTAGTGTTATCGTGTAAGCCTGGTATAACCGTGACAGGCTGGTATAACCGTGACAATGCTGTATTATATTGCAAGGCCTGTCATGGCCCTGGAAGTGTTATCGTGGAAGCCTGGCGTGACCGTAGCCTTTATTGTGGTTTATAAGCGAATGTGAATATTATGTATAGTAGTAATTTTGATTTTCACATGATTAAGGTAGTTAAACACCATGATCATAGTATTAAACTGTTGAATTGTAATGACAATCACTTAAAATTGTTAAGGATATTCCTGGCATTAATGTCATGTACAGTATTTACTAGTCATTGCAATACATTATTACGGTCATAGTAGGACTAAGCCTAAATTTCTACATTACCACCCTCATACCTGGCCTTGCAATACTATAGTACATTGTCACGGTCATGCCAGGCTTTGCAATACACATTGTCACGGTTATAGCAGTCCCAATCGTAAATTTCTACATTACCACTCTCATACCTGAACTTGCAATACTATATTACATTGTCACGGTCATGCCAGGCCTTGCAGAACTATATTACATTCCCACAGTCATGCCAGGCTTTGGAATACACATTGTCACGGTTATAGCAGTCCTAATCGTAAATTTCTACATTACCACTCTCATACCTGAACTTGCAATACTATATTACATTGTCACGGTCATGCCAGGCCTTGCAGTACTATATTACATTGTCACGGTCATACCAAGCCTTGCAGAACTATATTACATTGTCACGGTTATGGCAGGCATTACAATATAATACAGCATTGTCGCGGTTATACCAGGCTTTCACGATAACATTACTACGGTCATGGCAGGATCCTTGCGCTAGTGTTGTCGCGATGTGCCATAATCGTACATCGATGCATCGGCAATTTTCAGTAGTAAACATCGATGCACATCGCGATGTACATCGAGAAAAAGTCCGAGAAAAGTGCACTGAAATACCGAACGCTATTGCGCTAAAATACTGAACAGAACAAATTAATAAAAGTATGCTGGTACATCCGGGAACTTCTAGTAACGATGAAATGAAAGTAAAGTGAATTTTTTTAGATTAATGGTTCATTTCGACTAGCTAAAACAGTTTTAAAGCGAAAGAATATCAGAAAACATTGGAAAATGAAATAAGACATGACAAAGGTAAGCGATTTGCGTCAAAATAAGATAAGAAAGGGTGATATTTAGCAAATTAATTTTTTTTTAAAACATCGATGTTTTGTTTCAGACATCGATGCATCGCCAGAATCAGCTTTGGCGATGTATATCGCGATGTATCGATTAATCGCGACAACACTACCTTGCGCTACTTAAAAAACACTGAATAACATAGTGACGGTTACGCCAGGCGTTAGTCTTGCAACAGATAGGGTCTCGTCCATTTGGGGAAGGAAGTAGACTATATCCTATTTAGTCTGAATTATATTCAGACTATAAGGCACCTATGTTAAAGTTTGGTAATTTCAAATATTTGTTTACATAGGAAGTGCTATTCAAAATGGCCGATTGGGTAAAATTAATTTGCACAGTTTTACTTCATCTAGCTTTATTTCCACTAGACAATATGCTGTGTTACTTTTTATTGCATTTAATTGTACCTTACTATTTAATTGAAATTTTGTAATGCTTATTTTATTGAAAAAATGTTTCCTCCAATTGATAATTTTGTGCAAAAAAATTCACTGCAATTTCCACAGGAAAGTAGTACATCATAACAGACTGACTTCCAGTCAGTCTGTTGGATACATAGATCTACTAGGGAAGGAAGCAGCAAAATTCTTAATATGCAGATGAACCTTAGTGGCATTTGACCAAAGTCACCATCCTTTAAGCTTAAAGTAAATCTAAAGTCACCTAACGGCAAGGCCAAGGAAAATTTTCCTTTTATTTTGTCAGTGAGTTGAAAAAAGTACAAAAAAGTGAATAAAAAACTGGTTTGTACCTTTTATACTTGTCGGATCTGTCTCTTTACGTCGTTTTGCTGCATTGGCGTGTGTGGTAACATCGAATCCTTCTTCATAACCCTCATCCAAGCTACTCTGACGTCTACTGTCGGTCCTAGGACGCTTTGAAGCAGTACTTTTGAGATCTACAACTTCCGCCATTGTTTTAGCATTCAACTGCGCATCTATTTGGCGCACAATGACGTCAACTAGTGATCATCTCCGCCAGGTTTTCTTTCTTCCTTTGGTTTATCTTAAGTACGCATGCGCACCTACTGTTCAAATTTAAGCTATTACGAAACTATACGGTAAAGAAATTTTACATTATGCCCTATGGGTATCCTAAATAACGATTGGGAATAGAAAAAGTCTTTATAATAGTGTAATACACCCGAATATGTAGGGCAATTCTGTCGGTCATTTTTGCGCATGCGCACTAAAAACTCGAAGCAGAATAAGCAAACCTGGCGCAGATCTTAAGTTGATGTAGTATGAAATTATGAACTGATGAAATGATATAATAGTCTAATAGATAAATATCTAATTTATCATAAGAAATATAACATCAGAAGAAAAAGAAATAGATAAGTATTGCACACAGCAGGGTAAAAGTTCATTTGGGTTTCTTTACACACAATCAGTGTGAGAAACTGATCTGTAGACTATTTGGAAAGTATGAAGTCTCAAATCATCATGGTCTGGAATATGAAATGGTGATAGAAAATCCAGGTGTCATTTATTTATTGTGAGCACTTTCACTGCTACCCACCTAGTTACACAGACGTATCGTCAGTGTATTATGGCGGAACTACTTCCGGGACTAGGTTTCGGTAAGATTTTTTTATTTCCCGATTTACACCTACTTATAAGTCATGTTGTGGATAATAATTTGGCACGAAGTTAAGGAAGATAGTCTTGTTTGAGAATGTGTCGATGGTTTTAGGTTTTATATGTTAACGAAGACACAATTCACGTATTTAGTCCCTCGCTTTTGTTACACTGACGAACGACCAATATCAGTGTAATATTGGCAATATTAATGCCGATCGTCAGTGTAACAAAAGCGAAACAAAATATGTGAAATGCGTCTTCTTTAACATACCAAACCTAAAACCATCGACACATTCTCAAACTAGACTATCTCCCATAACTTCGAGCCAAATTATAATCCACATCGTGACTTATAAGTAGATGTAAATCGAGAAATAAAAATATCTTACCAAATTCAAATCCCAGAAGTAGTTCAGCCATGATACACTGACGATACGTCTGTGTAACTAGGTGGGTAGCAGTGACTTTAGTAAAATAGATGATAGTCCTGTTATTTAGCCACCAAGGCACATTCAACCAAGGGTGTTACAATAACCAGGAATTTATCTGTTCGTAGTACATGTTTGTGATAGCGGCTGCTGTAGCTCAGTGTGCTAAACAGTCTGTAATTATAATCAGAGGCGGATAGGCCTATATGCCTGTGCGCCCGGCTCATCCATGAGTCAACTGAGAAACACGAAAAGTTAGAATAGCCAAGCCCAAGTCATACTGACTGGACCAAGGTGCATTTAGATCTAATTCATATCAAAGTGTTTTAAAAGAACATACACAGCAATGGATACGATCATTAACTACAAAAGGGAGGATGCAGATGACTATTACCATATCTTAGGATGTGATGAGTTATCATCAGTAAGTTTTTTCAAGCTACCGCTCTCATTCAAAGTCTTGATACAAGACATACTTGTACTTGCTTTAAATCATCCACAATTCATTGAGCCCTGTGGTTAAATCCTTTTACACATAATGTTTTGATTTTTCAGTTGACAATTTCAATCTTGTGAAAATGACACGATAGGGATGACAATAGCTTAACATTTTCAATTGAAACTTTGAAAATGAAGTCATATGGTAGAGTAATTTGCTTTTATCTCGAATTTTTGCCTTGTTATATTTTAGATCCTGGCTATGTCCTTGGCTGTATTTTAAATTTGATGCTTCCTTCATAACATATTTTTATTAGAAATTCAATTTCAATCATTCGCTTAGCTGGGAAACCTGTTATATGGGAATGGATGTGGCACTGTAGAGAACTTACAAGTGTGTTACAAAGACAGATCGTAACAAAACGTTACAACATCCAGTTTGATATTGTGAGAACAATTTTTTTTTCCAGATTGCCTGGAAATAAAGGTTGAATCTTCATTATCTCATTCTTCGTTTGCACCAACATAAGCATCATATCTTTCTGGAAATCTAAATGTTATATTTCTTACTTAGGTGGAGCAGATCAAGACAGAATACAAGACCCGGGTTCTAGACTGTCACCCAGATAAAAATCCCAATGACCCAGATGCAGGTTTGTACATGTTGTATAAATATATCTGCATTACATATCTATTTCACTGACATATTCCTAGAACCTCACTCTCTGATTGGTCAGTGTCTGTCACATGACTGGTGTAAGATGCCATACCAACATAAAAAGCATATTCGCTAGGCATATTCCCCTCCCATGAGTTTAGTTCGGTCTAATTTATAGCATATAACCTAACTGCCATTTTATCTGGAGTAAAACGTTGGCATATTAAGTTTATTTATTTACATTTTATTTTTGAAAGTAAAATGTGATGTTATTTATTCTCTTTTGCCATAGTTGAACAGTTTTATATAAAATAAACATGATAAATGATACCAATTAAAATTCAATAATTATTATTTTAATACATTCAAACCCTACATGTATTATAAGCTCAATGTCCTCCGTCTCATACCTATATTATTACGATTAATGCTGAGCAATAACATCATTGTTATTGTTAGTTAGATGATGTTGATGTTTTAAGTTTATGCAATTCTACAACTCTACAATTCAATTATCATCTTGTTTTATGTGTCCTCAGCTAAGAGGTTCTCTCGCCTGCTACGTGCCAAGGAAACTCTGGAGGATCCTGCCAACAGGAGGCTTTATGACAACTGGAAGAGAAGTGGAATAGCTATGCCCTTTGAACAGTACACTAGTATGAAAGAAACAGTGAAAACAGTAAGCTCTTTTCTCTACAAATAATAACCCATTGTTTGAAATATATGAATTCTTATCCAACTGAGGAAAGTCTGAGTATATAGAGAAGCTGTCCATCCAAAAGAAAGTATTTGATAGGAGATTACAAATATGGTATCAATCATTACAAATTCTTACAAGATTATTATTATCCCATCGAACGAAGTTCGGAGGATATAGGGAACGCCTCCGTCAGTCCATCCGTCCGTCTGTACGGATGTACGTACGTACATCCGTCCGTCCGGGCAATAACTCAAATACCCCTGGCCCAATTTTGTTCATATTTTGTACACATATACCCAATGGCGGTAGAAGTTCATTTTAGTGCCGATTTTACTGTTATTTAGGTACGGCATATAAAACTGTAATAGCAATATGTTTTAAATGTAAAAAAGTTATATAAAATATTGATTAAGCTAGAAATGTAATATAGAAGAAAAACATGGCAGCCATCTTGAAAAATGGCTGCCTTTGCACGTCATTTTACGATTTTTGCTGTAACTTGAAAAGTAGTGGAGCGATTTTGTTCATATTTGGTATGTGAATATTTTAAGCATGGCACAATGTCTTATGACATTTTGGATAGTAGGCGGCCATTTTTCAAAATGGCCGACATTTTTATGTGTGTTATTTAACATTTTTTACTGTAAGTCAAAAAGTAGTGGAGCGATTTCATTCATATTTGATATGTGAATACTTTAAGCATGGCAAAATGTCTAATGACATTTTGGGTAGTAGGCGGCCATTTTGAAAAATGGCTGCCATTTTTACATGTGTTATTTTACATTTTTTACTATTACTCAAAAAGTAGTAGAGCGATTTTGTTCATATTTAATATGTGAATACTATAAGCATGGCAGACTGTTTAATGACGCTTTGTGTAATAGGTGGCCATTTTGAAAAATGGCCACTATTTTTATGTTTTTTACTAGAAAAGTAGTGAAGCGATTTTGTTCATATTTGATATGTGAATACTTTAAGCATGGCACATTTTCTAATAAAACGTTGGGGAGTAGTCGGCCATTTTGAAAAATGGCCACCATCTTTATGTATGTTATTTTACATTTTTTATTATAACTCAAAAAGTAATAGAGCGATTTTGTTCATATTTGATATGTGAATACTCGTAAGGATTGCATACTGTCTTATGACATTTTTGGTAATAAGCGGCCATTTTAAAAAATTGCCAGCATTGGGGATTTTTAAAGAATTTTATATGTGGCTACTTAAAAGCATTTTACTTCTTCTGGTGACAACTTGGCTAGTGATCAACCATTTTGAAAATGGTGGCCTTTCTTATGGGTGTTATTTTATGATATTTGCTATATATTTCAAATGTAAAAATGCCAGCCATTTCTGTTCGATGGGATTCGCTACGCTTTGGCGTTGCTGTTGTTCTGGTTTTATAATGAGTCCTTTATTTGCAGTCCATGCATTGGGCATACAAGACTAAGAAAGAACCAATGCTAGAAGGAGGAAAAATTAATGAAAGCACTAATGCAAATGAAGGAAGTCAGCCAGCAACAAGTCCAAATGTTTTACATTGCAACAGCACAAAATATAATACTAGTCAACATGCAGGTATGACTCAATGTCAATGCAAATGACCTCATCCTTATCTCATTTGTTGATGTCATTTTTGTATTTTGTGTCGTAAATCAAGACCAGAATTTCCAAAATGGCCTCCAAAAAGGGCCTTTATTTTCCAAAACTTTGATATACATTACTGCTCTTTTTAATCATATTTTTCTAAGTGGTGATTACCCAAATGAATGGAGCATAGGCATGTTGTCAACTATTTTTAAACAAGGTAGTAAAATTGATCCTGATAATTATAGAGGAATAAATGTTTTAGCTTGTATAGGCAATGTGTTCGACTCAGTCATCCAGAATAGACTTGTTTTCAATGCTGAAATGTTGAACACCCAAGATCCACTCCAAGGTGCCTATAAAACTGGACATCAGTCAAGTGACAATTTATATATCTTAAGCACTCTTATATCTCACTATAAACGATTGAAGAAACCAGTATATTGTATTATGATTGACTTCAAAAAAGCGTTTGATTTTGTAAATAGGTCTGCACTAATGTATAAACTATGCAAAGCAGGTATATCACCAAGTTCAAATATTTTCAAAATTATTTCCAGTATGTATAAAAAATCCAAAGCTTGCCTCAAACTCAAAGATGGTATCACCCCTACTTTTGAGACAGATGCCGGTGTAATGCAGGGCTCTGTTCTTAGTACTTATTTATTTAACCACTTTCTTGATGATTTGTCAGACTATTTACCGAAGGAGTATGGACTTCAATTTGACGGTGATAAGATAAACCATTTACTTTGGGCTGATGATTTAATTTTATTGTCAAATACTGAAGATGGAGCGCAAAAAATGTTAAATTGTTTATTTAAATTCTGTAAGAGGTATCACCTTATTGTTAACACATTAAAGACGAAATCAATAATTTTTAATTCAAAATCCAATGTGCAATTCACTTTTAATGACAACATTATTGAGGCGTTAACCACTATAAATATTTGGGCTGCATATTTAATAATAACATTAATTTTGATAAACACATAGGTTATCTCCAAGAACAGGCAAGGAAAGCCCTTTTTAAAATTAAGCAACAGTATAAAAAATTTAACGATGTTCCTATCTCCGTTGCCCTGCATCTTTTTGATAGCTTGGTTGAACCAATTTTAATGTATGCCTCTGAGATATGGTATAGTAAGAAGCATGTAAAAGCTATAGAAGCAATACACTTATCATTCCTTAAATGTTTGCTTGGTGTGAAAAAATCAACAGCTACACCGGCTGTTTATGGGGAGCTAGGACGTTATCCTTTAAAAATTCGTTTCAACATTAAGCTGATTAAATATTGGCTGCGTTTAATGAAATTACCTGAAGAAAATATGCTCAATAAATCATATTTGTATGACCTTGAAATGAATGGTTTAGGTTACTCTGGCACTTGGTCCAGTAAAGTTATTGACATATTAAAACAATGTGATTTATTCTCTCATTGGTTGACTCAAAATGTTGAAGATGATTATATATTTATTCAAATGATCACAAAGAAATTAAAAAGTAATTATGCACTTCAATGGAAACAGGATATTCTTACTTTTCCTGTTCTTAGAACTTATATAAAATTCAAAAATACTTTCACCAAAGAATTATATTTAAACATTCAAAATAAAAAGTATAGACATGCATTAACTAGGCTCAGGATGAGTTCACATAAATTACAGATAGAAGTTGGGCGGTACTCAAAACCAAAGCCAAAACCCACAAGTGAAAGGTTGTGTAGTGAATGTGGGGTAATTGAGGATGAGCTTCACTTTATCACAAGCTGTACAAAGAACTTAAAACACAGAAAACTTTTGTTTGAAACTTTAGAATCTGATCTGAAACAGTGCAAAGATCCAGATAAACTGTTTGAAACTATTATGTCTAGTAAAAGCTCTTATGTTAACTTACAGGGTGATCCAGAAGTAACGTCAAAGACATTGTAATTTCAAAAGTATTCATCAGATCTTCATGAAATTTGGTATACATGTACCCACAACATTTCTGAGTTACCATCTCAAAGATTGGAATTCAATCATTTCATTGGTTGAAATTATGGTTGCTATAGTAACCTGATATCGCGTAACCCGGGGCAAATTGAAGAGAAACCATAACGTTTTTGTGAATTTCTCTAATTTAAAAAGTCAGTAACATTTGAAAATGTTCATTGTTTGTTTTCTATGATTTTTATATTTGTTGCCATGGTAACAAATATGTAATAGTTGTGATGTCACAATAGGCATTCATAAAAAGCTTTCAATTTCTTTGAATTGCTTCCATCATCCATGACAAATACTAACATGACCAAGGACACTAACCCACCCAATTCAAGATGGCGCCAAGTCAGAGTAAAATAGAGCAAAGAACAAACATTAAGTTCTGTGTAAAGTTGGGGAAAGGTGTAAAAGAGACTATAAGACAGATAAAGAAGGCATATGGTAAAGCTGCCATTGCTGAGAGAAACATTTACAGGTGGTTTAACAAGTATTTCAGTGGATATGATGAAGTGGTAGACAAGCAGCGAGGAGGCAGGCCAGTGTCGTCATTCGATGATCAAACCATCAAAGCAATTGAAGCTGATGTTATGGACAATAGGCAAATTTCTATCAGAGAATTGGCTGAAAAACACGATCTGAGCTATGGGACTGTGCAACGGATACTGACAAAGAACTGTCTGTTAAAGAAGGTGTCTGCTAAATGTGTCCCGCATGACTTGACACAGGAGCAGAAAGACCGGCGTGTTAAGGCTTCAAGGGACTTTCTTGCAAAATATCGGAGAGATGGAGATGACTTTCTTAACAAGATCATTACGAGTGACGAATCATTGCTATCATTCTACATCCCAGAGACCACGCAACAAAGTTCATCGTGGAAACATGACAACTCCCCAACACCAACCAAGCCTAAAATAGTACCAGGAATTCCACAAAAGAAACAAATGTTTGTGACATTCTTTGACATTAGAGGAATGGTGTTAACCCATTTTGTTCCCATTGGCCAGAGAATTAATGCCGTTTACATTGCAAAGGTAAGATATCATTTGTTCTAATAATACATCATACTGTGAATTTTATTTTTAAATTAAAGTATTTAAATGTTGTTCACTGTCAATATAATTATAACTCCATGGCCATGATTCAAATCCAAATCCAATCAATGAAACAACTGGTTTAACAACCATTAAACATTTGTTTTTCAGGTTCTGAAGCGTGATCTTCAACGTTCCCTGAGGAAAAAGCGTCCCGGACATCTGCAGCAGTTTATCTTGCATTGGGACAATGCCCCTACGCACACTGCAATCCTGACCAGCAACACAGTCCAAACACTTGGATTTCAACAACTTGAACATGCCCCTTATTCACCTGATCTTGCCCCCAGTGACTTTTATTTGTATGGGGAACTAAAAAGAAACCTTAGTGGAAATAATTTTCAATCCTGTGAGGAATTGAAAAATGCCGTAGTACTAGCCCTACAAGGAATGAGTTCTAATGGATTTAATTCTGTGTTCAAGGAATGGGTATCCAGACATGAGAAATGTGTTGCAAATGGTGGCAATTATGTAGAATGAACTATTATTAGTAACTGTGCAATAGTATGATTTATATTGTTGTGAAATAAAATGTTGAGGATATAACAATTTCAGATCTTGTTGATATTTTGAGATTACGCATTACACGTTAAGTAATTTGCCCCGGGTTACGCGATATCGGGTTACTATAGCAACCATAATTTCAACCAATGAAATGATTGAATTCCAATCTTTGAGATGGTAACTCAGAAATGTTGTGGGTACATGTATACCAAATTTCATGAAGATCTGATGAATACTTTTGAAATTACAACATCTTTGACGTTACTTCTGGATCACCCTGTACATTTAGCCAAATTTGTATATCACTCTTTTAAAAATTTGGAAAATGATTAATATTATGTAAACATTTTTTAAAACACATGTATTATGGATACACCACACTGATATCATACCCTGACATGTGAAACTGATGTAAAGTAGTTTTGTAGTATGTAGTTGTAGTTTGTAGTTTTTTGTACACTGTAGTGACTGATATGTCATTTACATGACATGGTTATTGAGTCAATAAAAGATATATATATACTTCACTTCAAATCATTATTGTTTGATTGATACTCTTATGGATATTTTGTATAGCCTATTGTGCTTTGAATTATACAACATGCAGGGAATCTGTCAGCTTTTTCTCAAAATCAGGCATTCTATTCAAAATGGTTACTTTTTGTCTTTACAGAGAACTGGGTTAAAGCTCACTGGGTGGGGGATGAACCAAGTGAAATGCTGAAAAAGTTCAGGAACTATGACATATGATGAACAGTGATCTCTCCAGTATTAATATAATTGCACAAGTTAGTGTTGAACCAACCCGTGAAACAAAAAACAATTAACATTAGATAACAGTCTTGAATGATTGGCACAACTGAGTGATGTGGTGTTGGCAAATAAGTACCTATAACTATAAACAGAGACAGGAGTGGACCCTGATCACATATATTGGTATAATCCAACAAAGTGCAAGTGCAACATTTGCAGTTCAGCTTGTGAGTGATGCTTGGGTAAATTACCTCTGATTCTGCAGTATAATGGAATGTGCATGGTTGATGAAGTGGATTAACAAATTTTATAAAAGTTTTTTGACACCCAATAAGTTGTAGGTTGAGATTGAAAAGGTTTTAGGTACATTCAGTTTCTTAATAAATCTTGTCATCCATCAAAGCATTCATTCCATGAAAGCCACAGGATTTTGTTCAAATGTGTATGCACATTATAATCTGAGGACAGCTGATTAAATTTTGCAAAAATATATATGATAACTCAAATACCAGTTGTCAGATTTCTAATTGAAAGCCCATGATTATATGCTGTTCAAGAAGAAATTATCAAAATGGTTGCGGAATTTTAAGTGATTGCCATTTTTCAGATGGAGTGTAATTTATGCTAGATCAAATACCAGTCATTATTGGTCTTGGTTCATAGGATGATGTCGCATGGGTATGAAATCTCTTACTCTGGAAGGAATTACTGATATGTTGTCAATGTCACATTAACTCATGTCATGGGTGTAGATTTTGCCAAAAGAAGAGAGTACTACTGCTTGGTTATCAATTTCATCAATATACATTGTGTGTCAAAAATGGTTGTACCCAAATGAAATGGGAATAACTTTTTTTCCTTCATCGAAAAAATCTGAACCTTTCAAATAAGAAAGAGAATTCATTTTCCAATTAGCAGTTTGATTTGTACATTACTTATTACGAACCATGCAGAGCTGAATGCGGTGCTGAAAATATGGGTGATGGTACCAAAACAAGCTTTTTTCTAAAACATAATACAGTTACCTGGTGAAACTTTCCAACATTTATAATAATTAAATTGTCTACCAGATGACCAAATTTAAAGAATATTCCTTCATCACTCTAAGGTAATTCCATGTTTCTCTCTTTTGGCACACCTTGAATCAAAAATTTGAGGTATAGATCTACGACTATTACATGAGGTTTATCAGTTGGTAATGGCATAAACTATTTTTTGCAAGTGTTACCAATATTGATTGTGCGTAAATTCATACTTTGCAGAGGAATGCAATTTATATTTTTCCTGATTATCACAAGATACATACTGTACTTCTACTTGATTCGTTGCAACTTATTTTGGCAGATTTACTGTTTTGAACATTTGGCGACTACTTATTTGGCAGACTTACAATATTGAAATGTATATACCATACTTTATGATTAAAATATGAAATATTGAATTTGGCGGCTACTTAATTTGGTGGAGTGCCAAATTAAAACGGCCCCCAAATTAAGCAGAAGTACAGTATTCAATTTGGAGAGCTACATTACATTCAGCTTCCACAAAAAATTAACAGGTCAATTATCACTAATCAATATCAGGAAGTTATAGCTATGACTTTCTCTTTCAAAATAGTGGATGGAAAATGTCAATTTCAATGTTTTCATCTAATTAGGCCCCTATTTGACATTTGACCAATCTGGGTTTTTATGACATAAAACTCTGCAACATGATGAATTGGATGCTTACCAGTTTAAAAGAGAAGTTAATGGCTGTTTTGGTCATTCCATATGAATGATATCAAATAACCTAAGATTATTATTTTTCAGGTGATACATTTATTTATTGCAAAAACTACATAATATAGAAGTTAAAATTGACGTTTAGGAGGTATTGCTGTATTATGTCCCTAGGTTAAAAATTCACGTGATGCACAGATTTTACTATATCTAGTACATTGTATGTTCCTGGGGATGTTCATAAGCTTATTGGTCTTGAATATTAAACTGTATATGTAGACTGACAAGTAAATTCAATTTGCATATAATATGAATTTCATAATAATGAATCTCAAACAACAATTATCTTGAAACATTATACAACACAATATACTGCAACACTAGTAAATTTAACAGAATGAATTTTCAAAATTAGTAGATTTTTTTTGCCCTATTGCCCTATAAGATTAAATCCTATATTAGATTGCATATAACTAGTATTTTTCAAAAGAAAGTCATTTAAATTTTGATAATTTTTATTCAGTTATTATATAATGTAATATAATGTCTTGCAATATAATAAAATATAATAAATATTAACAGTCTGTTAACAAATTGTTAATTTATAATTTGGGCTTTCATGCTCTGTGTTCATGCTCAAATATGTTAACAACTAAACTAAAACTAGAAAGATTACTGGCTTTGGCAAATGGTACTTTTAAAATGTTTCTCCTGCATAGCATTTGCTTCTTTCTCCAAATAATATACCTTAGTATTAACTATATGTACATACATATACATACGGTATATATATATTATATACAGTATATAAGTAAATGTAAAACATGTTTGATGGATAAGACAAGACTCATTGTATTTCCTGAAGTCAAAAACAACTTTTTCTTAAAATTTCATCAGATGGACGAACTTATACAATGAATGTTGTGATTAACCTTATGGTAAAACCACATTGCATTTTCTCAATTATGTTTTTTCAAAGCTACCAAGACAAAATCTCTAATATACTGCACTTGAAATATAAACTACTTTTTATTATCAATTGATAATAAAAAATAATCTCATCCGATTAGGATACACACACACTAACATTTCTGGCACTATATAATGATTTCATGCTACCATATTCTCATTGTTTCTAGTTATTTTATCATTTATCTATCAGCTAGGTATTTAAAAACAATATTTCATTTAAACTATCCAATTTTTGACAGAAAATGGTGGCAATTTTGAGTTTGAAGGCCATATACACATAATTGTGTATTATAAAACTATTTTGTATAAAGTCAATTCTTTAAAAACAATAGAAACAAAGAATGTACTCTTTGTTACAACTGTACATTCTTCAAAATAAAATACAGTTCATTCTATTGTGTTATTACCTTGATGGTTTTAACATTGGTTAATTAAGTTGAGTACCTCGCCTACATTTTGAGGTATCACAAAGAGCAACATCACAAAATACAAGTAAAAATCAAACTCTTGCCTTGTATTAGTCGTTAATAATGAATTCACTCTATATTCTCTTCTATATTGTAATGATTTGATACATGCCTAAGTGTTTTTGAAATGAGTTTAGAGTATTCAGTTCACTGAGCGACAGAGCCCTTCTTAACATTTCTTGCTAAATCTCTTAAAACATAGAGCCCAAATTTACATTAATTCACATTTAATTGTATTGGGTTTTTAACATGGGAAAAGTTCTCAGAAATGGCATAAATGTTAAGTAATATCTAAGAAAATAGTGAATCAATTAGTATTTAAGTGTTCTTCCAAACTTCTTAGCAAAGATGAGGTACAGATTTCACATTAAGCATGTATCTTAAGGCATCAAATGATTGTTGTATCCAAGATCTCACAAGGAGAAAATGTGTGCTATTAAATGTATTAGACTTGTGTGTTTAATACATAGCTGAGGCTGTAGTCAAATTACTATGACTGTTATTCAAGGATAAACAATAACAATGTAATTCTGCTATTATCTGAAGAATTGCTCAAAATTATTGAATTGATAAAAGCTAAAATGTCATTAGAATCTATTAAACAAAAAATGGGTTTAATTTGTTTTTTTTTTCAATTATCGCTTACCATTTGCATGCTTACAAAGGTATTTAATCTCATTTTTGAGAGCATTTCAACCAAAATGACCAAGATGCCATGTTAAATGTGTATTTTCTCTACATTTGGTCCAGACCAGGGAAATGCCACTCTCCTTCAGTGAATTGGGTGGAACTCCAGATAGATATGACATCATGTTTCTCACCTTCCACTGGTGACCATTCTAGAACAACATTCTCTCCCACTTCACGTCCCGATCCAAACCTTATATTCCCATCATTCCATGACAACCAAAACCAGCGCCATTGGTGACAATTGAGAATGTCCTTAACCTGTGCCTCTTTACGTATCAATTTTGACGTTGGTTTCCGTGTTCGCATCTTGCAATCTCTGTTATCAGCTCCTATGACAATATCAGTTGTGTCTATGTTTGTACTTGTGGGGTATCTCGAGAGTGCAATCATTGCATTTTTGCAAGCTTTCACGCTGAAAATGATAGACGTAGGTCTATCATTCTGGTCTTCAAAGAATTCTTTGATGAGACGGTACTTGAACTGAGTTGGTGTGTACACTATGATATTTCCTGAAATTAGAAGCAAGGTATATTGTATTTAAGACAACATCTTACATGAAAGTGAAACTATTGCAGGCTGGAATGAATGTAGAAATTCAGCAGATAGACTCAAACAAAAACAGGACCTTCTCCTGGATGAATGGGGATTACAAACATGAAGAAGTATTATAATTGTTTTGCCATGCACCTGATATCATTGAAATGTATTGATAGAAATAAATATGACAAAGTACTAAAATTGAACATGAGCACAGCAGTATGCCTATGGCTCACTGAACTCAATCAAATACTTTTTATATGTCCCTGCTATGAAAACATCAAATCCTCAATGCATTTACGTAATGATAATACAACATTACTTCTATGGAGGTCATGGGCTTCATGTTTAGATTTAATAGCATAAAACAATGAAAAGCATTGGGGACAACCATTTCCAAACTATAATAGGTCAATACGATAATTTCTTAGTATTCAATGGTAAATGGGATATTTTCTGTTGCTGCCACAGTATTTTTTCACCGCATACCTTTAAAAAATGCAAAAATACATCTTTCATCATTATTGAAGTTATGCATTTGTGCCACTGTATGATAAAAACATACCCAAGCCGTAATAGGATTTGTTGATACATGAGTATAGCCATTTCTAAAAATATGATTCTTAAGATATTCTTCACCTTCTGATTCATTGGAGAAGTCATCCATTCCTAGTGCCTTAGTTGCCACTTTAGATTCCTTGAACATCCATGTGCCCTCACACTCATAGCCTGTGTGGAAGGCAATGGCAGCCACATCATGCTTGTAGGGCTCTTCAATCTTCCAGTGAATTAATCGGTCATATCCTTGAATAAAGCCTCGCCCTACATCAACATAATTGTCCTTCCACATTATCCAAAATGTCCGCATCCCAGTCTTTTCCATCATTGCATTTGTCTTTTTCTGAGCCTTCATTTCTCCACCCACACGTATCTCTGTGAAGAAATTTTCGTGAGCTCCAAGGACAATTTCATAAGTTTTATCACTTGTCTCTGCAAGATTTTCTTCTGCTGAGAGAAGTATATGGGCATTGTGGCATGTCTTCACCATAAATACAATGTAACCATTATCAAAGGCCAATCCTTTCACATAGCGATATGACTCACTGTAGTCTGGTGTGTAGACCTCTATGACATCATGTATACCTGAAAATACATGTAAACTCAATTATAAGACTGTGCTGAATGACACATAATGATCATGTAGAGATCGCCATCTGAGACCAACCATTATTTAACACGATAAGTCATCATTTAAGTACAATTGTTAGTAGTTTAAAGCTTAGTTTACTTTAAGGTCTAGAAAGCAACTTGTAGCGATCAGTTATGCATGATTATTGTGCTTATTGTCAACTAATTTTGCTTAGCCTTGATAGAGGCTTTTCCATATAGCTTTGAAAAGTTCATTTACTCTCATTAGGATCACAATTTTAATGTGAAGTCACAATCCACATGTTATTTAGCCCTCAGCCTTTACCTATGATGCCATCTATTTTTCCATTTATATGAAAAGATGCATTTTACTTGAAAAAAGAGTGAAGTTCCTTAATTCTAAATAACAATTCTAATCTGATAGGAGATTCTGTTTCTTATAAAATTGAATGACACTATGAGTATGTTATGCTATTGCAATAATTATTGCTTTTCTGGGAACTCTCAGCATTTGCTTGTTTTCAACTCAGTATTTCAGATTTACAAAAATCCTTTCATGTAAATAATATCTAAATTACTTCACAGATGCTCTTGGAAATTCAATTCCAATACTGGATCAATATATTCCTCGCAAATATAAAACTCTTCATAAATCATCAACTCTTTGAAAGCACTCGACTCTTTTATTACAAAAAGGCAATTAATTATTGATAAGTCTCCTAATTTCTGTAATTATTGAGCCATTTCTTTTTCTACTGGCACTTTGCAGTTGTTGAGCATGTTTGTGAATTGACTGATAATGACAGAGTGATAATTGTCTTATAATTGCATTACATAGTTTTGGTATGAAAGCCATGTGCAAATGTTAAACACATGAGAATGACTGAATATGTTTCTTAAAGGCAGAATCAGATCTAAAGAGGGTGACAAAATTGGCCAAGCAATATGTACAGTTGACCTACCAATCTATTCCTTAACATATTAAATACATTATCTCCCAAAAGGTCCGCAATATGTCATAAGTTATTAGGAATCAAAGTTCAAAAACGGGAGAAACATGTTTAAATTTTCCCAAATAAGATGATAACCATAAAAATAGAAGGTTTCACATTATTGCATACACTTTTGGGAATTTTTAGAAAATAGACAATTGACAAGGAACGATATGAGCCAAAAATATTTTAAACTTGAAGCAATATTTGTTTAGCTTGCTCGCTAGATCCTATTCTCTCTTTATGACAAATAACTGTCATCATTATTTTACTGTCATATTCCTCACTCTCTGATCGGTCCATGTCCTACACATGATTAAAAAATAACAAACGATATTCAATGGAAGTCACGTGACTTCCGTTGAATATCAAATGATATTTACCAGTCACAACTCGACTTTATGGAGTCTAAACAAGTAGATTAATGTGGGACAGTATTGCTAGAAACCATTTCAATAGTAAGAATATAAACAGTATGTGGGATTTGCCTTTTAGAACTTTTTGTTGGCTCTACTGCTCAGGTGTCAGTTGAACCATTTTTGCAGGCCTGGATTTAAGAGTAAGTTAAGCTTTTTGCCAAACCTTTTTTCATTAGAGAGTTACTCAGTCACAAGTCCAATACCCTAGATGCAAGTACAAATAATTTTGATTTACGTCATTAAAAATTCACAATTTAGTCAAAGCGGTGTCATATTTGGAATCTACATATAAAATTACATCTAAAGATGTTGTTTTGAAAAGAGTTTATCAACTTTGAAAATTTAATTTTCTTTGAAAATGTGACTTCTAGATCGGGGAGATTCCCCATAGACCCCATGTTGTAAAACTACAAAAAGTGAAATATCTTTTCTTGTGTTGGACAAATAATATTTTCTTTTACTGGACATATTTTAATTATAACTATCACATACGTACATAAGGGTAATTTGAAAACTGAACCACTAAAACTGATGGATATTCAAGTTTAAGGGAATTTTGTAATACCCTGCCATGTTATTTCCCCCGAGTCAGCCACCTGGTGGTGAAACTGGTAACTACCTACTCACATCTGAGTTATTCAGTATGGAAGACCTGTCCTCTAACTTAATGTAACAGAAAAAGAATGCTATAAGCCAATTACACATCAATTGCCACACAGGAGGTAACTTGGCATAGTGCTTAATTTACCACCTCTCATAATGGGCAGGATTGCTCAGTCATACATGACAGTTACATTATGATCTTGGTACCATTTACTACTACCTTTGTATTTTAAAAAACTGCTTAGGTTTCCAGTAATTTGGATTTGAAGTTGGGTATACTTCTAAGAGATCAGAAGATTATTGCGAAATCCCACATTAGGTGGCCATTTTGAATTTTACGAGGCCTGAATCAGAAAAACAATACAATATTTGCAATCTACTCTAAATTGCCTTTCATTTGAGTATAATAAAGCTATACTTCGAAAACATCTAAACATCTTTAAAAAGTTTCAAACTAAATCGTTTTTATTCTCTAAATGTCTTAACTCATTGTTTTGATTTAAAGATGGAAAATGTTACTCAATATTGTTAGTCATAAGTTTCCAAACATCCTTTTATGTTATATGTAAAATATTTCTACAAAACACCTGCACCTTTGGTGGGCAGCTGGATTAATACGCTTCAAGGATTTTTTGACTGAATTTGCTCCATTGTCTATTACATTATAGTATTACATTTCTTTTCAATTTGCATTAAGATTTATATCTGTAAACTAGTAGGAAAAATGTGGTTGAGTCCCATTTTCAAAACAAAAATGAAAAATACCTTATAAATTAGATGATATAATATAAGACCATATTAAGTTGAAAATGTTCCAGCAAATATATCGCTATTGGCACAATCATGCAGTAATTATATTGAATGTAAAGTGGGGATACAAGAAATACTTAGTACATACCCCAGTTGCATTTTCAAAGTAGTTTCATGCTATGTGGTCTGAACAATTGAAGAGGACTATTAGGAATTTAGTGGTATGACTTGGCTGGTTTCACTGATATCTAAGTTATTGTCATGCTAATTGCAGTAATTATGATAAAACACATTCATGAGTTGTAAGAAAAATAAGATAAAAAGTATATATGTGGTATATTTATGTACAGGCAATTAAAATTTCTTTATTTCCAAGATTTCCTAGATCAAACCAAAATCAAAGTTGGTTGGGAAAAATGTATGTTCATGTTTTTACTTGCGACATTGCCTAAAAGGTAAATTAATTAAAATATACCCTCCCAATAGCCAGTGCTTCAATTTTTGAAAAATTACATTTCTCTACAAAATAAGGGCAATCCAGTTAATAAATATTATCTTAAAATCATGAAGCTCTCAAACATCACACAATTCTAAATAAATGAAATTATTTGTATGCATTGAAAAAGTCAATTCTTATGAATTGAAGTACCCATGATGATAAAAATATCAATTGAACAATTTGAAAAATTATGATATTTTATTATCATGGGGACTTCACTTGAAAGAAAACATATTGTTTTAATAAAAACCACTGTATTTATGGCCAGAAAGTACTCATGGTGAAAGATATGACTGTCTAAAATCATTTGCCATACTGCACATGGACCTTTTGGAAACATATTAACCTTTTCTTGCATTTAAATATGTTGAGGAGTTGCATTTAAATATGTATAAAGTGCCAAAGGGAAAGAACCAAAAAGTATAACAGAGCACAGCAAGGAAAATAAAACATCTCAGAGTGCACCAGTCATGATGGAAACAAACCCCAACTATCCCAAACCATGATCTTACCCCTACCCACCAATCAGGTACCATTATCACAATCCGTGACCATACCTCCAAGGGGCACTTACAACAACAGTTCTGAAATTTATGACTAACTAATTTCATTTTTTAAGAATAAGTAAAAATGAAATTTAATGTATCTTCCTACCTGAAATAGGTGAGATACAAGCAGCAAGCAGCGTGAGAGCAAGCAAGGTGGTCTCCCTCCAATCCATCTCGCAATTCTGGATGTATCCAATCTTCTGATATGAAGGTATCCACAGATTAATCCATAAACTCTGAAAAATATTTAGTGTTTTATTTTCAATGGAACATTGTCTCATATGTCCAGTAGGGATATGATGTAATTTTCACCATAACATTTGAACTTTTAAGTCCCACAAAATCAAGGACACTGTATAATGTGAATCTCATGCTGTTATATATTAAGCCAGAGGATTTGCAAATTAAGTATATTATATATCATAATACAGGGTAGGTCACAAATCATGTCAATATCCCCCCAAAATTTACAATTGTTTCAAATGAATATTTAAATTAAAAGTTAAAGAAGTAAAAAATAAAATGAATGCTAATCTGAATTCAGCAGCTATCTTGAATTCTTGACCAGAGGTCCTATGCCCATCTGACTATAAAATGTGAACCACATCCATCATCCAGGATTTGAGTTATCAAATATTACATTTTTACAAGAAGGAGATTTATTCTGGAGCAGAGGGCTTTAATGGCAAAAGGACTAATATAAAAGTTGAACCAGCTCCCACAACAGCAACTTGAGTTATTCCCTGGCAGACAAGTGAGCAAATGAATGAATGGATGGGTGGAATTATTTTTTCTTAATTTTGGATGTGGTCATTTTTATTGGCCAACCTTATATATATTTATGTAATAAGTGCTTAGTTTTTAGCTTTCTTTCAAAATTCAGTCTTAACTGGCCAGTGGCCATGGCTGCTTAATATATCTCAAAATTACATATTCCATATATTTTTCTGAGGTTTTGAAAGAACAAGAAATAAATAATACAAATGTAATTTGCTTCATTATTCCTTCTATAATATAAATGTATATTTGAGCCAAAGCCAAATATGTGAGCCTGGAGCGAGAATCCATTAAGAAAAAACATCACGACATAAGCTTACATAAGCCTTGGATGACCATTTGTCTGGCCTTTATATCAAAGTTCAACTACAAAATAACAGAAATGAAACTCAAAATAGCTTTCTGCATACCAAAGATTCCCCATGAATGCCTAAAACATTAGCCTTCTCTTCATTAGTTTAATATTTCAGTTCTACATAATATCCATGCTCATTACTCTATTACATCTTATTTGGACAAGTACAGGAATAATGTTGAACTAGAACTAGAGATGATTCTTGTATCTTGCCTTTATCTAATTAAACCAGAACAACGGCAACGCCAAAGCGTAGCAAATCCCATCGAACAGAAATGGCTGGCATTTTTACAAACTAATAGCAAATATCATAAAACAACACACCAGAAAGGCCATTTTCAAAATGGTTGCTCACTAGCCAAGTTGTCATCAGGAGAAATAATATGCTTTTAAGAAGTCACCTCTAAAATTTTGGAAAAATCGCATACGTACTTGTAAAATAACACACATAAAAATGGTGGCCATTTTTCAAAATGGCCGACTACTCCCCAAAGTTTTATAAGACAATGTGCCATGCTTAAAGTATTCACATATCAAATATGAACAAAATCGCTCTACTACTTTTCGAGTTATAGTAAAATACGTTAGCATGGCGGCCATTTTTCAAAATGGCCACCTTCTACCAAAAGTGTCATTAGAAATAGACAGTGTGCCGTGCTTATAGTATTCACATACCAAATATGAACAAAATCGCTCCACTCCTTTTCGAGTTATAGTAAAATATGTTAAAATGGCGGCCATTTTTCAAAATTTTTTCAAAATGGCCACCTTCTACCAAAAGTGTCAAAGGACAGTGTGCCATGCTTATAGTATTCACATACCAAATGCTTATAGTATTCACATACCAAATATGAACAAAATCGCTCCACTATTTTTTGAGTTACAGCAAAAATCGTAAAATGATGAGTAAAGGCCGCCATTTTTCAAGATGGCTGCCATGTGCTTCTTTAATATCTACATTTGTAGCATTATTAATGTCCTTTATGATTTTTTTACATCTAAAACATATTGCTATTACAGTTTTACATATTGCACCTAAATTACTGTAAAATCGGCACTAAAATGGCCGCCATATTGAAATGAGCGGGCATTTTGAAAATCGGCTTTCGAGCAGAACTTCTACTCCTATAGGGTATATGTGTACAAAATATGAACAAAATCGGGCCAACGGTATTTGAGTTATTGCCCGGACGGACGGACGGACGTACGTACGTACGGACGGACGGACGGAGGCGTTCCCTATATCCCTCCGAACTTCGTTCGATGGGATAAATATGCATTTAGGAAAATTGATAACACTTCATTCTGCATCATATCAGTATAATTCACTGGGTGTCATTAAAGTCTACAATTCCATGTATGCGTAAAGTGTAAAGAGACTTCATGGACACCCTGTACATGATTGGTTTTATGTGGTTCTTCCACCTCACAGTATTTTGTATTCTTCTTTTTGATGTTCCCTCACAATCAAAATATCATTTTCCAGAAAAAGAGTCGAGATATGTGATCATCAAATATCAAGATGCAGAAATGTTCAAATTCATTTGAAATGAAAAAGCTAGCACAGTCAATGTCTTTATCCGGATAAACTCAAAATCAAGGGATGATTGTGAAATAGCCATGACATACCTTCGCAAAGAATGGACTCTCACAACTGATCATGAATTAATACTAAAAATGCAAAATGCCTGGTTTAGTCCAAAACACACCACTCAATTAAATTAAGATCACAAAACTAATTCCTCATCTATTTGTTGCATGCCTAAACCATTAGTACTTTCTGGTAGTGATATCTGGGGGTTTACTTCAATTTTAATAATTCTTGCAATCTCATCTCATTGAAAAAAACAGATACAGCTGAAATGTTGCACATTTATTTTAAATGTTAATTGCATCCACAGAGCAATTTAGGCATATATAATCTAAGCATAGTACTTTATAATCTAGGCATATATAATCTAAGCATTCATAATCTAGGCATATATATAATGTAAGCATACATAATTAAGGCATATATAATCCAAACATAGTGCAATATAATCTAAGCATAGTACTACATAATCTAGGCATACATGATCTAGGCATACATGTTCTAGGCATATACAATATAGGTATATATAATATAGGCATATATAATCTAAAAATACATAATCTAGGCATACATGTTCTAGGCATATACAATATAGGTATATATAATATAGGCATATATAATCTAAAAATACATAATCTAGGCATACATTTTCTAGGCATATACAATATAGGTTATTTGTTGGAATAACTTTTAAAACGGTGTCCCGTACATTTAAAATGCATTGCATCCACATGCAAACATGGTTTTACAATGTCAAGTCAATAAATAAATATCAAGTTAATACTATGCCAGTAACATTGTTTTACTAGTGTAATATAAGCAACAATTGCAACAATACATTACTAAATGAAACACCAAAATCATAAAGGTTACAAGTTCATGCTGGTAGAGAAGAGGTTTGGGGGCTTGGAGCAGACTTTTCAACCGATTCTGGGGTAAAATTTTCAAAGGATATGTATCGATATGGTGAAACTGAATTTAACAATGTTTTTCTCTTAAACCAATTATTGAAAACATTCTATAAAAAACACTGTCCTTTATGTAATGTTGACTGATTGGCAACAATTTAATGCAACAATTATTTATATATCTTTTATATATCTGTTTTTGTTAACATTTTTTTTTAGTGCAATTATTTTTTGTTCCTTTCTACCGATTCTTGGGAATGAAATAAAATGTCTTTCCGAACCTTGTTGGAACAAAATAGCATATACAACATTTTCTTAGACCTCTTAATATTATAGTTATACAAAGGAAATTTTGGTTGATTTAACAAAAAGTATGCAAAAACTTAAGACAAAGCCCCCAAAATAGCTAAAAAATTAAGATAAACCTTTTAATTCATTCACAAGATACTTTTTTAAAATCAACCAAACTTTCCTTTGTACAACCAGAACAACGGCAACGCCAAAGCGTAGCGAATTCCATCGAACAGAAATGGCTGGCATTTTTACAAACGAAATATATAGCAAATATCATAAAATAACACACATAAGAAAGGCCACCATTTTCAAAATGGTTGCTCACTAGCCAAGTTGTCATCAGAAGAAGTAATATGCTTTTTCTATACGGTATTCACATACCAAATATGAACAAAATCGCTCCACTACTTTTCGAGTTATAGTAAAATACTTTAAAATGGTGGAAATTTTTCAAAATGGCCCACCTTCTACCAAAAGTGTCATTAGACAGTGTGCCATGCTTATAGTATTCACATAACAAATATGAACAAAATCACTCCACTACTTTTCGAGTTGCAGCAAAAATCGTAAAAAACGAGTAAAATACATTTAAATGGTATATGGTATATTTAAATGGTATTAAATGGTTTTTATAGTATTCACATACCAAATATGAACAAAATCGCTCCACCACTTTTTGAGATATAGTAAAATACGTTAAAACGGCGGCCAAAATGGCCACCTTCTGCCAAAAGTGTCATTAGACAGTGTGCCATGCTTATGTCATTCACATACCAAATATGAACAAAATCGCTCCACTACTTTTCGAGTTATAGTAAAATACGTTAAAATGGCGGCCATTTTTCAAAATGGCCGCCTTCTACCAAAAGTGTCATAAGACAGTGTGCCATGCTTATAGTAGTATTCACAAACCAAATATGAACAAAATCGCTCCACTACTTTTTGAGTTATAGTAAAATATGTTAAAATGGCGGCCATTTTTCAAAATGGCCACCATTTTTCAAAATGGCCGCCTCCTACCAAAAGTGTCATTAGACAGTGTGCCATGCTTATAGTATTCACATACCAAATATGAACAAAATCGCTCCACTACTTCTTGAGTTACAGCAAAAATCGTAAAATAACAAGTAAAGGCCACCATTTTTCAAGATGGCTGCCATGTGCTTCTTTAGTATCTATATTTCTAGCTTTATCAATGTCCTATATAATTTTTTTACATTTAAAACATATTGCTATTACAGTTTTACATATTGCACCTAAATTACTGTAAAATCGGCACTAAAATGGCCACCATTTTTAAATGAGCGGCCATTTTGAAAATCGGCTTTCGAGCGGAACTTCTACCCCAATAGGGTATATGTGTACAAAATATGAACAAAATCAGGCCAACGGTATTTGAGTTATTGCCCGGACGGACGGACGGACAGACGGACGGACAGACGGACGGACGGACGTACGTACGTACGTACGGACGGACGGACGGACGGAGGCATTCCCTATATCCCTCCGAACTTCGTTCGATGGGATAATTACAACACAACAAAACCCTTTGGCTTTCCTTTTGACATATTTGAAAATTATTTTACTCCAAATTTGATATTTCACGAACATGAGACAAGATTTCAAAATTGTCTTCACATGAAAAAATTTAGAACAATTATAGGTCAAAACTCAATAAAATATTCAGGTGCTCAGCTTTGGAATAATCTGCCAACTTCTTTGAAAACATTACCTTCCATTAACTGTTTTAAAAAGAATTTTAAAATTCATATGACATCAACCTATGATGAACTGAATTACTGACAAACATATATGTAGATTTTATATATTGTTATCAATTTTATTCTCATATTTTCTTATATTTTTAAATTGTTCTTTTTTTCTCATTTCCATTTGACTCAGGTTAATATTTAAATGTTTTCACGCTGATACACTTATTAAAAGTGTCAAGTGTTATTATGTATTTGATTTTAATTTTAGAGAATAAATATTTTTTAATAAAAAATAAATAAAAATATTGAGAGACCTAAACACGTTTTGTTTATGTCGTTTTGTTCCTATGCGGTTCGGATAGATGTTTCATTTCATTTCGAACATATGATAACAAGAAGAAAAGAAGTGTCTGATGTGTTTTCTAAAACAATATAGAGAAAAGTATATATACAGGGTGTCCCGAAAGTATGGGGCCCCCCTAGGCAGACATACACCAATGTCCCCATAGTATGTGTCATATATCATTTCAAAGCTTGTCCAAAGTTACATTGATTTGCCAAGTATCATGGTTCAACTCACAAACGGGAAAAAGTTACACACATTTCAAAATGTAGTGTTTTACCAAAATTAAAGTTTAGTTTTACACAAAATTAATGGTCGCCGTGTCTCCCTTGGCCATGTTAACAGCAGCAATTCTTTCCAGATATGACCTTTAATACACTGCAAATAGGGGTATGGCATTTAATAATCCTCATAAAACCTTTTTAAGGCATTTTAGAAGAGTTTCCTTGGAGTATCTACCCTAAACGTCCTCTTTTTAGAACTCAATATCCATCCTCTCTTTAACGATAGCACCCATATTTTTGGTCACATTCAGGCTAGCGGTGTTTCCAGGATACTGATTTTAACTTTAATTTTGGCCATACACTAAGTTTTGAAATGCCTGTAACTTTTTCCCATTTGTAAGTTGAACGATGATACTTGGCAAATCAATGTAACTTTGGATAAGCTTTAAAATGATATATGACACATACTATGGGAACATTGGTGTATGTCTGCCTAGGGGGGGCCCCATACTTTCGGGACACCCTGTATATATTTCAAATTATAATGTTACCATCCAAAAGATGACCATTAAATTGACGATGTGTAAAATTTCCAGAATGTTTTGATGACTGGTTTAAGAGAAACGTGTGTTCAAAAACTTCACCATATCGATACCACTCCTTTGAACCTCCCTTGGCAAAACCTTGCTATGGGTCTGCACAACCATACAAAAATCAACTCTTCTAATCTGATAGTGAAGACATGGTTCTATACTTACCAATATTATTGGAGAGTGTAAGTACAGCAATCACATACACAGAAGTCAGGGCTCATGGATGCTGAAAGTAAATGTAAATATATATTTTGTAATATAATCCTCAGAAACAGTTGGTGAATAATGAGATCTCTTAATTTTGATTGATTAAAAAAAATAAAGATTAGTGCAATGTAAATCATGGTGCAATTGATGAATACTCCTAAAACCTATTCCTAGCAACCATGGAATTAGATAATCTAGCTAACATCAGTCTAGATATCATTGAATTACATAATCTAGCTAACATGGGTCTAGATATCATTGAATTACATGATCCAGCTATCATTGAATTACATAATCTAGCCAACATGGTTTAGATACCATGGAATTCTATAATCTAGCTACGAGGTCTAGATTACATAATCTAGCTTACATGGTCTGGCTACCATATAATTACGTAATCTAGCGAACATGGTCTAACTACCATGGAATTACATAATCTAGTTAACATGGTCTAAGTGCCGTGGAATTACATAATCTAGCTAACATGGTCTAGATACCATGGTATTACATAATCTTACTAACATGGTCTAAGTACCATGGAATTACATCTAGTTAAAATGGTCTAAGTACCATGGAATTACATAATCAAGCTAACATGGTCTAGCTACCATGGAATTCTATAATCTTAGCTACAAGGTCTAGATACCATGGTATTACATAATCTAGCTTACATGGTCTGGCTACCATATAATTAAGTAATCTAGCTAACATGGTCTAACTATCATGGAATTACATAATCTAGTTAACTTGGTCTAGCTACCATGGAATTCTATAATCTTAGCTACAAGGTCTAGATACCATGGTATTACATAATCTAGCTTACATGGTCTGGCTACCATATAATTAAGTAATCTAGCTAACATGGTCTAACTACCATGGAATTACATAATCTAGTTAACATGGTCTAAGTGCCGTGGAATTACATAATCTAGTTAATAACATGGTCTAGATAAAGCAAAGTGTACAAATAATATAACATGTTAGTAACCATTCTGATTTATCAGAGTCCCTCATTATCATAAGGTTGCAAGAGCTGCTATCTTCAAAAGATGGTAGAGGCTATCAAACCTACAATGGCCAGTGACAGTTTCCCAATGTAATTACCACCTGTTTGGTTTAATAACTCTACAGACTGTAAAAGTAGAAAAACATTTGTAGTTTAACCCATTAATAATTCATAAAACATATCAGTTTGAAGCATTCAGAAAAACTATTGATTATCCCTCTATATTAATGCTCACATTTTAAAAGCAAATGGGATTTAGAATAACCACGCCCGTTGATCCCCCTCCATCCATTTTGTACGATCACCGGGCGTGATAACTGCAAAACCTGACAAAATCCGGAAAATGTCCTCATTACTTTTACCTCCTTAATGACATGCGCTAATATCAGAAACACAAATATTATTCAAAATATTACTCAGACTGATACTTTGTGACATTTTAGTTCAAATTGATGATCAACACCATATTTAACAAGTGGGTGATAACATAGGACCCATAGGAGCTAAAGGACAAACATGACAAACATTCACAGTTATATCAGAACTTAATCAGGCAAGGTTGCCGATATTGCACCATCATGACTACCTGTTCTAACAAACCTTATATGAATGAATTGATTTGTTGCTATGGAAACCTGGCTCACCTGATTGTAATAAAGTATTCTGATCAGCTCCAAATAGCATATCGTGTGTGTACTGTTTAATCATACATATAGAAGTCTACATACTAAATAAAATGGTTCTTTGATGAATGACTGTAGTTACAAATCAACAGTACTTTATTGGAAAAAGAGACTGTCTTGAAGATTTATAGAAGGAAGCAAGTCCTTATTACCTAAAAACACTGCATGGATGGAATTCATAATGACCACAATGACTTTTACGTGGCATGGCCAAGAACAAATATGAAAACAATTACAAGATTTGAAGACAAATGGCTGAGAAATTCAGATTTTTCTACCAAGAAACACCACTAAACATTTTTATTTATTCTATGAAACAGTTGCTTGAATATGTGCTTAGGCTTATAAGTATCTATTTAAGCTGTTGCATGGAGACCTCTTTAATTTTCACTAATATGTTAATGAATTGATATTTTTGGGCATAAATGGTTCAATTTGAAGATTGGTTGTAATGTGATTCATGATTAGAATCAAATAATGGACATTGTTTATAATATTTAGTTTAATAATTTGGCATTATACAAATGTATATACCTAGGCAGACATATACCAATGTCTCCATTGTATGTATCATATATAATATAATCCTCATAAAACCTTTTAAGGCATTTTAGAAGAGTTTCCTTGGAATATCTGCCCTCATTAAATAAAGCAATGAATAAAAAAAATATCTGCCCTCATTGTCCTCTTTTTCCAACTTAATATCCATCCTATCTTTGAACTACATGTACTCTTCTATAAAATAAATTGAAAAACAAATCTTGTTTCATAAACATACCTAATTGATGATTCTGAGTGATTTCATTGCTAAAAAAATTACAAAATGTTTTCCTAATGAGCCACATATATATATAACTTTCGTATTAAGGTTATGAAAATAATAACCATATAAGCAGATAACATGAAATTTCAAATATTCATCTCTATCTTACTGTCTGGCAAGGTGTAACACCTGGATGAAACAGAGGTTATAATCAATAACATTTCTATTTCAATTCAATAAGACACTTAAACTGAATAAAGATGAACTTAAAGTTGCAATCGAAGTCAGTTTTGACATTTAAATGTTAAGCTGATAAACACAAGATGAATGACATGTTAGGCCTCTTACAATGGCATGGGTGTAGCCAGAGGGGGGAGCAATGGCAATCAATAGAACCATTAGTAAGAAGAAAAGAGCTTTAAATGCTTTTCATTTAAAGCTTCCAGCTCAATTTTGAAGGAAATTGCATCTTGCTCATATCATAATCGCACACCCCCCAAACCGACTGTAATTTGGGCAATCACACTTTAATAATTATGTATAGACATGTGCATCAATTAAATCAAACATTATACATATATGTTAAACAAAGATAAGTCATTAAAAAACTGTAAAAATCTTCAATTAGTTTTTATAATTTTAAGTCCATCTGGAGTCAATGTTTTATAACAATTTAAGCCCCTGCCTTATCAAATATGTATGTTGAAAATATTTGCTTCACATCACAACATGTTGAAAAAGTTACAAGTGGTAATGAGTGATATTGTGCCAAGATTGTGATATTGTGCATGTGTAGTGTCAACAATAAAACTTCTATACAACTAATTAATCTGGTTATTGTTAATCCCTTAAAAACTAGAAAGAAAACTAAACTAAACTAAATGTTGAGGATTGATTATATTCAACAATGTATGAAAGTTAAAATTACTTTTTTAAGTACAAAAATGTAGGTCATTTAGTTTCTCAATTTCTACAGATCTAGAATATTTATAATGCTCAACCAATACTATTAATACAAAAGGAAAGTTGAAGACACCTTGAAGTACAAATATTCAATGAACTTTGATTGATGCTTTTTCATTTCAGTCAACTTTACATAAAAAACAATCCATCAATACTATAAGATGCACTATAATACCGATGGCACTCGTTAAATAGTGCAAAAATTAATTAACTTCAAAATTCTGAAACTGAGGGCCATAAGGCTAATCCTGTCCCCTCTCTGCAGAAGTGTAAAACTCTGATGAGTGTATGAAACTGCACATCATAACTCCAATAATTAGATGATATCTATTTAATAAACTGTAACTTACTTTATTCTAACTGCAGTTCCTTTCATGTATCTTCCATTTTTTGTTTTCAAATTAAACAAACAGGTCTTTTATGACCAGGATTCAACTGTCATTGATAACTGTCATCATAAGATATCTAGGTATTTGCTTTTTGCATGTTTTCTGAGACCAATCATAATAGTGATCCCTAGCAGTTGTCATAATTAATATTCTACAGGTGTTCACTACAATAATCTTACAAGTCGTAACATTATCAAACTTGCTGATAATTGGTTAATTAATACCATAAAATAAAATAATAATAATACCTCATTATTCTAACATTGAGCACAAAATATATTAATAAAGGGTTTTTCGAAAAAATGAGTACATATTTATATTCTACAACTTAAGCAAGAATTGCTAACACATGACACTATTGGGGTAAACAGTGGAACATCTATCAAACAAGATTTAAATTAGACCAAATCATCACTACTAAATATTTTTGTATACCTTCATCATAGCATGATGTAAACAATGACTAAAATACATACCGTATGTTTCATATTTCAACAATACATGAATATAGGACACATCATCAGCTGACTGATCAACATATTTAAAAACATTTTATATAATCCTTCAAACAATAAAATGCTTCTGGCGCATCTTAGTACTTGTTCTTTTACATCAAAAATCATGAATTATGGAAGGAATATTTTTATGTTGATATGCCACATTGAAGAATGCATATACTTTATCATGTTTTTAATATTTTTACCTTTGCAAATTAATTAATATAGATATGTCTATCGTTTGTAATGTCATTTTATATTAAATATGGCAATAAGAGGCTAATCAAATAATTGTAATAGACATAAAATGAATGTGCATACAACCTAATCTGAATATCAGTTTTAATATATACCAATGTAGATGAACTGACTAATGGTTGGATTGATAGATAGATGGATGCCTTCCCATTAATTACTTCTATCCACATGTTTTTTAACTACATTGTATAAAGAAAAACTCTTCAAGATACTAGCAGTTTATAATTGCCTTATTATGATAATTATATATCATTAAAGTTCTGTTATACTCATCAACTTTCAACTGATGACATTCACCAATGCATTACAATAGAATACTAAAATATAACTTTCAGGCATATTCCATATAATTACATTTCATTTTGTGTTCTAGTGGGCCACTGAGGTGAGACAACCCATCTGTAAGGTTAAATAACCAACCTCTCTTTATTACATTCTATATGACTAGTCCAAAAAATAATAACCACAATCAAAAAATTGGATAAGGTAGTCATCTTCATTGTGCATGTTTGAATAATGACTAAGAATTTTCAGAAAAAGTTTACACTTGCAATAATCAGTAAAATTATTCATTTCATGACATATGGAAATGAATTATTTTGTATGAATGACCAAATGCACGAGGTATAAAATGCATACATGGTAACAATTCAACTAATTGTTCAAGTTTTCCAAGTATGCCATCATAACCCTATTATATTAACAGGGCCCATTTCATTAGATTTATAACCTGACTCTGCTTCAAGAGGTTATTTCAATGAAAGCATATCACAATAACATGCTCTTAACCAATTCACCTTATCTCTAATTTTAATAACCATACAAATATAATTGAAAACAGTTTATTGATTTATAGAATACAATGTGTCAATACAAGGATAAACCAATCTAATTGTTTGATAGGAAAATCATGAAACTGTAGACAAGTTACCATTAGTTCAATTATTTACCATTAATTTCTGTAACAAGTAGTATAGCCATCCCAGTCCTCTCTTAATATAATATAAATTCATTCTAGTATTAAACTGACTTACCTGAAACGCAATTATGGCTGATGGATCATGGTGCTGTAGCCAGATGTATTCTGTTATCTTTACTTCTATCTATTGTTCCCCTCTAGTAGACCATGTGCTGCTTGATTCTAATCTCTGATGTACCTACATGACTCCAAGTCACTGCTGTAACAATACATGTATAGCACAATCAGGTAAAAACCTATTTTATGCAGTTCCTTCTTTCTGTTCACATATGAATTAATGCATTGAGAGTAATATATACAATCTTGGTATAAGTTGGTATTAATTAATTTACTAAATGCAATATACAGAGACATCTTATTAAACAAGAACTGTCACAAAAGCACAACCATTCAGAAGTATACTGTACTGTATATTTTCTAGAGTAAAAACTTACCATGTTTTTAATAACTGAAGATAATCTTTTTTAGATTTTCTCTTTAAGAACGAAACAAACAATATTGTTTGTGGTTGGTAACTTGTTCTTTGTTGAGAAGCTACTTCCATGTATTGCTAAAAAGAGTGAATGACATTTCAGTATGCAATTTGAATGAAAAGCACCATCTATACATGTATAGTATGTTACTGAAATTAATTAGTTGTGAGAAACAATAAAATATTTGCAACCTACTCAAAATTCCCTTTCATTAGAATATAATAAAGCTATACTTCAGAAATTAATGAAAATTCCTGATTTCCCAACCCCCATATACAGTTCCAGGGGATCATGCACAAAAACATGGAATATTTGTCAATATATTGCACTGGCGTTTAACGTAACTCGGACATATTTCTGTAGCGTATAGATCATGTCACATATATATCTATGGGGGTTCGGTAAATTAGATCATTAATTTGATATATTTGTCAACCACAAATGGTGTGATCGGGCTTTTATACAAATTGAAGATAGGTAAAATATAATACTAGAAAGGTTTGTCAAAAGATTTTAGTAAATTGTTTTATTTTTACATAGCAAAAGCATCATGATAACGTAACACCTACCTAATAATGTATCTTCTTTGAGGTAGGTGTTACATTATTATGATGCTTTTGTTACGTAGAAGTAAAACAATTTGACAAATCGACTGAAATCTACTTACAAACCTTTCTAATATTACATTTTACAAATCTCCAATATGAATAAAATCCCACTCACACCATTTGTGGTTGACAAATGTATCAAATAAATGATCTAAAGAATTTACCTAACTCCCATAGATATACATGTATCATAATCTTAATGTTACGGAGTAGTGTGTCCGAGTTACGTTAAATGCCAGTATATTGGGTCTCCACAAAAAGTGAATTGCTTTTCGACAAGTATTTTCTAGGCAATTGATTACTAAACTTAATTGAAAATTTCTATAAAGTAGCCTAAGGATAGCATAAGCAAGTTGTACAAATATAAAAAGAACTGTTAGATATTATGTGAAAATTGACAAAAAGCAAAAATGCTTGTCAAAACTATTGAAAACAAGGTGAGATTTGGGTGGAAGAATTAAGAACAAGAGTCATGTAAATACAGAATATCACATCATTTTGAGTGATATCATTTTTATCGCCAAGTTGATATCAAATATCAACACGAGTGAGCGAAGCGAATGAGTATTGATATCTGATATCTACGAGGCGATAAAATGATATCACGAGAAATTATGTGATATTGGGTTTATCCCATGATTACAATCACCTTGTGATGTTCTGATCCAATTTCCAGGACATTGGCAGACAATATAAAAAAAAAACTAGAAATTAGAATATCAATTGAATATTTGAAACACTTTATTTTAACAATTAAAAGTAAATAACATGATATAGTTTGTCATAAATACCATTTTTAATCGTTAGTTAGCAGCCTTCTAACCAAATTATATACACAATCGTAATTCAATCCACCAATGAAACTTAAAGAGAATAAATTAACGGACCTATTTTCTCAAAAGAGAATAAATTATCTGACCTAATTTCCAACAATATTGTGGCGCGAAATGCAAATGTGATATCACACGGATATGCGTGAGATAAACGATATCACACGCATATGAGTTTGATAAACGATTTTCTGGAAAATATCAAACGGATTTCAATAATATCAGAAATATCAATAGCTGTTATTGTACAGATAACACATTAATCGTGGGATAAATAGATTTATGAACAAATATGCACTTCATCCAACCTGCATTAAAAGACTGAATTTTGTGATGGGAGGTGATATCAGTGGAAAAATATACAAAAGAACAACTGATCTCATGCATATTTATCACAATTTCTAATGATAGCCTATCATTCCTTAATAAACATTTTCAGAGAATTCGGCTTATCTATAGCTGAGAAGATAGTGGTTCATTTTTTGAGACACCTGATATATATATATTCTATGTATAAGCTCTCAAAAGGATTGGTATCGATATGGTGAAATGAATTCAACAATGTTTTTCTCTTAAACCAATTATTGAAAACATTCTGTAAAAAAACACAGTCCTTTATGTAATGTTGACTGATTGACAACAATTTAATGCAAAAATTATTTATATATATTTTATATAACTGTTTTTGTTAAGATTTTCTGTTTTTTAGTGCCGAACCTGAATATCTGAACACCTGGCTAAGAACACATCCCAATCTGAACACTTTTTTCAGTCCGATTTTTTCCTCCCATTGACTCCCATGTTAAAAAAAAACAACTTGAAATGTGAACACCTCTCAATTTGAACAGTGAACAGTCATATTTGAAAAATTAACCCGTCTAATCTGAACACTTTTCATAAAATTTCACATGTTTCATACAAAATTGCTCAAATAATGTTGTTATGATATCTAAACTTTGGGAAAAAAACTTGAATGGTCTTGATTATAATAGGGCTTTCCAGCATGACTGCATTCATTTGCATCAAATTTCTGAAATGCCGTAAAGCTATGTGGTCAAATGAACTATAAATATGTACCCAGAATGTGTTCAAGTTTCTTCAGAATCCAGAATCTCGCAAATGCAAAACCTCGAAATCTGAACACCTCCTAATCTGAACGCTTTAAGCCGGTCCCAATGGCGTTTTGGATTAGACAGGTTTTACTGTACAACATTTTCTTAGGTTTCTCAATATTATAGTCATACAAAGAAAATTTGGTTGATTAAACAAAACATATTCAAAACATTAAAACAAAAAAAACAAAAATAGATAAAAATTAAGATAAACCTTTTATTTCATTAACAAGATACTTTTTTAAATCAACCAAACTTTCCTTTGTACAATTACAATATTGAGAGACCTAAACATGTTTATACGTCGTTTTGTTCCAATGAGGTTCAGATAGAATATATGAAAACAAGAACAAAAGAAGTGCCTGATGTGTTTTCTAAAACAATATAGAGAAAAGTATATACCTATTTTTCAAATAACATTGTTACCATTCAAAAGATGACCATTAAATTGACGATGTGTAGTTGACTTTGGCTAGAAATGAATGTTTGTTCGTTAGTTCATTCTTTGGGATAATTATAATATATTGTAAGTATTGAAACTACAAATTAAAAAAGAAAATTTAGTTCAACAGTTCTATGACTTACTCACACTTTTAAACTGAATGGTGACAAGTGAGTAACTGACAATTACAACATTTAAAGAACACAATATGCACTTTTGTAAGAGTGTGAATTTTAGTGACAAACTCCAGTATAATTCAACTGAACTATTCTGGGGTTGTACGAGGAACATACAAAACTATACATGGAACAATGTATTGTGCAGAAACCATGTGAATTATATTTCATATACAGCAACACAAATAAATGAAAATGAAATGAAAGTAGAATTTTTCTATGGCTGGTATTGTGACATTTAGTTTTGTACGCCAAATGAGTTATAATAATAGACAGCTAGGCTTATCAACATCAGTGTTATAGGCCTAATCCAGTTCTGTTTCCTTCACTTCTCTAGGTCACTGAATGTAGCAAAGACAGAGTGTTCGATTCATCAAACCAGCTACTGAAAAAGGATTATTAACAAAAAGAACAAGATAAAAAGTAAAGTGCCAGCAATAAAAGTGTATATGTTGGCAACAATAAATCAGCTTTGTTCGTACAGGGGGCACATGTTGGTGGCACAGCTGTGCTCCATGGACCCAGTTCTGGTGGCGATGGTGCTGAGGACATTTGGACATTTTTCTCAAAAACTGGCGGAAGACTGTTTTCAAATCCTGGTAAAGTAAGAGTAGCTATTTCATTTCCTCCTTTAGTAGCGAACTTGGAATTGCGCAGTGTCCAGTACCAGAATGGTTCCTGACCTTCACCAGTGAACACATCATCCATTGCAGTAGGATGCAGTAGCCACCTCCCTTTAGGCCCATATATAAGCTCCAAGGTTTGAGTTGTTGTGTTGAGCACAATGCTGACATTCCCATACCCATAGTTTCCATACAGTCCTGTATATTCCTCTAGAGGTCTACTAGAATTATAGTTCACCACTGAGACATCATCAACTTCCCCATTATCATAATTAGAAGGTTCCCATGGAGCAGGGAATGTACATGCTGTTGTTTCATTCAACCATGGTGTCTCTCCAAGCATCAAGTCAGTGGCATAGGCCTGTAGTACCTCTCTGATGGTACCTGATCTGGATGTGGAGGGGCCATTCAGAGACATGTAGAAACCAATTTGTTTGTCAGGCAGAAGTGATACCATCGAGTGGAAGCCATTCATGTTTCCAGTGTGCATCAGAGACCTATAGCCTGGAAGAATAATGGACCTTAATTTTGGCATAGATGGTTTACATTGCAACCAATGATAGGAATATTCTAAAGTTCCTTGGAGGATCATACAGTGCAATGATAAGTGAATGATATAATATAGTTTTGAGGTTCAGTTATTTCATACAAATTGTTTCTCTCAGATCACATTTTCTATTTTCTATATGATTTCATGAAAAAGGCTTATTCATGTTACCTACCTCTATACTGTCCTACATTCCATCCCAAGCCATACTTCTCCCTGAATGTGCCACTGACAGGGAATGCTGGTCTTAGGATGGTGTCCCTGCCCCTGATGGTAATGAGAGGCTTGTAGGTGTCCTCTAAGTGTGCCTTGTTGATCACCTGTTCCCCTGCTTGGTTCTGGCCTCCACTCAGGTGGAACAGCAGCCACTTGGACATGTCTTCTGCATTACTAGACACACCTCCTGGGGAGCTGATTGAACCATAGTAGGACCTAACACACAAAAATGTAGAAATTACATTCTCTTATTTGAGAACCTTTCTCCATATTCAAAGGGATTGTTTCCTTATAGTTTTCAATATATGTCTGTCCATGTAGTGCAATAAACTTTCTTTTGTAATGATGCAATTTAGTAATCACTAATCACTTGAGAAAAAAAATTGCACCCACTCAAAGGAAAACCTCTGGAAGATCGAATTCACTTAAAGGATAACTGAATAGGTTTTCTCAACTTGCAGCTACAAAAATGCGGTTTTGTTTATTTTAAGCCCAACCTAGAGTTCTTGCGATGACCATTATAAAAGAAATGTTAGATAACTGTTACTGGTCATAAATAAAATAAATTGACCAATCAGATTGGCCCCCACATGATTAGTAACGTCATACATTATGTATAGTTTTGGTTTATTGGTTCCTTGGTAATCACAATGTCACGGCAACCATAGGATTGTTGTGTAAACAAATAACAAAACATCGTGGCATTATGGCGTCATGGTTTAATGGACCAAAACTGGCCATGTGGGGACCAGTTAGAGATCACGTGGGGGCCAATAACATCACAACTAATTCGAATATTGCTTATCAAGTAGCTATGACAATCGATAGAGTGAAATAGTTTTCACTATTCTGATTAGAAAACATGTCCAAATACATTATATTATATTGATTCCTTTAGGTCAAAAATACCATTTCATATCTGCTTTAAACCTTAGTCTTCTCACTCATATTTCCATTGGAACACAGAGAAACAAACAGACAGAGATAGATATTCAGTAAAACCTGTTCATATTTCAAGGTTTTATAAACTTGTGAGTCAATGGGAGTGTTTATAGAGGTGTTCAGATATATAGGTTTTACTGTATTCAATCACTACATGTTTATCATCCTTGCAGTTAGTTCAATGAATGATGTTGTAAACCTTACCCTGCTACATCCATGGATACCTCCCTCAAAGTGCCATTGTACATAATATATGGGGTGGCAAATTCTCCATATCTTTCTTGTGCAAGGTGGAAGAATGTGGAAGAGTTCATTCCAAGGGGTACATATATCTTCTCTCTGCATATTTCCTCCCAAGTCTTCCCAGTTATCTTCTCAGCCATGAACCCTGCCACCCCATAAAGAATGTTGTGGTACAGCCACTCATCACGGAATGGCTTTGTGGTCTCAAAGAATCTCAATTTCCTTAAAATATTAAAGTACAGTGGTAAAAGAATCTGACTGATACAAACATATGCATACAGTTTATTGTCAAATAACAATATGACTAATGATGCCACAATCATCAGAACTAGAAAAACAGCAACTCTATGGAGTAGGAAATTCAACCAAACAAAACATATTTTTCAAATAATTCGTCAATTTGAACTTTTCATGAATCTTAAATTTTAAAATATTTACTTCAATAGCTCCTCTCTAGATAGACCAATGATCCTAACTGGATTATTCCCTGGGAGGCCTACTCTGTGAGCTAGGAGGTCTTTAAGATTTACTTGTTGTGTCCTGTAAGCATCATTCAGATAGAACCAGTCTCCAATAGCATCTCGAGCTGGACTATCCCATGTAACACTGTAACAACAAGAGATCATTTTAGCTTCAATTGCTTCTTAGGGAATCAAAAAGGAGAAAGCAGAAAAGTAGTGGGCAGCAACAATTACAGTACATAAGTGAGTTGTGAAACTCCACATTTTTAGTTACAGGGAAAGTCAAAGAATCAGATATGGATGTCAAACATAAAATGAATGTGTACACGCACTTGTTGTTTGTATCTGCCACAACATGTGCCAAGGTCGTTGCAACAAATGCCTTAGTGGTGGATGCAAGCAGAAACATGGTCTTTGTTGTGACTGGAGTGTTGCGTGCTACATTAGCATAACCATACCCCTTACTTAGTAGGATCTGGTCTCCCTGGGCCAACACTAGATTCATACCTAATATAGAGAAAAATCTGATCAATTACCCAAATGCGAGTAAGTAGTTACCATTTTCACCACCAGGTGGCTGATTCGGGTCAATTAACATGGCAGGTATATAAGAAAGTTCCCTTAAACTTGAATATTTTCAATTTAAGTGGCTCAATTTTCATATAACCCTTATGTGTCTGATACTTATACTAATGAAAATATGTCCAGTAAAGCAAAATATTATCTGTCCACTAAAAGAAAAGATATTTCATTTTTTGTGATTTTATAGCATGGGGTCTATGGGGAATCTCCCCGAGCTAGAAGTCACATTTTCAAAGAAAATTAATTTTTCAAAGTTGATAAACACTTTTTAAAATCACATTTCTAGATGTAATTTTGAATTTTGAATGACGTAAATCAAGATTATTTCTACTCGCATCTGGGTTATTGATATAGAAAATCTAGAACACAATGCTTATCCTTTTATACTGCACATCTCTCTCAATTTTGAAAGCCACGGCACAGATAATAAAAATCTTATTTGACATTATTTGATGTTCTTGGTTTTATTTTATTTTTTATAATCTTTTCACAACATTTGCATGGACAAAATGAGGAATTTTCATGATTTCTAGTCGTCCATGGCATCAAGAAAAATACACCTATTATAATATTTTTTAATTCTAAATTTTAACATAAAAATTGGAGCTAAGTACATATTTTCTGCATGAACACTTTCTTTGGTATGTCAATGTACTCGTACATGTACATGTAGATTTAACTTAACAAGTCTTATTTCCATATAGCAAATTAGCAATATATTGAAACACTCACCTGGTACACCATAACAGGCCATAGTTTTGTTGACCATGTTGTCTATTTTAGCCAGTATATCTTGGTCTGTGCTGTATGCTTTAGTACACTGGGCACAAACCAGGAGCCACATCAGCAACAGCTTTGACATCTTCACAACAAATGCTACTTAACTTAATGGTTCTTCTCACAAATGGCATCTAATACAAGTACATGTACTCACGTGTAGCAAGCTTATTTTGGTGAATTTGTTGATATGGTGCTGGAAGACTAATGTTATCAATCTGAACTAGAATGCTTATGTAGTTGAGAAATGAGGTAGCTAGTCGTGGACTGGATGATAACATAATCATAAATAGTTAATCATTAGTCAGCAAAAGCACTGGTGGTTATACAATATACATGATGTGCAATGGAAACCTAAATGTCTCTAGAAAAGTCAGGCCAACCTTTACACAAATATTAAATAGAACAATTGAGATCTCAACCTTGTCAAACAAATCTTACACCTTTTCCTTAATTTATTTCTAATGCACATGGTGGCTCATGAAGTAGACACCTAATAATCTCTAATAACTTCTAAAATAAAAAATATCAAATTACTGTTTCCTTACACTCTGTGACAAAAAAAGTAATGGAACTTTTTGGTTTGTCACTGATTTGCACAATTCTATGAACAGTGTAAAAATTGATGGATCAAAAAAATCTCAATTGGAGTGGACAAATCCTGATAAAGAAAAACAGAATTTATTTTTGACAAATTAATATTCATTTTACTCAAAGCCAGGGTAAGAAAAAGACTTAGAGTCTGAGGAAAACAAAAGTGCTTCTGATCTAGATATTCATAATGATTATATCTTCGGAAATAAATTTTTACTCTTTTATACTTAAATAAACATTTAAGATTTGCTGTATTCATTTACCCAGTGATTGAATCATGTGAAGTTCTTTCAGGGAAGTGGTCATAAGGAATAACTACCATACACTGGGGATCAACAGGAAAAAAGACCAAACCTCCAGTAGAAGAATTTGGTAAGAATTTTTATTTTTTTGATTTCAGCACTTTCATCTGGATCAAATTTTAACTTAATATTTGGCCAGTATGTAGAGCCTGGGTTCTGGTTTTGGAATAAGTAATCATTTTGATGTTTACAAATCAGTTCCCTCACTTAGGATACAAAGACAGTTTTCCGTTTTTTTGCAATAATATGAAGACATGTTTTATTTACAACGAAGACATTCATTTTTTTTACTAGCTGCATATAGCAACGTAGTATTATCACATCTGCACTTGAAAGCACATTTTAGATATCTTGGAAGGATGCAACACTTCTTGACTCTGCATTACCTAGTTCTTCAGATATCATGAAAACGTGCTGTCTTCGTTTCATGCTTCAGAAACTTGGACTGTATTAATTTCTTTGAGAAACTGTCTTTATTCCCTCAGCGAGGGAATTGTTTTGTAACTAGGGAGTTTAAGCTTGCAATGCTTTTCACAACCTAAACGTGAACTGAAAATAAATTAAGCGAAGCATTTGTATGGGTGATTAGTCATACGTATAGATTGGCATTTCAATTTTACATGCAAGCTTAAACTCCCTATTATCAGATGATTACTGTACATCTATTCCTTAGGTGTAACCATATTTCGAAACTGGAACCCAAGCATTACATATGTGCCAAATATAAAGTTGAAAGGAGTGGTATCGATATGGAGAACTGAATTCAACAATATTTTTCTCTTAAACCAATCATTGAAAGCATTCTGTAAAAAAACACGGTATTTTATGTAATGTTGACTGATTGACTGATTTAATGCGAAAATTAAGGAATTTTTGGTTGATTTTAAAAAAGTATTCAAAACATTAAAACAAAATCCCCCAAAATAGATAAAAACAAGATAAACCTTTTATTTCATTAACAAGATACTTTTTTAAAACCAACCAAAATTTCCTTTGTACAATTACAATATTGAGAGACCTAAACATGTTATGTCGTTTTGTTCCAATGAGGTTCGGAAAGATGTTTCATTTCACTCTGGAAACATGATACCAAGAACAAAACAAGTTTTTGATGTGTTTTCTAAAACAATATAGATGAAAGTGTATTTTTCAAATTATATTGTTACCATTCAAAAGATGACCATTAAATTAACAATGTGTTAAATTTTTAGATTTTTTATGACTGGTTTAAGAGAAACTTGTGTTCAAAAAGTTCTCCATATCGATACCACTCCTTTGATGGATAAAGGCGAGAAAAAAATTATTTTCAACCGGAAGTTCTAGTTGATCACCAATGCCATATATAAAGTCAGGATTATTGATGCATATCTTATAGATATTCTCCAAACGTTCATGCACAAGGTCATTGTTAATAAATTACACAATATATGTCTGATTTCTAATTGTAAATAGAATCATGGAAAATAAACTTGTAGTTTTATGACTTTGTCACATGCAATCTGATGATAAAGCTTGCTTTTTGGGGAAATTCTCTATGAGCAGCCAGCCACGCAAGTGTTGTTTATGAATATGTCAAAGGTTCACATTACAGTCTTCATTTGCAATGCACATCTTGAGAAATGCTTGGAATTTCATATTCAACTTTTAGTTTCCATCTTTGAGAATGAGATCAATCAGAAATACCACTATCTAATATTATATGTGACATAACAATCTACTAAACAATCAAAATGTTTTAAGACCAGTCAAAAAATTACATAAAATACGATGTTTGAATGTATAAATATTTATTTGCACATTTCTCACATAAACTATTACTATACATACAGGGTGTCAAAAAACAACGGCACCCCCCTCTACAGCAAACAGTCCTGAATGTTCCATATTGTGTCATACATCATTTGAAAGATAATTTAATTCTGGAGTTACTCCTCAAATTTCATTTAATAAAACGTTATATTAAAAAAGCTACATTGTTTTTAAGCTTGCTACTTCAGAAAGTGGAATATGAAAGAATTAACTCAGATTTCAACTGCACTGAACATATGGGTTCAGTTCTGAAAAACAGGGTATAGGAACTGATGGACGAAGAGCCTCTTGAAAAAAGATACGGTGAGGATGTATTTCTGAAGAATTTGAGGAAAGTGCTTAGAGGATTATGCAATGCTACACATTTATCTGAATTTTCATTGAAATCATATCTGTCCAGATAAGCTGCTGTTTGAGCAGCAACTGGTGGTCATACCAACTACTAAGAATCAGCTGTAAATCTATAAAATTATATGATATAAAGCTGAAATTTCTCAGGTAACTCCAGAATTAAATTGTCTTTAAAATGAGATATGACACACCATGTAATATTAAGTACTTTTTGCTGTAGAGGGGGGTGCCGTTGTTTTTTGACACCCTGTATATAACTATAATATTATAATAAGTTATACAACGATTATGTTATTGTACGGGCCAATATACAATTCTAGCTCAGACATTTTTTATACCATGATGATTAAAAATAAATAATTATCGGCAAAATAATCATACTAGATAATTCAATTTCTTAATCATAAAATATGCTTTGTTTTTATAGTGTAAAGATGATAACTGATTGTTTATATAAAGTGTTGAACAGTAAACAAATGAAAAAATCAACAATATAGTAATTTTAAATACAATGAATTTATCTTTCATGTACTTCAGTTGACCCTGTATCCTTCAGTGAAGCCTACTGCAACATTGAACACAAGTGTAAGATAAATAATTCTGTATATTGTTTATATAGTGCCTATAAAATATGTAGCTTGTAAAATATTTTGTGCGTTTAACTACTGTTCCACTCTAGAAATTGAACAATGTAAATTCCTCTGAGTAAATTGTCTAATAAAATGAAAAAGCCAAGGTAAAAATTCATGGATGCTAAAACAAAGAAAGTATAGTTGTCAAATTACATTTCAAATTCAAAAAGCATTCTTAAAAATTGGAATTCGGTCCCTCATGATTTTCCTGGAAATGCATATACAATGCATGTACAAGATTTCAGCAAGGAGGATTGGGGCAGAATATCGATGTGGCATTCTGGGAGCCAATCCTCCTTGAGATTTCAGCCAGCCTGAAGAGTACAATAAGACTTACACATTCTTCAAGTGAATTTGATTTTACTAAAGGGTAATAGTTCTAGATAGATAGAACTATAGTTCACAAGTGTAACAAAAAAATGAGTATTAAAGAAATAAGTGTAAATGAAGATTTTCTGTTTTAATTGTAATTTGATATATCTAAATGATTAGCTAAGGATCTAAAATGTTATGTGATGACTATACTCCTCTTAAAAACTATAAAATATCAAAACTCTAAAAACTCATTGAACTTCTGAGGACTTTCGTTTTTGAGCCTCTAAAATCATTGGTAGCCATAGATTAGTGTCCCAACTGTCTAAGCGAATCTCATTGCTGATTTTGTATGTCTTGTTATGACATGCGGAGAACAGAACTTGTCTCCAGAGAGGCTCATGTTCACACCCTGTAATAAAATGTATGCAAGCGTCAACATATCCAGGATTGACTATATCATGAACAAACATGGTTCCCAACTAAAACTACTTTTTTAAATATGTTTTATGTGGCTGATGTCGAGTGATGTGTATGTGAAACCTGAGTTAGACCTGGCTGGACAGCTAGCCAGTGAACATTTTGGAACTAATGTGTGTATGCTACTGTTAAAACTAACGTACCTTTTATTCTTGGCCTGTCATCAATAAGAAGATCACCATGAATGATTGTCTTATCTCGTGTAAGAATCAATTTCTCAACCCAGTCTTTTCCAAGATATTTCTGAACCCAGTCATACTTTTCCTTGACACAAAACTGGTAGTTTATGACTGGACTGGTGCACAGAAACACATCTACCCTGAAATTATATCCTATATTTCTAGATACATGTACAGTAGTAGGAAAAGTAATGGCCACATTGTAGGTTCATGATAATCTTATATCTGATGATTCAACAGCTATTTTTCTGTCAAAGGTTCAAAACTCTGCTTAACTTAAAAACCTTCATTGGTTCTTTCTTCTAACCCATCATCATGCTTGTAAAAGTATAATACCTTGAAAATTCATAGACAAGTGAAGTGTCACTGGGAGGTATCGTGGTGCAATGGTGTTGTTGCATCACGATACCCCCCAGTGACACTTCACTTGTCTATGAATTTTCAAGATGTCAAGCCTTCCAGTGACATATTTTCGTAAGATATTTCGTTTTCCCAATTTAAACCTGTTTCTAAGATGAGTTTCTCAATAACCATACATGTCAGTTAGTGCATGATCTATGTTTTAAATAACTGTCATTGGTATACATGTAGCATCATCAAGAAGCGATTAATTCATGGTTTTAGTTCCTCACTATTGATGCAACAGCACCAAACCGAAGATGCAAAAACACTCCTCTACATTTGAGCAATGATGCAACAACACCAATGTATGGCATATTGTTAAGCCATAATGTAATAGGATTTAGGTCGCAAAAAAGGTAATTTGGGAGCGGAACACTAATCTTAGGGGTTGTAATATTATATTGGACATTCATATTATATTGTTTATCTAAAAAACGTGTCGCTTCGTTTTATACTCTTTTATACCTAGGTGAACCTATTCTGAAGTTAATGCATCTATCAAATATACACATTTATAAACATATGATCAAATATACACACCCCTCCAAAAGTTTAGCAACCTTAGCACCCCCCATTGAACTACGTGTTGCAGCCTCTTTATATTTGAATTTTTATTTACATAACCTCAAGTACATAACTTTATTCATGGGTAAAGACATGACACAATGTACCAGTTCAGATTTTAGGAATGAATTTGTCAAACGTAGAAATGTGGATGTTTTAATGAACAATGTAAAAATTGATAAAAGCTCTTGGTTGCGAGCTCATAATTGTACCAATGAAAATGCGTTCCGTATTTTACATTGGAAATCACTTCACAATATCTATCCTTGTAATTCGGTCCTGTTCAAGTTCAAAATTAATAAAAACTCTCCTTTATGTGACCATTGTGGAGTAAATGACACTATTGTACATCATTTTATTAAATGTAATAAAGTTAAAGATATTTGGAATAATTTCAATTTGACAGATGAACAAATTTTAGGTCTTCAAACATGTTCTAATTATAAAGATGTTCTAATAGCCAGAAAAACAATCCAAATTTTCAACTGCCAGAATTATTTAGGTAATATTAAAAGCGAGTTTAACAAACAAAAGATATTAAATATGTAAGACTGGTATGTTTATTTTGTATGAATGATGTTATTGTAATTGCATTGTATTGTTATTGTAAATAAATGTTATTTAAAAAAAAAAAATAACATAACCTACGAGGAAAATACTATGATATTGATGGAAATGTAAATTGACTTCATTTCCTATGCTTCCAAATTTTACCAAATTTTACCTCAATTACAATAGGTTGAAAATTGATGATAAATCTAATGAATTTTTGAAAATCGACATTCCGATGTAATCCAATGGGAAATGGTATGTTTGCCACAAGTCATATGACAGAATATTCATCCATCTGAGTTCTTGTAAAAAATACAAGTTAGGTAGTCAATTGAATTTGCTATCTTTATTGAATAAAAAATTGATACGTTTCTTCAGGTTTTAAAAAATATTCAAAGTCAAAATTATTTTTCAAAAAACTCCTCCCATTGCAATAACACAGGAGGCGAAAAGGATTTTCAAAAATGAGTTTAAGCTCTGTAATTTTAGTATTCAAAAAGTAAGCTGAACACTCAGCATACAAAAAGTTAGATAATTCAATTTTCTATACACATTTTTTTGTGAATCTTTTACTGGATAGATATCCTGATCATCAAAATCATCAATTTTCAACCTTTTGTAATTGAGAGAAAAATTGGAGGCATTGGAAATGAAGTCTAGCTACATTTCAAGCATGTATTTTCCTCCCGGGTCAAGTAAATAAAAATTCAAATATAAAGAGGCTTTAACATGTAGTTCAATGAGGGAGCTAAGGTTGCCAAACTTTTGGAGGGGACTGTACAACACAAAAATGTCTGATATCTGTTTCCATAATTATATTAGTTCTCTGTAAATAAAATCAGACCAAAATCAGAAATATTGACTTGACAAAAACATGAAAAGTGTAAAAAGCTAAATGTAATATTTTCAACAAGGCATTAACATGACAAAATGTCACCACCTAAAACAATTTGGTCAATTTAAAGCAAGTTGGAAAATACCTTTTGACCTTGAGAAGGTCATTGAAGGTCAAAGGTCAAATCTAAAGTCAGATTTGAACTTCTGAGAACTTGTAAAGTCAAATTTGAACTTCTGAAAAGATGTACAATTGTAGATGCTTTTGAAGCAAGTTGAAAACAGACCTTTTTGACCTTTTTTGACCTTGAGAAGGTCATTAAAGGTCAAATGTCAAATCTAAAGTCAGATTTGAATTTCTGAGAACATGTAGATGATTTTGAAAAAAAAATTAGTCAATTTGAAGCAAGTTGAAAAAAGACCTTTTTGACCTTTTTTTACTTTGAGAAGGTCATTGAAGGTCAAATGTCAAATCTTAAGTCAAATCTAAAGTCAGATTTGAATTTCTGAGAACACATAGATGATTTTGAAAAAATGTTTTAGTCAATTTGAAGCAAGTTGAAAACAGACCTTTTTGACCTTTTTTGACCTTGAGAAGGTCATTGAAGGTCAAATGTCAAATTTTAAGTCAAATCTTAAGTCAGATTTGAATTTCTGAGAACATGTAGATGATTTAAAAAAAAAATTTAGTCAATTTCAAGGAGGATTGGCTCCCAGGATCGAAACTCGATATTTTCCAACAATGAAAACGTCGAAATGTCGTTATTTTCTGAAATTAAAACCGACTATAAATTCAAAATAAACAGTTCAAAAGATTCGAACCAATATCTCGATCATTTCTTGTGAGTTTTGGAATTTTTCGTTTGGAAATAAGACCAAAATTCACGATTTAAATGTTGAAGTGAACAAAATGGCGGCTGTTTGAATTCGAATTTTGTATTACGACATACCCATATATGGGACAGAATATCGGTGGTGGACTCTGGGAGCCAATCCTCCTTGGTCAATTTGAAGCAAGTTGAAAACAGACCTTTTTGACTTTTTTGACCTTGAGAAGGTCATTGAAGGTCAAATGTCAAATCTAAAGTCAGATTTGAAGGTCAAATGTCAAATATAAAGTCAAATCTAAAGTCAGATTTGAATTTCTGAGAACATGTAGATGATTTTGAAAAAAATTGAAGTCAGTCTAAACAGTATTTGTTAAGTTATAGGAAGTTGTAAGAAATTGTTACAGACGCCGGACGCCAACCTCCAACCGCCGTCGCAAAAAAACAGAGACCATAACAATATGTCACCACTTTTGGTCACTTTTGGTGGTGACATAATAAACACAGCTAAACAGGAAATCTATTTTATTAAATAATCAATCTACGTTTAAGTTGTTTAGTTCAAGATTTGGGACATCCTCCGAACACAAGCCTCCGAACACAGGCCTCCAGACTTGGGACCACATTAGTGTCTGTCGATGTCATTTAGAAAGTGATTAACTTACTTAGTAAACTTACATGTACTACAATATCATAATATGTGATTAAATACTATTAATATGTTCAAGCTTGTATATTGTTGTAACTTGTATATTCTTTTAACTTTGATAAAGACTTTGGCATTGTTGCATGAGCACATTGGTGTTTTTGCATCATTGATAATAAACATAGTGGTGTTGTTGCATCAATAGTGAGGAACTAAAACCGTGAATTTATCGCTTCTGGATGAGCTACATGTATATCATCATACCCCCTAGTGAAGTGTATGGTGGGCCAATAAACAAGACCAAATATTAAAAAATCAGTTAACTTTACATAAAATAAAGCAATTTATAATATATGAAAACAAAGACAATTAAATTGTCAACAGAATAATACGAGGGGTGATCAATAAGTAATGGACGCTTTTTTACACGGATGCTTTTTATAGACCAATACCTTCGATTTTCTTACCAGTGATACATCATTCAATTATCTATCAACTCTGAAGATTTGAAAACAAAACATGTAATATATTTTGATATATCTTTATTTCCATGAAGGAGGTATAGGTACCCCGAGACCAACATTTACGTCAAACATTCTGAAGTTGTTTTAGCTTGTTTAACATGCAACGCAGTTGAATGCAGGCTGAACAAAACTAACCATTATGGTCATGAATTGCCCCATTTTGTTATGCCATAGTTGATTTTGAATATTTTATCATCACTATGTGGTATTCATGCCACATTCATTCTACAGGGCCCTCTACATAGGTTCCATCAAGTTCAACATGTACACAATTCCTCATCCTCTTGACTCAAGATTGTGAGACAAGGCTGAATCTATTCTCTGACATGGTAGCAAGATGCAGTTGCACGGGTTGTTTTATTTCATCAATGTCAATAAACCTGCGTCCCTTCTCTATAGAAATAAGTAGTAAAGGAATAAATAAATAAATCACATGTGGGCAGATCTAGACAATATGGTGCATTGACAAAGGGCTCAATTTTAGGGTCCATGGATTTGTTTTCTGAACATTTTGAGATATATGGGCAGGTGAATTGTCCATATGGAGTGGGGTGTTTCCTTCTCTCACTAACCCCTTCTTCCACAATGCTTCCTCGAATTGACCTGCAAACCCCGACCATACAACATTCAGACATCACATAACTTACTGTTTACATGTAACCAGTCAGCAAAATCTTTCAAACAACACAACACTTGTTGCATAAAAAAAAGTTTAAACGTAGCTGAAATTTGCCAAACTGGCTAAAAACTGAATATGTGACGTAAATGTCGGTCCCGGGGTACCTGTACCTCCTTCACGGAAATAAGGATAGATCAACATGAATTATATATTTTGTCTTCAAATCTTCAAAATTGATAGATAATTGAATGATGTATCACTAGTAGGAAAATCAAAGGGATTGGTCCATAAAAAGTATCTGTGTAAAAAAGCGTCCATTACTTATTGATCACCCCTCGTATGTTGAATTAAAACAAAATTATTTCCAAACACTAATTATCTACACATATCTGATATGTGAAAATATTCCATTTAATATATTCATTATTCTACATGTATGCTATGTCAGTTTAGCCTAGTCTAAGGTAGTTTAATATGGAATTTATTTTGTATCAAAATTTAACAGAACTTCTAATATGTGTACAAAATATGAACACAATAAGGGCAACTGTATTTGAGTAATCACACGGACAGAATGGTGAGGACGGACGTATGGACGGACAGACAGAGCTGTTCCCTTTATCTCACCAAACTTTGTTTGATGGGATAATTATTTTTCTATGATTCATATTATAAAACCTTTTAGATTTGCCAATTACACTAATACTTCAAATTTTGGAAAATGAATATACAATACTTTAAAGTCCAAGATTTCTCTTACATTGTGTGATTGACTTCTTGCCGCTGTATATAAATCTTCAAATGTGCAAATGTACACAAGGCATCCAAAAAATGTCACCTTTTCTCCATTTGCTACAGATTGTGAGCCTTCCTCACTGTCTGCCAACTGCCATATGCCAGACACTTAGTACCAAACACACTCTCCACAAAAATGTTGGAGACCATACAGTAACCACTTGTGGAGATGACATGATAATATAATTTGTTTTAATTCAAAGTTAGCTTACCCAGGTAGTCCTGACATTTCTTTTAAGGCTTCAATGCCTCCTGCTATAGGTGGAAGAGTAAGGAAAAAGCCTTCCTCATTGATGACACTGTATATCTTATCCTACAATATACAAACATACATCCAGTTAAAATGCAGTTTCAGCATATGATCCAAGTCCAAGATAAACAATATAAGCAACTTATATATATATAATACAGGGTGACACAAAAAGATGACACCCTCCTTACGTTGCATTACTTGTATGTCTATTAACATTTAGACTTGTCCTTTAGCACATTTGAAATAGACATAATGCAAAAGCACCTCACGAAATTTCAGATGTGTTGCTCAAGTGGGTCAAATATTATGAGCATTACAACATTTGCTCTAAATGTCGTCCATTCCTTTACAGACACACACTGATTCTACACAAAAAATGCCATCCAGCTTTTGTAACTTAACTTTGTAAATACTAATAATGACTTTGGCTTGTACTTTCAGGAAATTGAAATCATTCAATTAAACAGAAAATAATGCAGTTGTCATTATAATTTATTTCCAAAATTATGTTACAAAAGGTGGGTGTCATTTTTTGTAAGATCCAGTTGTGCCAGCAAAGGCATAGACGACACATATTGTAATGCTCATAAATCCGCATCAAGGTGTGCTAATCATCTGAAACTTATTGTGGAGTTGCAAAATGGAGTAGTTTAATATGTGAAAAAACAAGTCAGAATTTCTTAGTCACTGATGGAAGGAAAACATTTTTGAAAAAATTGCTATACCTGCAAATATGATTTTCTAGTACAAAATTATGTATGAAGACATTTGTTTTTTCCTTGTTTTTTCAGGAAAGTATCATTTCATTGTCTTCTTTTACTATATCTGGTGAAAGGTCAATGGCAATCCAGTGTTATTAAGAAACTTTGAGAAAATAGTAAAGGCAGCCATTTTCTCGATTATTAGCATATCCTGGAGCTACCATTGACCAGGTTTACAAAAAGAAGGACGGGATGAAAAAGGGAGGATAGTTATAATGGGCAGCAGGGCTCTCACAAGGATTAGGGTGTAGTGCTGAGATCCCTGGACAGGGAAAGGAAAGGGATGTAGATGAAAAGTAGGACAGAAAGGGTGTTATAAATTTATTAAATATTTTAAAAATTGTCAGATAAATATATCATGAATTAAAATGGAACTGAGTGGGCTCCTTGATGAGATATTGCATGATTTCGCCTAAAATTAAAATGGCTCCAAGAACAATGGTGATATTCGAAAACTGGATGAAATGTCATTATGTCTGACATTAGAAACTGGCTGTAAATTCTAAGTTAGCGATCCAGAATGGGAGTTTTGGAATTTTTGGTGAGGTAATAAGACCAAAACTCGCAATTCAAATTGTGATGTGGAAAAATGGCAAACATTTGATTTCAAAATTTATGATTACGACATGACCCATATAGAGCGACATGACTCACATCCAGCAGAGTAAAAACGTGCAGGATTTTTCTTTGGACGAAGGCCACGATATAGTGACCTTAGAAGAAGGTAACTCAAAATAAACATTTGTGGAAAAGAACTTAGTCTAGTGGATGATCTTTCCCGTAAGTGACTGAAATGGTTCTGGGATCAAAAATACCTCAGTTTTGTCGTCTTCGATTTAAGGTGCCATGGAAGTTAACTGGAAATGACGAAACAGGAAGTGACAAATTTTTTTGCATTTTAAGACATTTTTTGAACAAAGATAACAGAGTTCTGGTTTGACCTCCAGTCAATTTAACTATTTCCACATGTCATTTACATGACCATGACCCTAAACATGATGAAATAACCTTTTTAGCCCTTTGAAAGTGTGACTGAAAAAAAGCTAAAAGTAGGAGCGTAGGGAAGGTCACTGAACAGAATCTTTTGAATTTTTCAGAAAATGTGCCCAATATATTGCTCTAAACGATACAATCTTTGAAAATTTGATATCATTCATAGAAAAAGAAAAAAAAGGAAAAAACTGATTTGAAAAGCGATCTATTTTCCTTTTTATGACCGCCATTTTTGTTTCAGACAATTTTCTAAAATTTCAAAGATTGTATCAGTTAAGGCGACGCTATATTAAATAATAAGTACAAAAAATGACTGCCATATTTTTTTGATAAAGACACATGTTTTTAAGGTACAGCTGGAAAGTAACATTTTGGTAAAATATTGCTATACCAGCACATGTTATTTTCTGGTACACAATGAAGTATGAAGACATGTGTCTATTGCCTTGCTTTTTTCAGGAAAGTATCATTACATTGTCTTCTTTAAGAATATCTAGTAGGGGTTCAATGGGAACTCCAGGAAATTCTGATATTTCACACTTTCTATTTTTCCAAATTTTCTTTCAAAGTTTCCAGACAACACATGAGTTACCATTGACCTGTTTCCAGGTTTACTAAAAGAAGACAGTGTAATGACACTTTCCTGAAAAAAGCAAGGAAATACACACATGCTTTCATACTTAATTTTGTACCAGAAAATAACATGTGGAGGTATAGCAATTTTTTACCAAAATGTTACTTTCCAGCTGAACCTTAAAATCTGTTTACCTTATATATGAATTGTGTATCTTGACTAATGAGCATGTCAAAGTTAACATCACACATAAACGCATTTTTCCAAACTATGAATTGGAGGTGCATGGATCCCCAAAGCTAGCATGAAGAGTGCGAAGTGAGGGTAATTTTTGAAAGTTTCAAGGAGTAGCCTTGCAACAGTCACACATTTGCAAGAGTCTAAAATTTCCACAAATCATCTTACCTTTCCCAGGAACAACGAAGGAGCATGAAAATGTGCACTTCTTGCATTGTTAGAGTATAATAAACCTCAAACCATTGTAAATTCCAAATATTTCATGTCCACATTTTGTTTGCCGGAACTACTTCTAGACTTCCTGATTAATCCTCATGCAAGTTTTGTGACTACACCAAGTGGCATGGATTATCACTTGTATGTTTTATCTATTACAGTGTAATTATCATGATAGATACATGATAGAGGCTTTATGAATGATAAACAATGGAAACATGAATGAAGATAACTCTGGACTAAAAAATAGTTCCAGGAAACAAAATGGTGGACATGAAATATTTAGAATTCACAATGGTTTGAGCTTTATTATACTCTAACAATGCAAGAAGTACACATTTTCGTGCTCCTTCGTTGTTCCTTGGTAAGGTAAGATGATTTGTGGAAATTTTAGACTCTTGCAAATGTGTGACTGTTGCAAGGCTACTCCTTGAAACTTTCAAAAATTAGCCTCACTTCGCACTCTTCATGAAGAGGAGGGAAAGTCCCAGAGTTTCAAGATGACAGACATAAGTACCTCTCTTGCTTACCACCTTCGTTCGTTCGAATTTTCATCGGCTAGTTATCAAATACTACACTTCGATGGGATGTTTTAATTGATATAGGCATATTCCGTACACCTTTCTTTATCTTGATGTGAAATGAGAAGCTATGATATTGGTTAACACGCCAGAAATGAACATAATATTATTCGAAGCGTATTTCGAAAATTTTGAAACCGCCATTGATGACGTCATTTGTTTGTCGACTTTTGACCAATCAGCGACCGTGTCATCTCAATACAGATTTACATTATAAGCGTATGTCATCTTTGAACCCTGGTGTTTCTCCCCCTCTGTCTTCATGCTAGCTTTGGGGATCCATGCACCTCCAATTCATAGTTTGGAAAAATGCGTTTATGTGTGATGTTAACTTTGACATGTTTCATTAGTCAAGATACACAATTCATATACAAGGTAAACAGATTTTAAAAACATGTGTCTTTATCAAAAAAATATGGCAGTCATTTTTTGTACTTTTTATTTAATATAGCGTCGCCTTAAAGCATTATATTGGGCACATTTTCTGAAAAATTCAAAAGATTCTGTTCAGTGACTATCCCTACGCTCCTACTCTTAGCTTTTTTCAGTCACACTTTCAAAGGGCTAAAAAGGTTATTTCATCATGTTTAGGGTCATTCTGACCATGCACATTGTGATCCTGGTCATGTAAATGATATGTGGAAATAGTTAAATTGACTGGAGGTCAAACCAGAACTCTGTTATCTTTGTTCAAAAAATGTCTAAAAATGCAAATTATTTTTCACTTCCTGTTTCGTCATTTTCTGTTAACTTCCATGGCACCTTAAACAATCGCACTTACATTATGGACTCCAATCTTTTCATATTGGGTTGTAAGGTAGAATCCCTTTCTTTTGTCTAAAGGTATAAATGGCTCGTCTGGATATTTTTCTTTATATCGCTTCAAAAAGTTTGTTTCAAAATCAGCTAGCACACAGTCCATATCAACCAGAACTCGGAGTTTTTTCTGATCTCTATCCCAAGTGTGTTTCTTTCGATATTTCGACATGTTGAACGTGCAAATACTTGATACAGGTCTTAAGAGTAATACTCTGCCATATTTCAAGCTAACTCCAGCCAAGATCATCTGAGAAGTAGGCCCAAATCAATACATTTTCAGAAATTTCATGAATATTTGAAATCTGCGTCCTTGGGCGATAATAGGGTAGGTCAATTACCAAAGTCGCTTCAGTATTAACAACAATTCTTCTTCTGGTTGTTTTGAAGTATGTCAAGATATGTATTGGAATCTATTTGTAAGATATATACTCGTTTGATTTTTTATGCCGCTATTTGTCAGCCGAGTTTCTTTTGTTGCGACTAATTCCTTCTTTACCAAGAGCCCTTACATAGAATGTATCGCTTGTATCAGCAACAAACAATGGCAGCCAGTTTGGAACACTATGTGAATAATGTGAGGAATCTGTCAGCACAAGGTGATACCAAGATTCTAATTATACTGTACTCAACAGCTTCTTTGTACATCCAGAATTCCATGTATTCTATAAACATATTTAATTGGTTCATATAAATGCAAGTTTATGAATTTTAAAAAAATTATAGACTAGATCTAAAAAAAGAATTTCTCATTTCTCTTCAATTTTTCAATTGAACTTCAATTTTCAAGGGGAATCAAGTATCCTATAGTCTTACCTCTTTCAAAGGCTGGCTACTGGCTTACTTACAGCCTCCTACATCACCGGCCTCAGTTAATTATGGCAGCCATCTGCTACTCTGCGCCGATCAAGACTTCTTTTATTGAGACCCTACATGTTATCCCGTACCAGGACTATAGTCCTGCATTGAGAGAATTCTTTTGGCTGTATGATTACAACATGGGAGAATTTCCTACGCTTCTTACACTTAAGATACCTATTTCAAAAGATTCCTTGGTATTTTAGCATTCTTTTCTTGTAGTTGAATCCACAATTGTCTGGGTTTATCGGCAGAACAAAGAAATTTTCGTTTTAATCACAATATTTGCGTGTAATATTTAACTTATTTTAACCGTCAAATTCCTCCATTTTTGGTGCTTCCGGGCCACTTCCAGGTCAGTCAAACGGGGAATCCCCTTTTAAATCCAACCACCATCTTGGAAAGTGATGGAATATCTCTCGATGAAAAAGAAAAATGTTCCCGTTCTCCAGATATACCCAGATAATTGTGGATTCAACTACACGAAAAGAATGCTAAGATACCCAGGAATCAATTGAAGTAGGTATCTTAAGTGTAAGGGTGTAGATAATTCTCCCAAGTTGTAATCGTACAGGCAAAAGAATGCTCTCAATGCAGGAATATAGTCCTGGCACGGGATAACCTACATGTATCTGTTGCAAGACCTACGCCTGCCACAACCATCACCATGTTACTCAGTATTTTTAAGTATCGCAAGGATCCTGCCATGACCGTGCTAGTGTTATCGTGAAAGCCTTTCAGACCTCTTATGTATGTTCATAACAGAAACATGTAACAAACAGGCAAACTCTTGTGAATTTGTGACTTGTGAAACACTTGTGTGATTTAGTTCAACTAGGCTACGGACATTACAGTGTACTAGTGTCCGTATAGATTTGATTTTCTCACCGTGTACAGGCTGTTCCATATGTTTCAGGAATGATGCTGTATTTTAGTGGTTGACTTTTCAATCGAGCTGAATTTTTAAAAAATGTGTCCAAATATGTTGTGTTTAAGTTGGGAAAGTTTCATATAATGAAGCTCAATAGATTTAATGATACAGTTGCTATAGTAACCCAGGGGAAAGGTAGGTTGAGCAGGTGTGGCAACACGCAAAACATGAAATATTTGTAAATTAACAGTCGTTTTTTGTATGAAGTGTTAGAAAATATTAGGTTGTCAAAGTTAGATCAAAAATGTCAAAAATTAAAGCAAAAACTAAGGTGAATTCTTTGAAATTAAAATAATTGTCATTATTGATAGTATCACAATTGACACCCATGGCATGACATGACATGAGTCACAAATGAGAATGATCACTGGTCATTTTGGCTGAGCGTGCAGCCACATCAGATGTTTTGGATTATCTGTCTCAGATTCCCTTGATTTGAATCTCTTATACCACTCATACACTCTTGAGGTTGTTGTCATTAAGTCCCCATATATACTCCCAAGGTATTTAATTTTATCTGCTGCAGAAAACCTATTTTTCACAGTTTTTGACTGTTGTGCGTTACCTTAGTTGAAATTCATCTTTTACTGATGACATTTTCACTTTTCAAGATGGCCACTCAGTCAAAATGACCTGTGATTATTCTCCTTTGGTACCCATGACATGACAGGTTTTTCAATTGTGATATATCATCAATGATGACAATTCTTTTTAATTTCCAGCAATTCACTTTCATTTTTGCTTAATTTCTGACTTTGATGCAACTATGACAACCTAAGACTTACCCACACTTCATACAAAAAACGACTATTTTTACAAATATGACATATATTTTGCCGGTTGTTACACCTGCTCCACCTACCCTATCCCTGGGTTACTATGGCAACCATATTATCAGGTTTATTGACCTTCATGATATAAAACTTTCTCAATTCATTCACAACTGTAATGTAAAATGAGAAAGATTGCAAGACAACTGTTTTTGTGTTTGTTTTTGCATAAGTGTAGCCCAAGATGAGAGCAATTAAAATAGAGAACCATCGTTTGATACTCCCTTTCAAACCTTTTAAAGCAAGGGGGCTACACACACTACAGGAAATTTTACACTTTTAACAGCTTTTACAAAATCTACTCCTGCTGCTGGAAAAGAAACTTGTGTTCCATGCAACAATTATATTTCATGTAATATGTATCAGAATGTGTAATCACAGGGCAAGAGATGTATTATCTGACCATTAAATTTTCCTTTCTTCTTTGTGAAATTTGAACAATAGATAAAATGGTAATTTCCATTTAGAAGAAGACATTTTTGGAAAAGCCACTGAAAATGATCTAATGATCAGATCTAAGTGGAACTCCCTTTATAGAAGCTTTGAACTGAATTTACACTTTTTAATGCTGAAATTGGAAATTGATAGTTTATACAGTACATACATTTTAAGAAAATAGGTATGTCAAATAAGGTGTTAAGCCAAATATTGACCTGATAGCTCAGAAAAAATAAAAAAAATTCGAATTTTCTGTCAACATTCATTAAACAGTCACGATGCTTTGCTACATGATTTAAATCATTGTGGATGTTTAATGAATCCTTAATGAGTCCTTGTTGCCCCTTTAAGGTGCTGTGGTAGTTATAGGAAATAACAAAACAGGAAGTGACAAAACCATGCTGGATTTCAAACATTTTTTGAACCAAGATAACAGTGTTCTGTTTTGTCCTCCAGTCAGTTTAATTAGTTCAACATATCATTTACATGACCAGGATCACAATGTACATGGTCAAAATGACCCTAAACATGATGAAATAACTTTTTCAGCCCTCTGAAAATGTGACTGAAAAATAGCTAAAAGTAGGCGCTTAGGAAAGGTCACTGAACAGAATCTTTTGAATTTTTCAGAAAATGTGCCCAATATATTGCTCTAAATAATACAATCCTTGAAAATTTGATATCATTCATAGAATAAGAAAAAAAATGAATTGAAAAGCGATCTTTTTTCCTTTTTATGACCGTCATTTTTGTTATGTCCCCAACACATAGTGTGGGGCCATATTGTCGTCCTAGGCGTGTCCGTCCGTCCGTCCGTCTGGTTGTCTGTCTGTCCATCCGTACGTCCGGCAGTTTTCTCCAAAACCGCTACAGGTATCACCTTCAAATTTTCAGGAATAACTTGTGAGTGCATACAGATGTGGATGAAAAAAAATTAACTCGATAGCTACTTCCTGTCGGCCATTTTGAAGTCAAATGCTAAAATCCTTGTCTGCAAACCTTAAGAAAAACGGCTTCACAGTTGCTTTTAAAACTTTAAGATCTTGTTCAGCTCACTTCATTCTACATCTGATTAGGTTTTGGACCTGTTAGCTCAGTCATGTCAGCCATTTTGAATGTCTTAAGAAAAGTTAGCGCGCCATAATACTTTGTATCATATTGAATGGTGTTTTTGAGTTTTCATACTTTAACTATTTAGTAGCTTTATAAATAATTTCAGGTGTATTTTGTTGAAAAAGCCTATGTTATTGTTAACAGTAGTTATATGTGATAATTTTGTAAAAGGAAATCAGCAAAAACTCATAATCACTTTTTTATTGTTGGCCATTTTGGATTTTTTTGGCGTTCTGGGTAAATGTCAAGGCAGCCATTTTGGATTTTCCGTCCTAAAATCTTGTCTGTAAAGTCTTGTCTTCATATTTCCAGTTGAACCGTTTGGTAGATCAATTTCAAATTTTCAGGGATGATTCTTAGTATGAAAATCTAGATCGGATTAGTTTTTTGGCATTCTGGATAAATGTCAAGGCAGCCATTTTGGATTATCCGTCTTAAAATCTTCCCTGTAAAGTCTTGTCTACGTGTTTTTGGGTGAAAAAAACTCATAATCACTTTTTTATTGTCGGCCATTTTGGATTTTCCGTCCTGAAATCTTGTCTGTAAAGTCTTGTCTACGCGTTTTCAGGTGAACCGTTTGGTAGATCAATTTCAAATTTTCAGAGATGATTCTTAGTATAAAAATCTTAATTTGATTAGTTTTTTGACATTTTGGGTAAATGTCAAGGCAGCCATTTTGGATTTTCTGTCCTAAAATCTTGTCTGTAAAGTCTTGTCTACACGTTTTCAGTTGAACCGTTTGGTAGATCAATTTCAACTTTTTAGGGATGATTCTTAGTATTAAAATCTAGAACTGATTAGTTTTTTGACATTCTGGGTAAATATCAAGGCAGCCATTTTGGATTTTCCATCCTAAAATCTTGTCTGTAAAGTCTTGTTTAACTGTTTGACAGATCAATTTCAAATTTTCAGGGGTGGTTCTTAGTATGAAAATCTAGAACTAACTAATTTTGGGGGATTCTTGGTAAATTTTAAGGCGGCCATTTTGGATTTTCCATCCTCAAATTGTGTCAGTAAAGTCTTGTCTACTCATTTTCAGGATAACCATTTGACGGGATCACCCATTGGTGGGGACATTTTGTACACATTTGTGTTCTTGTTTCAGACAATTTTCTAAAATTAAGTGGTCCTAGCCATTTGTATAGATGTAATATTCATATTTTAGGTAACTACTCCCAGCTGTGTGAGTTCATCAACAAGCATGGGGACACTCTAGGCAAGAATGCTGGCCACTTGGACATTGTACTGGAAACACTTGATGTTCAAAGGCACTCCCTTGGTGTACTGGGGGTCCTGTAAGTAGCATGCATTAATAAATGTTTTCCAAAATTATGAAAAGTTTTTAACTTAGCTTATGTTCAATATTCCTTTTGAATATAAAACGTTTTTTTTGCAAAACCTGGTAATGAAATCAACTACTTGTGTCGTGTGTCATATGTTTGAGAGTTACACAGTCATCTTCTATGTTACAGGTGATATCTTTAATGTCACAGGATGATATATAATATACAATCATGTTTTATATTGCAGGGTGATCAAGTACAGTCTGCCAAGTATACCTGATTTTGAGTCATTGTTTGTTCAGACCCAGGACTTCATCAATAATTGTCACGGAGAACAGATCAGATATGCCACAGATAGCTTTGCAGAGCTCAGTCACAGGTAGACCTGATTGTGTAATTAGAAGTAAAGATAAAATAGTTGCATGGCATCTCGGGTGTCAAATAAGTCAAATAAGTTTGGTCTAACATATTCTTCCTTATTCTTATTTTATAAAAATGTATGCATATGGCAATATTCATCAACCAGTAGAACTGACAAATTGTTTAGAATCTATAATTCTATACAAGGAGTCCCACTTATAGATTTTTCAAATTCTTTCCAAGTCGACATAGAAACACCTAGAGGGTAAAATTGAAACTAATTTTTCTGGCTGCTTGAGTCGATAATATCTCTGATAGTGTGAGTCTTTTTATGAAAATGTTTCTTGTAGAAATCACTTGACGATTATTAGAAAGCATTAAAAGTGGAATCCAAAGCGTAATCTGAAATAAAAGTGAAAAAATATTGCGGGGACTTCAGAGAAAGTTAATCTTTTTCGCATTCCACTTATTACAAAAAAATCTATCATCATCACTATCATCGCCCGTCTATTTTCTACACATCTAACTCTATCCAGATGCTTAAATTCACTGCCATATATATACTGTCATTTTGAGCTCCTGTATTAACTTTTCTGATGGCTGATTCTTGAAATCCTGCCATACACAGAACTGCCATGTTATGGTCATCTCAATTGATGCAATGTAGCAATTTGTGACATTAATTGACACTTGACAGGTATCAGATATATGCCTCTGGACGATCTTTCCAATGATATATCACACTTAATACCATACATGTATATCTTGGTTTAGACTGGAGAGGGGACTAGCTTGACACCCTGTATAGAACCCAGTAGAGTAAATAAACTATTTATATACTTTCATATTTTTATTCCAGGTTTACCCATCACTTGGTTGAGCGCAAGCAAGCTATCCGCGGAATCAAGCTTCTAGTGAAAGCAATCAATAAAGTACAGCTATCCCCAAATCAGTTGACATCAATTCATTCAGACCTTTGTCAGGTAAATAAATACAAAACTCATTCTTTACAAATTTATGTTTACTTGTAAAGATGGTAAAAATGATAGTGTCATGACCATGGCTAATTTTGAAGGTGTTGAATTAGAAGTTTCAGTACCAAGTGATTGATTTTAACCTCCATCAAAACACATTCCCCCACCTCATGAACTTCATTTTGTTACTAGTCTACTGCATAGTTTTTCTGCTCATCAGAATTTGAGATTGACCTCTTTCTACTTTTTTAACAATTTGATCTCTCCATTATTTTGTGGCATAATGACTTTGGTGGTCTGTCATTGAATTATGAACATACATGTAAGTACTAGGGCTGGCACTGATTGTTTGCCTGAACAGACTTTCAGATCTGCCTCCACAGGTTCGGGAAATTTTGGAATTCAACTGTAGGATTACACTGTTACATGGTTTTTGTTAATCTATTGTCACATTATCTTCTGTTTTTTTTTCAATTGTCTCAAGTATTGTAATTGTTATGTTATCTTAAGCAAGCAGTTGAGCTTTAATATATCAATATCTAAAATCACATTCAGTTGTGTAATGTTTATTGAGTGTAATTTCAGCTGTGTCTATTGTCAAAATGTATAAGAATTTATTCTCAGCTGTGTCTATTGTCAGAGTGTATTTAAGAATTTATTCTCAGCTGTATCTATTGTCAGAGTGTATTTAAGAATTTATTCTCAGCTTTGTCTATTGTCAGAGTGTATTTAAGAATTTATTCTCAGCTTTGTCTATTGTCAGAGTGTATTTAAGAATTTATTCTCAGCTTTGTCTATTGTCAGTAGTGGTGTCAATGAACCGCTTGAGCATTAACCGGTTAACCGGGGGGTTTTACCGGTTAAAGTCGGTTAACCGGCGGGAAATTTGAACTTATAATTTCAAATGAAATCTTCATCTTCGATCTTGAAAGTTGAAAAAAATTGGAAAAATGATATATCGGTACGTTCGTCAAGCTTTACGCTATTATATGTAAGTAAGCGCGGGAAAGCAATGTGGCAGGGATTAAAGTTGCTGATTGGATGTTTGTAAGGAATTATCGGACCTATCACGTGTATGAGTAGCTCACATGAAACTGACGCTTGAAAAACAAACAGATTAAAATGCAAAGTAAGTGCGGGAAAGCAATGTGGCAGGGATTAAAGTTGCTGATTGGATGTTCGTAAGGAGTTATGGGACTTATGACATGTATGAGTAGCTTACGTGAAACTGACACCATAAAACCAAACGGATTAGCATGCAAAATAAGCGCGTGAAATAACAGAATTATACACGGTCAACTAACCGCCCATAAAAACTCAGACCGGTCAAGGCATTATCGGCGGTTAACCGGTTTATTCTTAACTTTGTCTATTGTCAGAGTGTATTTAAGAATTTATTCTCAGCTGTATCTATTGTCAGAGTGTATTTAAGAATTTATTCTCAGCTTTGTCTATTGTCAGAGTGTATTTAAGAATTTATTCTCAGCTTTGTCTATTGTCAGAGTGTATTTAAGAATTTATTCTCAGCTTTGTCTATTGTCAGAGTGTATTTAAGAATTTATTCTCAGCTGTATCTATTGTCAAAATGTATTGAAAACGTTAATGACGAGTGTATTTTCAGCTGTGCCTCTTGTCAAAATGTATGAAACCTGCCCTACAGTTCCTGGATGTTGACATCACAGAGATAGCCAAGGAGGGGGGTCAGTATGATGTGAAACATTACCTAACATACTTCTACTATGGAGGCATGATCTATACAGCACTAAAGAATTATGAACGAGGCTTCTATTTCTTTGAAATGGTGAGCAGTTTGTTACATATACCAGTAAATTTCTTATGTACTTTTTCTTGTTCAGGGTATATTTGATTAAAAATTCATGAAAGGGAACAACTTATCACAATTGAAGTCTGATTATGCCACACAGGAACCACAATGTTACATTTATTACAGGCAGTAACAACACAGGCTATGGCAGTGAGTCACATTATGATGGAGTCCTACAAAAAGTTTATCCTTGTGGCACTTATTCTTCATGGAAAGGTGCCCACACTCCCAAAGTACACATCCCAAGTTGTAGGGAGATACATAAAGGTACACAAAACATAACAAATATATCAATGGAAATTATAAGTCGCTTCAGTTTTTATGTCACCACCAAAAGTGGTGACATGTTGTTATTAGACTTTGCAAATGTTTAAAAATCTTGTATTCTGACCAATGATGTTTATATACAGTGGGATTACAAATTACATGAAAAGGGTAATTCATACAGCTCATGTAGAATACAACTCCTTTGATTATTTCAGCACTTGTGCCACCCATACCATGATTTGGCCAATGCCTATGCCACTAACAACCCAGCCAAACTGAGAGCAGAGGCAACAAAGCACACAGAACTTTTCACTAGGGTAAGGCTATTGTGAAATGTGAATCATGCAATGGTGTCCCAATATATCAGTGAGTTTTATAGATATTAGATATTTATTGTTTCCATTTAAAATTCTTGTTCTATTGTGTCAGCTGAATGTAGTCATATATAATTGCTATTTCAGTTAATATGCTTATGACCAGTTGTCCCATCTATCCAAATAATGTACATGTAGTTAAAGGGAATCTGGGAGATACAAGTGACAAAATATTGCTTCTAGGACGAGATCAGATGACTTTGACATATTGTTTACCCTACCTATTTTTCAATTTAACAATCAATGCATTAGTACCATATTTAAGCAGATATCGGATAAATTCATAAAAATATTTTTTGATTGATAAAATCATCTATTATAAAACCAGAAATGCATTCTGTGACATCCGCTTGTGAATATTTCAATTATTCAGATTTTGCTGTGGATTGAACTTTAAATGCTTCTAAATGATCTTCTAATGCTTACTATGATTTCTTTTAGTAATGTTTTGACTTCCCTGCTTCATAAAATAACATTATCACCATTTACTCTACTCTTGAAAATTCACTTCCGGTCTGTCATAATAAAGATGAGCTGAAGGTTGTCGTGAACACCTTTCAATCCTCAGTTTAAATATTTGTTTTCAAGGTTCAATAGGTGATTTTGAATGGACTTTCATGCAGAGTTCGAAAATAGAATCACCAGAGAAGGTTTTAAACCATGAAATCGACTCTAAAGCCTGAGAAAATGTCATCCATTTTGTCGGCTGTATGTTACAGTATGCCTTTAAGGATATGAGGTATTTAGTTCTATGCATCTTTTTCAGGATTCCAACATGGGCTTAGTGAAACAGTGTATAACTTCATTATACAAGAAAAATATCCAAAGATTAACAAAAGTAAGTTCACTTAATATATGAGCTATTTTAAAGATGTCATTTTAAGTAGAACTTCATAAAATGTGATGAAACATGTCATTCGAATGTTCATTAATGTTGTTAAGTAGCACACAAAGCACCAAACACACTATTAATTCCAAAAAATCATTTGTGAAAATTGTGCCATTTTTATGAAAAATGCGATATTGCTGTCGTCTTGTGCTGATGGGTGGGCATGCAGGGGTCACATAAATCAAATCTTGTCATTAAATTTCCAGGAAAACTGCTTACATGCTCAACATGAAATTTTTATTTGGTGTTCATTTTGAGTTTTTCCATAAAAGGGATACTCCTTGCCAAACCATCTCTCTCCTAATGTGGTAGCTATAATCATATACATACTTTCCATTTTCAGCAAAACATGGAAAAATGTTTTGATATGATCAATATTGATCATTTAAAATGTAGTGCTCAATTTAAGTAGGGTGCCATCTTTTAAGATTTCACACAGGAAGTGGTGTCAACTCTCAACTTTGCATATATGTAGCATGAGAAGCTATTGAGAATTACAAAACCAGCAGAATATTCTTTTCAATTTTATCTATGATTTAAACTTTCTCGAAATCTTGTTTATAGTTGACAAGCCCTGAAAATAGTAGAAAGTAAGGACCACTTGTCTATAAGTGAATTTGTGCTTCTTTGCTTTACTGTTATAAGCAAGATTATAAAAGCTGAGAGTCAATTTGTAAAATCCTAAAAGATGGCAGCTTACTGTAAATCAGCATCAAATTCAAAATCAAAATGTTTCAACTTAAAATGGTCTCACAATATGAAGTCAAAATATCAGAATTTCCAAATTATTTATTACTGAATAAGTATGTACAGTGTGTGTGTTAGGTTTTTGATTAGGATGTAAACCTGATAAAACAGAGCAAAAACACCACATATTGTACATATACAGCTGGGTGGTCAAGAAAATGGCAACCCTGAATTTTCCTCATATCTGTTATTTTAGAAGAGTGCTCTCTGATATTTTACACATTTGTACATCATTTAGTTTTCTATTAGTCTCCCATATTTCATGACCATCAGATTGAGGGTCATGGTGTTACAGCACTTTGAACAACATGCTCCAGGTGTGGCCATCATCACGCTGTAGCGAAATCAACACAAGTTGTCAATGATCCAATTGCATTTCTCAGCAGGTATGGCCTGAATGAGACAGATGATCTCCATTTTGAGGTCTGCAATTGTCCTGAGGTCATTCTTGTACACTCTATTGTTGGTGTATTCCCAAAGGTAGAAGTCAGGTATGGACATTTTGGATGATGGGTGCATGTTTGCCTACAGTGCAATATCAGACCCTGGAAGATGTTGTTTGATGTACTTTGAATGATGTACAAATGTACTAAACATCAGGGAGTTACTCCCTAGAATGACCAAGATATGAGGAAAATAGCGACAGGGTTGCCAGTAATTGGTAATATGACAGAAAAATCAAAAATCAATCAAAATTATATTGTCTACTTTTGATGGTGATATGATATTTTGTGTGATCTCCAGTGGATCAAAATTGACTACCCCGACATGTTGGCCATATGATAGTATTAGTTGAAAAATGAAAGTGAAAGTGACAATTTTTCAGATAACACAAATCCTACAATCAAAATATGATTTTTGTTATTGTATATTTCTTCATTAAACACATGTTTGTTTAGTACTACATAGTCTTATTTTTGTGATATACTGTACTTACAATTACATCTTTAACAAAACATTTATGTTTGCTCATGATGTAGAAGTTTTACTTTGAATATGCTTGATAGATATATATAGCGTTTAAAGCAAAATTGGTCTACATGATATTCTACCGCTGGTTGATGGCCTGTCCATACATCCTGCATCTTATATAGGACATAATACCTCACTCTGGATGTAAAACTCATTCCTTGGTTTATTAATGAACTTTTATTAATGAACTTTTACAATTACAATGGAATTTAAAAAAGCCCTACAAGCTTAAAAAACTATTTTTGAATTACTCTCCTTATTAATATTGTTACGTTGAAACAACTAGGACATGGCAAGAATGCCATTATACACATGTAGTTAAGGTCTTTATTAGAGTATGCATATGTTTCAGACATTCTTAACACTGTCACTGGCAGACATGGCAAACAGAGTGGAGTTATCTGGTCCCAAGGAGGCAGAAAAATATGTACTCAATATGGTAAGTATCACTTTATACCTCACATGGTTTCAGCTATTGTTATCAACAGTGTAGTCATTAAGGGGGAAAAAGAGACTTGTCATACAGACCTGTTGAGCATCAAAGTTGATTGGTCCGTATCAAAATAGGCTGATCAAAATGACTAGCACCTCAAAAAAGTCCCTGGTCCGTATGAAATGTTACTGGTCAATCAAAATCTTGTTAAACAATAAAGAACATTTTTGTGGCCCAGGGAGGTGTCATGCTCTTTAAGTATGGATACTTTAAAGTTATTATAACCTTGCACAAGAGTTCCCTGGCTGTATTGCCTGAATTTATTAGCAGTGTTGTTTTCACTTGAATAGAATGGCTTATACATGGCCCTGCATATTTAACAAAACAGTTTTTTAGTTTGTGTATTATAGATAACCCAATCAAATTGCTTATTCCAACCCGGAACAAACTTCCTGTCGCATTTATTTTGTATAATCTCTTTTTTTATGAATTCTTGTAAATAACTTAAATCTGGCGATTTAATCATCGACAACTCAAATTATTAGGAGAATAACAGCACGGACATGAATTCTACTGCTAGGTAGGCGATTAAATATCATGCTGGTCCAAATGACCGGCGCTTTTGCAAACATTGCGGAACCGGGGCTCAATCTACGGGACAATATCTGCCGGGAAGGCCGTTAATGACTACACTGATTATCAACCACTTGTCTGTATGTCCTGCTGTTAATCCATCTGTCTGTCTATCTGTCTGCTGCTGCCAACACATTGGTGGCTAATTTGAAATCCTCCACAACAATTCATATGGTGAAACCACATTCATTGTTGAAATAACACTTTTTAGGCAGTTAAGTGTTTAGGTCAACAATAATGTCTCGAAAAGTAAACAATCAATTTGAACAAACAAACCATAACTCAAATACTGTTAGCCAAATATTGTTTGTACTTTATAAACATATGCCCAATGTGACTACAAGTACGTACCTGTTGTTTATTTGCTGCAAGACAAATTTAATTCAGTAACCAATGAAATTCTAGATTAATAAACACTTGTTTTACTCTTGGTAGAAGTTTGCTAGCAAAGTAATGAGCTCTTCTGTCTGTTGTGTGTGGTAGTTTCACACAATCATCTCCTCCAAATTCACATATCCTGTAGTGATGGGTGAATGCTATCTTATCACTGACAAGCTTAGTTGTGTAGCCTGATATATGGGACCAGACAAAGTGGTTGCCAACCTCTGCCACTCCTAAGGGGTCTACAATGTACTTTGAGCGTTGGTTGTGAGGATGCAGTTTGATTAATCGTGTTGTTTTACGAAGAGTTGATAATGGAGGATTATCTGGGATTGTCATGTCATCTGGGTGTTGTAGATAGAAGAATCCATTGCGAAATATAAATGAGGCATCTCTATGGCTTAAGTGTATGTCTGACATCATAGAGTTTAGGGTGTTGTGTTCATATGGTATAATGTATTCATCAAGATCAATCATAAGAACATATTTGAAGCGATATCTGTACCTCAACAAACAATCATTTAATGCAGCAAACATATTCTCAGTTCTAACCTCTTTCTGAGACTTGATATCTATTTTCCAAGGAAGCACATCAATTATTCCCTTCTTTTCATAATAAGTTAATATTTTGGTCATATTTTCACTGACAGTGTTCAGATAGAATGTGAAATGCTCCACTCCTAGGATCTGCTGTAGTTCAATAAACTCCACAAACTGTAGGTATTTGGTATATTCATAATGTAGAGGCTTAACACATAATCCAAACTCCCCTTTAGTTAGACCAATGTTGAACTCATTGTTATGCACTGGGAGTATATTAAGTGGGGGACTGTCTCTCCCGCTGAGTATTGACACAGCACATGGAGTCTCCTTATTTGGTAAGGTGCAAAGGTAAAAATATGCACTGTATTGCATACCCCAGTTTTCTTTTATTGCATTGTTTATAGAGGGCACTGTCTCTGTCTTACCATCACTATACCATAACTTACAGAATGTCTCAGCATGGAATGAAGTTGTTGTTGTACCTACAAGTCGCACATAACGCTCACTTTTACGCCATAACATATCCATATATGCTGAAAATATGTAGAATTTGGAATCTTTAGCAGATGTTTGAAGCTGTTGCCAGAAATCTGTCTTTGCGAATGTCAGGCTTGAATCAACAGGGCATTGTTTAGAGATATCTTCTGATTTAGGAGGGTTCATAGCTGTTTCTTTGCTATTTTTCTGGCTATCAGCAATGGGCTTTTTAATAATATCGTTGTTCTGAATCTGACCATTGCTTTCAATTTTAACATCATCCTTTATCTTAGGAATGTTCTTTTTATCTTGGGGATTTTCTATGGGATTCATTTTTGATGTGGTATCCATTAGCTGTTTTTGATGTGTTGAAATCACTGGCTCGTCTGTAGAGAGACGTGTTAGAATGGCCGAGAACTGGAAAAGCAAGAAGCTGAGACCGCATAACCATATTAACCTCCTCAATGTGAACCGATACATCTCCAGTAATAGACTCCTATAATGGTTATTAGCTGATCTGTATATTATATTCACTGTCACACAATCAATGTCCAATTATTGAAAATAATTCTTCATTAATGCAGTCAATGGCTAGAACTCTTTGAAGTTTTAGTTAATAAACATCATATTACAATTGGTCTTTGATAAGAATTTCAGCTCTGTCTTTTTGTTATCCACCCTAGCGTGCTAGCAAATAAGTGTATGCTTTAAGATGTGTAATCAGAATGTATTGATTTTTCCACTTTAATTATGGATCTGTAATGATGCTATCCAGTGAGGAGTTCCATTAGAGGATTAGTTTTTGTCAGATGTACCCTTGTAAGTGTTCACGACTGCATTCTATAAGGTAATGCAAATATGCCAATTCTATTTATACAGTAAAACCCCTCTAAGTGAAACACCTTTTGAACTAGAATTTCAAAATTGAAGTTTGAAATTTCTGGGGTATTTGAGGGGGTCATAATGAAAACATAATAGAAATATTGCTAGGGAAACATAATGGTAAATACTTTGGTTTATTTCTCCTTACAATTTTTTGTACTTTTTTTATGTTCTGTCGTTAGCAGTTTTATTGCATCAAAGGCCCCATATAAAGTTTAAACCATTTTGGCTTATATTATAGTTCTTTCCCAATATTATCAAAATGTGCTATGTGAAACTTCAATTTCAAAAAGTTGATTTTGAAGGACTTCCAAAAATTGTGAATTTATTTCAAATAAAATTTTAGTTTTCATGCAAACACATAGTTCAGCAATAAATTACATCTATGCATAGTGTGCATCCTTAGACCTATTTTGTGTCAAACAAGTTAAGAAAATAGATTGGAAAAATTATGTAACAAATTAACTCATGAGTGCAGAAAAGTGGTTCAGAGAAAAAAGCATTTAAAATTTCAGTTCTCAATGAATCTAATGATACATATTTAAAACATGGTTAAACTCTATTTTCAACCTAGATAGGGTAATAATATTGCTTTATTTTGAAAGTTTAAATGACAATTTTGAAAAATGATTTGCCCCCTGAGTGACAATAAAGTATATTCTCTGCATGACATCACAAACTTTAAAAAAATGCTTTGTTGTACTTGATGATCTAAAAAGCTTACCTTTTGTTTATTAATGGCAGGAAATTCAAATATTTGAAAACTATAAGATGAAACAACTTTTTCTTAAAGTCATACATTTTTTAGAAAATGTCTCTACTAAAGATTAAACTATATTTTCAAATTTTACACAGGGCCTTTAAGATTAGTCAGTTAAGTATTCATATATAACCTGGTACAACAAATATTGCTTTGTATAGAATAAGCAAATTTCAACAAAAAATATTCAGACTCTTATTTACTTTGGAGAATTGGGTGATTCTATAAAAAAATCAATATTGAATGACTTTAACAAACTATGAATCAATGTAAATCTTTCATGTTAGTGAATGTATTGAACATGACATATAAAAGCTTCTAAAAAAAGTGCTATTGCTGTGTCTCAAAAATCTTTAACTATCAGGTAAATCTGATCGCTAAGAAGCCCTTCTCATTTTCCAATGTGGCTCTGACATGTTAAAAAATATTTCAGTGCATACTTAAATGACCTTAACCATAACTTTACAGATCTGCTGTGACTGTTTGGTTAAATGTAAAGACAATGTTTGAATAGATTTTTTTTTCTCTTGATGTCTGGGTAACAATATTAATAACCACTTCGTAACTAATGTAATGAAGAACTTCTATTGCAAATATCAATTTTCAAAGTGTTAAATGATTACATTAATAGTACAATAACAACATTTCAAAGGGCAATATAGTGAAATATTCAAGGTCCAATATTTCACTATTCTGCCAGCAGAAATGATGTTACTAGTATTATTACCACCCTTATGTCCAAGGCTAAAATAGCAAGAATGGACTGCCACTGAACGAAAATTATACGCACTTAATGATATCTAATTTCCTGGGGAACATTGCCGTGTTGTTAATCCATTATTGGCCCGCCACTATGACGTCACATATTGCTCAGAGGGGTCATTCATCAAGCTATCAAAACACGTCGCAAGCCTGCGATGTCGCAAGGGCCCTTTTTAGCAATCTTGTGCGACTGCGATCGGTAGAATTTTCTGTGACGTCGCAGTGAAATACCCCTAAAATGGCCCAAATTTAAGCGACCGGTGATACCCAGTCGCAGTGATTTTAGTTCAAGAAAAATGTCTTGAATTTATTGAATTTCTTTATGAAATTATATAGAAATTCTAATTCTACAAGCACGTACAGGTGGTAATCACTGTGACTGGTCACAGGGACATCGCAGACTGCGATTTGTTAAAGAATAGGTCGTAGTCGCAGTTACTGCGATAGCTTGATGAATAACCCCTCAGGTAAATATAGTAAGATAAAAGCCTTCTAAACTTACACTTATACCCCTAGAACAGGCCAGGGAAGGTGGTAATTATAGGTCATATCATAATAAAAAAGGAATAATCATCAATTGATTATTTGTCATTATAATTCAACTTTTACAGATATATGAATTATTCAGTAACATTTTCTGCATGTTTACATTATGTGAATAGAAGTATGAAAAACCAATACTGTTCAAAATAAAATTAAAAAACAGAAAGGCAAGCAAATGTTTGAAAGATTTTGAAATTGCCACTTTTATAATCTGTTTACTGCCATGATGAAGATAACTTTAGGATACAAATTATTTTTGCATTATTTCTTACATCTAGTATTGTTATGATCTCATAAATGTATTGGAAAAATGCATTGGATATGTCCTGCATGTATTTCTTAACACTCTGTGTTGATAAACATAATAAACTGGAAATTATATTATTTGACGATATCTTAATATTTTGTAGATAATAATGGATTGAACTTAGATAACAGAAAAGGCTGTTGACAAATAAATCCTTGCATTACTTATTGTAATTTATAGTACTACATCTATTTGGGCCAAAAGTGAAAGTAGGTTTCAGTGCCTATTGCGTTGCTATGTAGTATGGAGTACATATGCACTTCTATTTTCAAAATTTCCTTATTATTATTAGGTATCATACACAAAATAGCCACTAAATTCAAAGTGGTTACCATTGATCCTTTAATTCTATTATTCATAAAAAACTCAAGTGACAGTTGATGGTTTTGGTTCAAATTTTATATGCTGATGCCTTTGGGACATAGGAGCTCTGCTGAAGAAGAAATCTACCCTTTGCATTCGTTTGACTTCACTTCTTAAAAGAGAGTTTCGTCCTCACTCTTTCAAACTAAAATAAACCTGTGAACTCACAGCGCCAATCAGTGTTCGTCGGCTAAAATTGACCGACGTTCTATATATGGTCATTCCTTCTGACGTCATCGTTGAGCCCGGAATTGACCAATGACATGCGCATATTTAATTAGAACGCATTTGGCGTGTGTTTCTTCAAGCTCGCAGATTGGTGGAAGAGAGGTCAGCGCGTAGGTCAAAAGTTATTTATTACGCAAACTGTCACCGGTACCCGTCGTGGGGGCGGGGCTACTAAACTGTAATATGGTCTCTACTAGGCAGAGTGTAGTTTAACTAGACTCTGCACGCAGGGTAGAAGAAATCTAAAGATGGCTGTTAAATAAAAAGTATAGTATTTGAAAACTTAAATACCACTCATAGAATTTGGTCCTCTACTTAGTGCCTAAGGAGACATATTTAATATGGCCACTTATTTCAAAATAGCCTCCATATTTTGTTAAAAAATGTAATCTTTGATATAACTCAAACATTGGTTGATGGATTTGGTTCCTCAGATTATATGACCAAGCTGATAACGTGTTGCAGATTGCTGTGAACTTTTGCTTCATATTTAGTTTTATAACTTTTAGGTTATTTTGATGAAATAATGAAAATTCAGATATAAATGAAACCGCTAGTAAAAATCTTTCAGAATTAGATCACTAGAACAACTGACTACAAAAGGGAAATTTCAAATTTGTAATCTTTGAGGTAAAAGGAGGCAATTACACTGACTTTTTTGCTAGATGAAGAAACATAATTATGTCTTACTCATTAAATATAAAATTATAGTCTGTACACTTAATTGATCAGAACAGTGAGGTATGTGAATATTGAAATGTTCATCTTATAATATGGGTGTTCAAGTTTAGAGGTTTTACTGTAGTATAACATGTTGCATAATTGCATTCTATATACTTACTGTTTTATTATTAAAATTCTTGCAGCTATTAAGACTGTAATAATTAGTTTTCTTTATCCTATTTCCTCAGTTGTATAGGTCTTGACTTAAGTATACCAAACACTTTTTGCTTATATTTTCAAGATTGTAATAACTGTCTTTGCGTCATCTCTCTTTATTTTCAATACCCAGTTACTGCTATTTGTACACATCAAGTATTGTGTAACTATCTATTGTTCAGTGATTGGATGAGATGGTAGGATCAATGGATCATAGCTCAGTTATAATCACTGCTTATTTCCTATATGAAGACAGTGAAAGGCTCTAGTATGGTGTACATCTAGATATCATGTTTGGTCTACTTTAGCCAAGCATCCTTCAGTTTAACTTATGTTGAAGTTTGTACCTTTAAATTGCAGTCGTAAATCACTTGTCCATTTGTCTTTGTCCTGGAGATATTATAGCCGCCATGGCCATATATAATCTTATAGTTAGCATCTGCATGTACCATCTTTACCTACCTATGTAAGTCATAAGTAACACTGTAGTTTAACCTCTTGAATCCCAGGTTCTAAAATTGGTTGAAACCAGAGAATTTTTCATTTTTCCCAGCTTTTGATATTTTACTACATACACAACAGGTGATGCTCATTTTATTTTAGTAAAATTAGACTGCAGAGATCATTTCTACACATTTAAAAATGTTTTTGTGTAAATTGGATGAAAATTGCTCAAATGAAAGCAATTTTAGTGAACATTTTTATGACTAATTATCTTGTCATTCTGGGTTTCAAGGTCATTTCTGAGGTGACGAGAAATCTCGTCACTCTGGGTAGTCAAGAGGTTAAACTGTAGTTTGAGTTTCAAAGACAGACACTCATTTTTAAATGTCTGGCAACTCTCCCTATTAAGCACTTCAATCTGTCTTCAAACACCTCTGCTTAATAACACTTCTTACTTCTGCTTAGTAAACACCTTACTCTGCCTGGTAAACACCACTGTATAGTAAACACCTTACTCTCCCAGGTGAATACCACTACCTAGTAAACACATCTCCCTTTCTGATTAACACCTCTCCTCAGTAAGCAGCCCACCTTTCCTAGTAAACACCCACCATGCCTGGTTAACACATCTCCCTAGTAACTCCTCCTTACTTTTCCAAGTTAATACCTCACTCAGTATGTGAAACACCTTTGCCTGGTAAAGACCCCCCTTAGCCTGATAATATCCTCTCTATTAGGTAAGACCTCTCTTTGCCTGGTAAACACCTCTCGACGATCAAGATGGGAGAGAAAGCATTTTCTGGGTTTTTTTCCTCGATTATTCTCGCACGAATCCTCGCCACACCACGGTAATAATTCAATATTTAACAATGGGACTTGAAAAAAGAAAGTATAGGTTCGAAAAGTAATTAATTAACGTTAATATCAGATAAATTCCGAAAGACCGGACGGTTTTGATTCTTTGATTTTCTTGTGAACTTTTTTATGAACTTTATTTACTGGGGCTGGGAACCACGGTTTCGATATCAACGTAGACACGACATATCGACGAATTAATCTTCTTGTGTGCTCTCGCTCCCGATTTTAGAACACTGTCGATATCTCAGTAGCAGGGGGTCAAATATCGCGGATTTAGTTTTCGAAGACAGCCTTAATATGGATGCATCAGTATACCATCTGATAATTATAGGATATCCTATGATTTTGAGGAATATCATTTTTATCTACGAGGTGATATTGATATCTGCACGAGAGAGCGAAGCGAACGAGTGCATATATCAATATCACCGAGTAGATTAAAATGATATTCTGAAAAAAATCATAGGATGTTCTTATTATCCTACACTTACAAGGAGTGTACTAAATGTATAATATCATTGCAAAATGAATTCCATGCCAAATAGAGTCAATTTGGCGGGAAATCAACAAGCGGAGTATATCGTCACAATATCCTCCGCATATTGGGGTTTCCGGAGTATATTGTCACGATATCCTCCGCCCGGAGTATATCGTTACGATATCCTCCGGCTATTCATTTTGCCAATAAATATCAAATTTATTTTTTAATGTTATTATACATTTAGTACACTAAGTGTAGGATAATTGTGAATAAACAATGAGAACATTTTAGTAAACGGGAAATTTGTATTGTTCATGTACATATCTACAAATATGAAATAGTAAAGCTTAACATTATAAACCTATTATCATGCAATAAATGAATTAGCAAGTCTCTTGTTGATCGTTAAAACAAGTCATTTTTTAGTTTGAAAAGGTTAATATTCATTTGTGTTTAACAGCCCATGCATTTAGGTTCACATTTATTGACATTCTGATGTAATAGCATCAGATAGTTATGCAAAGATTTTTCATTCTGTTGAGATGAATACTTGTGCATCTTTCACAAGCTATACTACAAGTCCAAGGGGCTAGTGGAATATTTTCTCTAATTATGTCACCACCAAAAGTGGTGACATATTGTTATGGTCTCCGTTTTTTTGCGACGGCGGTTGGTGGTTGGCGTCCGGCGGTTGGCGTCCGGCATCCGGCGTCTGTAACAATTTCTTACAACTTCCTATAACTTAACAAATACTGTTTAGACTGACTTCAATTTTTTTCTAAATCATCTACATGTTCTCAGAAGTTCAAATATGACTTTAGATTTGACATTTGACCTTCAATGACCTTCTCAAGGTCAAAAAGGTCTTTTTTCAACTTGCTTCTTACAACTTCCTATAACTTAACAAATACTGTTTAGACTGACTTCAATTTTTTTCTAAATCATCTACATGTTCTCAGAAGTTCAAATATGACTTTAGATTTGACATTTGACCTTCAATGACCTTCTCAAGGTCAAAAAGGTCTTTTTTCAACTTGCTTCACATTGACTAAATTTTTTTTCAAAATCATCTACATGTTCTCAGAAATTCAAATCTGACTTTAGATTTGACATTTGACCTTCAAATCTGACTCTAGATTTGACATTTGACCTTCAATGGCCTTCTCAAGGTCAAAAAAGGTCAAAAAGGTCTGTTTTCAACTTGCTTCAAATTGACTAAATTTTTTTTTCAAAATCATCTACATGTTCTCAGAAATTCAAATCTGACTTTAGATTTGACATTTGACCTTCAATGACCTTCTCAAGGTCAAAAAAGGTCAAAAAGGTCTGTTTTCAACTTGCTTCAAATTGACTAAATTTTTTTTTCAAAATCATCTACGTGTTCTCAGAAATTCAAATCTTACTTAAGATTTGACTTAAGATTTGACATTTGACCTTCAATGACCTTCTCAAGGTCAAAAAAGGTCTGTTTTCAACTTGCTTCAAATTGACTAAATTTTTTTTTCAAAATCATCTACGTGTTCTCAGAAATTCGAATCTGACTTAAGATTTGACTTAAGATTTGACATTTGACCTTCAATGACCTTCTCAAGGTCAGAAAAGGTCAAAAAGGTCTGTTTTCAACTTGCTTCAAATTGACTAAAAAAAATTTTCAAAATCATCTACATGTTCTCAGAAATTCAAATCTGACTTTAGATTTGACATTTGACCTTCAATGACCTTCTCAATGTCAAAAAAGGTCAAAAAGGTATTTTTTCACCTTGCTTCAAATTGACTAAATTTTTTTTCAAAATCATCTACATCATCTCAGAAATTCAAATATGACTTTAGATTTGACTTAAGATTTGACATTTGACCTTCAATGACCTTCTCAAAGTCAAAAAAGGTCAAAAAGGTCTTTTTTCAACTTGCTTCAAATTGACTAAATTTTTTTTTCAAAATCATCTACATGTTCTCAGAAATTCAAATCTGACTTTAGATTTGACATTTGACCTTCAATGACCTTCTCAATGTCAAAAAAGGTCAAAAAGGTATTTTTTCATCTTGCTTCAAATTGACTAAATTTTTTTTCAAAATCATCTACATCATCTCAGAAATCCAAATATGACTTTAGATTTGACATTTGACCTTCAATGACCTTCTCAAGGTCAAAAAAGGTGAAAAAGGTCTTTTTTCAACTTGCTTCAAATTGACTAATTTTTTTTTTCAAAATCATCTACATGTTCTCAGAAATTCAAATCTGACTTGAGATTTGACACTTGACCTTTAATGACCTTCTCAAGGTCAAAAAAGGTCAAAAAGGTCTGTTTTCAACTTGCTTCAAATTGACTAAAAAAAATTTTCAAAATCATCTAAGTGTTCTCAGAAATTCAAATCTGACTTTAGATTTGACTTAAGATTTGACATTTGACCTTCAATGACCTTCTCAAAGTCAAAAAAGGTCTTTTTTCAACTTGCTTCAAATTGACTAAATTTTTTTTTCAAAATCATCTACATGTTCTCAGAAATTCAAATCTGACTTTAGATTTGACATTTCACCTTCAATGACCTTCTCAATGTCAAAAAGGTCAAAAAGGTATTTTTTCATCTTGCTTCAAATTGACTAAATTTTTTTTCAAAATCATCTACATGTTCTCAGAAATTCAAATATGACTTTAGATTTGACTTTAGATTTGACATTTGACCTTCAATGACCTTCTCAAGGTCAAAAAAGGTCAAAAAGGTCTTTTTTCAACTTGCTTCAAATTGACTAATTTTTTTTTTCAAAATCATCTACATGTTCTCAGAAATTCAAATCTGACTTTAGATTTGACATTTGACCTTTAATGACCTTCTCAAGGTCAAAAAAGGTCAAAAAGGTCTGTTTTCAACTTGCTTCAAATTGACCAAATTTTTTTTTCAAAATCATCTACATCTTTTCAGAAGTTCAAATTTGACTTTACAAGTTCTTAGAAATTCAAATCTGACTTAAGTTTGAACTCATAATATTGTGAGCAACTAGGTGGTGACATTTTGTCATGTTAATGCCTTGTTTAATAAGTGCTGCCAGAGAATCACTGATCTTTCATGACATTTGACCAATCATTAATTTTGCCCAGAGGACAAGGGGAAAATTTCTATTGTTAGTAACACAGGATAGACAAAATATTGTCGACCGGGGCTTTTTTGCCACTTTGAAGCATTTTTATAGAGAACTTTGCCTCCAGATCATACAGGGTGGTCCAAAAATAAGATAATCTCTCATGCATTAAGCATGTATAAAATGAAATAATCAACTAGGTGTATCTTCAAATGAGAAGGAGTGAAAATATGAACATCTTCCGGTACGAAGAAATTGAAACAATATGCCGTTTTGTGGCAATTTGAGGGCCATAAGCTGTAAAAATTTAAGATTCATCTTGTTAGAATTTGAACCAAAACATTGCATATTTGTTCCATGTTCCATCCAGACAGCCCAATCCCGCAAATTGGGACATGATTGAGTATCTATAACACCTCTTGCAAATAACACTTCAAGCATTATTTGCTACATATTGTTCAAAGTGTCTAAAAGAGAGTATTATTTCCATGCCGTGATACTCGTTCTCTCATTGGTCAATTAGATACCATGTGACTAAAAATATATAGAGGTATTCCAATGTCTCCCTGCTTAGAAAACTTGTGAAGAGTGTTTTCACCGGCAATGACGTCATTTTTAGTGAATACCACTATATATTCAATTAAAATGACATCACATCA